TCTTTTTTTTGAGCAAGTGAACAACTGAACACCTCATGTTAAAAGTGAAAACTAACTAACGTAAAGAAACAGTAGCTAAAACAAAGCGTTTCCACCAGATGCTGAAATAATGGTATACTTCATACACCAGAGTGAGAAACACAAGGCTTTTTTTAAAGAGGTATCATTCTGAAAAAAATGCATAATACCCTCTCTTTAAACTGCAACATACAAACAATGTGCAAATAGTTGAAGTGCACAGCAGATATAGATTTAAATTTTAGCTTTAACCCATAGAAAAGCAATATTGATAAAAAGAATTTCATGTTATCTGAACTTTGGGAAGTGTAAATAGATATGCTTAGCTTTAAAGGATATTACTGCAAAGTGTGAAATATAATGAAGTCAAACATGTCAGTACCATATGCATGTTTTTTTTTTGCTGGAAGTCTATCATGGCCTAGAATTTGGCAACACTTCCAGGTTTGATCAAAAGGGGGAGCAGTGAGCAGCTGTAAAACAAAACACCCCCTGTGCACAGAGAAAACTTCAGCAGACTGTGTAGCCTTGAAATCTGAAGTGACAGCTGCTTTCAAGGCAGGATGAGTGTTTCTGTTGTGCTTAGGAAGACTTCACTGGGTTTTTGCAGAGCATGTGAAGCACTGACACCTCCATCGAGTTGCCTCCTCTTTTCTTTTCAAGCTGGAAGACTTAGAAAATATTTTTTTTAAGTCACATCAGAATCAAGTCACTGAAAGCCTGAAAAGCTGGGGTGCTCAATAGAGAAGTGTACGAGGTTAAGTGGTGTGCTCTTCAGACACTGTGTTACTCAGCTGGCCAATAAAGCAGTGATGTCCATGACCATTAAAATCTCTGAAAATCCCTTAAGAGCTGCTTCTAAGGGCTGCTGATAATAAATTATTCATCTAACTTACTGCATGTGTTAAGTTCAGTGTGTTATTTATTCATATCCCAGGTGAAGTGTCAAATCCCTTGTTTGCATAAACTGTGTTTTATTTTGTTGACTGTCTTAGGCTGAATAGTGTTTCACTTCCAAGGAGTCAAAAACCCATACAGCATGTTATTTTCGTTGGTTTGATGTACTTTATTTACTCTTCCATATATTTAATAGTAGGTCCTTTTTACACTTGAAAGCTCCATCATCTCCGGAGTAAAAAGATCACTCTGGCATTTAAGATATGAATCATTTAATCTAGCAGAATAGCCATACAGGTATGCAGCTTTAAACAGCCAAAGCTCTTCCTTCAACAGGCCACACCTGGTGCATTTTATTGTCTCTGAGTGTGCATACTGTTCACACCTCTACAACTAGCAAAGGTAAAACTCCAGGGAGTAACCCAACACTCCAAGAATCAACTGTTCATTATTATTCCTCAAGCACGCCACGGCCCTGCAGTTAACACTCTTTTACACACAACTATGTGTCTCATTGTACTCTGAATGGCGCGAGTCGTTACAAGGAGGCTTAGGCACACAGGTAACTCACTAACTGACTTTTCCTACCTACTCTTTTGCAGGTGCTAAAATGCCTAACCCGAAGCTTTCCATACATGCTCATTCATCAACCTGCTGTAACAGTGAGTAGGTGTATACCTGTAGGCACACGCAGAGACTAAAGAGGCAGCGAGTGAAAAAATGGAGCGAGTACATGCTTGTGTGTATGCAAATTATGCATGCACTTCTTTAAGCTAGCTAGACAGTTTGCAACCCTATCATTATTTTCAAAAGGATCTCTCTTGAGGGAGTGCTGTGATCCAGCTTCGGACTCTGTTCTACAAGTTTAGCGCCGTAAATGATCAAAGCTGTGCTGATATTCAGTGTAATTGCATGACCTTGAGTACAATATTGGTTTTATACAACAGCTGAAGGTGCAAAAAATAGAACTGTGGTGATATCTGGCAGTCAGATTCTAGATTGTGGTGCTCCCTTGCTCACCCCTCTCGTCTGTGGAGTGACCCCAGCCTTTAAGGACAAGAAGCTCCTGTGATGAATGAGAATGCATCCAGATGATGTATCCTCAGCAGCCAAACAATCATATTAGACCTCACCCTAAACCAATGCATAGTGTGCAACACAAAAACATGCATCTAAAGGGATATTCTGGCATAAAATTGATTTGGGGTCAAACATTGTAATGCTGAGTTAGACACCCCCTCAAGAGATGAATGTTGCCGACTGCTTGCTTCTCTAGTTATACCAACTTTAGTAACAACCACAGGATAGCAATACAAAGTGGTCCGAGGAGCCATAAACAAACCTCAACCATAATGCCACAAATAATGCTTTGAACAGCACCTACAGTACATATAGGGTCCCAGCCATAGTACTAGCCACCAAACATCTTTTTAACTTTGCCTAATTTCTTTAGCAAAGAGACTAAACACAACTCACCCACTCTCTTCCAGCAGCCGCTTGTTTGTAGTGAGACCTCGGGCCAGTCCATTATGGTGTGCAGCGGGGTGCCGCAGCTCAAGGAAGAACATTTATGATCATAAAGGCTCAGACTACCTCAACAAAAAAACAAATGTTTATTATAATCAATTGATTTTATACTAATATAAGCATATTTATAAAAATTATATTCCATTTCTAAAAAGTTTGTTCTGCTAAATGCCAAAATAACTACACACTGCACTTTTCAAACAAGTAGCTCATTTGAAATATTCAGCAACAAGTTGTTATTTGTGCTCATTGGGTCAACATTTTGCCCCACTAACACAACTGAAAGTGACACAGACTTTGGTTATGAAACAGTGTGTACATGCAGTCTACTTTACGATTAGTTAACCGAAACGTATCATTCCTGCCTCCATTCAAATATCAAAGCCCATTCACCACCAGATGCTGTCTCTTCATTTCTATGCATCCAGGCCATGAATGTAACGTTAGCCTCCTGGCACACAGGGCAGCCTACCTCGCTGACTCTTTGTTTGGCATACATGTGACACAGGCACAATAGAGTTGCGGACAATAGGCCACTTATTGAGTGACTGGCAGGGAGTAGGATCCATCCCAGATCGTCTGTCACTCCGCAGCCTCGTGCACTCAACGGCTCATGGTCAGTGTCAGGTTGCGAAGTCCTGTGACAAAAGATGCATGCTGCCATATAGGAAATCTGGCAGAGGTCAGAGGGGTCAAAATGAAAAGTATTTCAGGGGCTTGTTTTGAGCAAAGTCTTGAAGAAATTTTGATTTTAACTTGTCTTTTTATTAATTTTGGTTTGTGCACGCCTTATAAATCTATCTGCCCCCACGCGAAAATGAGTTTTAGCCACAGAGAGGGAGTTATTTCTAATCCATGTTTTGGTGCATGTTAGTAAGTATGTTTGTGGTTGAGTGTGTAGGTGTGTATGAAAACAGTTGCTATCAGCAGCTGAGACTTTCCACCTTGTCACTGTCAGCTGACAATCAGTCATTGCTTTAAGCTGAGCTGATTCCCTCTGAGATCTCCAGCTCTCTATGTCAAATGCCTGCCATGACCGTCTGGCCTGGCGACAGCAGCTTTCTGAGAGAAGTCAGAAGTAAATAAGAGTATTTATTATGCAGCAGAATGGCCCCCGTCAGATCTTATCAAGGATTTATCATCACAACTGTATTAAAGGGTCAAACACACTGTAACATCAAGTTAGATACCCCGTCAAGAGATGAATGTTGCCGACTGCTTGCTTCTCTAGTTATACCAACTTTAGTAACGACTGCAGATAGCAATACAGAGAATCATGCGATCAACCAAGACGCCACTCTATAGCCACAAATAATGCTTCATCAACAGTACATTTAGGGTCAGGGTAATGTTCTGTTCGATGTACAGAGCCGACAGCCCGCATTTGGCCTGAGTGTGTGATGACGTTTCCAGCTTTTCTAGCCAATAAGAGGCAAAGGAGGCGGGACTTTCCCCTACCGTCCTACAAAAAAAAAAAATATATATATATCGCGTCCCTGCCATAGCACTAGCCACCAAACATATTTTTAGCTTTGCCTGATTCCTTTAGCAAAGAGACTAAACACAACTCACCCACTCTCCACCAGCAGACCTCGGCTACAGTGGAGTGCCGCAGCTCAAGGACGAACATTTATGATCATTACTTCATGGAAATGCAATCAGATTGAGACACTAAGTAAGAAAAACTATTGTGTCTGCAGTGCAAAATTACTAAAAGGAAATGATGAAGCAATGACCTGACGGGGTGTCTGACTTGGTGTTACGGTGTGTTTGACCCTAACTTAATTTTACACCGTAATATCCCTTTAACACCACTTTTAGCTTTTCAATTTTGGAGCTAATCCAGACTTTTAAAAATATAGTTTGTTATTCGCTTGCTTAATTTACAAAATGGTTAAACCATGTAAAGAGTTGAAGGTTGTGCACCCAAATTGGTCGTCTGAACTAAAGTAAATTTTCTACTATGGTTCATTTATATTTATTTATATATTTGTAAACTTTAAAAAAAGTTCAATAACTCTTTGTAAAGGTATAGGTTTGCCATTCTGTTGAGATACGTGTTGGCCCAAGGGCATACACCCGTGTCTATAGACTACAATAAGGAATGCAGTCTGTACTGGATGGCACTTGACTGTGCATTATCACGCCCTAGTACTGTCAATGAACTTACCATACATTTTCAGTGTGCTCTGCTCTGAGCCCTCATATTTTTGCATGAGTAGCTTACAAAGTGTTCTACATCTGAACTCTCTCTCTCTCTCTCTCTCTCTCTCTCTCTCTCTCTCTCTCTCTCTCTCCCTCTCTCTCTCCCTCTCCATGGAGGTGGGGGCAGAGAGCTATTAGCTGTGCGCTGCAAACATCATTAGGAGGGGAGACGCTTTCCACCGTCAGCGCCTGCCGGAGCAGAGCAGGGGAGCCCTGGCAACAAGGAGAGACACAAACTCAGCAGCCCGTTACACCCAACAGTAAGTCACACAAAACTGCTCATACAGTACCCGTTTCACCAACCTGTCATTGCTTTCACCGTGACACTTTATTTCTCTGGAGCTTTGGAGAGAAAAAATGGCTCGAAGAACTGGGCAGGGTGGCGCTGAAGCTCTGGTTTACTTCAAAGCCTTGGAAAATGTTTACCTCGCCCTCTGACCTATTTATTAAGTGGCCAAACAGTGCGGGGGAATCCGCGGTTAAGGTTTATGTACTTGTCATTTCGGCACGTATTTGCAAAGTAGTCTATAAGTTCGGCGAAAGAGAGCGGACGTTTGGCTGGATTGTGACCGAGCGGGGAGCGCGTCCGCCGGGCGGGCTGGTGTCGGGCAGTCGCTGCACTTCCACTAACTGCGCCACTCGACCTCGACTCAAACATTTGCTCTTTGCAGACTGCTTCTAAGCGCTCTACTCTGACACACGCTTCTCAATAGCGTTTCTTTCCGCTGTATTTGCCTTCTTTTCAACTCTTTTCTCGCTGACATTGACTGTCAAAGGCGAGAATTACATTTTTATCTACGTTTCACCATCGCGGAAGTGTTTTCTCTACTCGAAAAAGAGACGGAGAACAACTAACCACAGTCCATGTAATTTGTCCGGTGTTTGCGAAAACGTCGTTACATCTATTTTGCATGTTCTCGCTGTATTTGACAATTGTTGTTGCGTAGGCTATTATGTTACTACACAGTGTTTTACATTGCCAGCTGGTTGTAAAGGACATAGGGTTTGTGATTGCTGGACTACCCGTGATGTCATTCATCCTAGCTTGGACCATTATATAACGGGACTGTAGGGAAGCCTGTGATAGCAGGCTATTTTTACTCTGTTTACACCTCGGAGTTGCACTCACAGGGTAGGCTATGCGTCCCAAGTGGTAGCCTATGCTTTCACTGACATTATGAATTTGATAAAGCATCCAAATAAGACCAAGTGGATGGGAAATAAAAGATGATACCTTTTCTCTACCCTTCTCACCACCAGCTGCATTCACACATTATTGGTGTTTCCCCTCTCTAATGATGTTTGTGTAATTATTTAAGAAAAAGAGTCAGACAGCTTTACTTGTTGATGATGTCTGCTTATGTTTGGAGCATGTCCTGTAGCTTTCTGAGCTGCATTTCCCCAAGCAATGACTAAACTAGTTATCTTAAAGAGGGCAGCAACTGTACAAATGTCTCATTAAGAGCTCTACTTACACTTGACCCGTACCAACCCACTTGGAAGTAAGTGATAGTAATTCAGGCTCATAGAATATGCGAAATATCATATTTTCCTTGAGTTTACTACACTACTAGAAAATGACACATGAGCCATATGGAAATATTTAACTGAGATAAAGAAGAATGAGACAAAGGGGAGATTTTATTTTATAGGCCTCCTCAATCTGGTCATTTTTTTAATTCAGGGAGTATTTACAATCCCACCTTGCATCTGATATTTGTTTTATTTTACCACCTTGAGGTCAAAATGCATGTGCATTAATCCTGTCATTTGGATTATGAATACTAACGTAATGCTATTTGATCAATTCAATAAGGCACAACTGTAACATTTTACTTTATTTTTTTACCCTGAGTGCTTTCCCGTTCCTCTTGTGTGTCTGCCAAGACTGTATTTATATGATATGTAATATTTGATACGACTGGTTTGTTTCCTTCATTGCTGACAGACACCATCTGTTTAGATATTGGAAAAAAACCCACCACAAGTTCCTGCTGTTTTATGATTTACTCATCCGCAAGTTGTGCTCCAGACAACTGTTGCAGTCTTTGAGCATTGTAGACCTTTAGGGGATACTGTTTAACTGCCTTCATTACTGGTTTTATTGCTGGATTTTCTCGTATTTTTTGCTGCTGTTGCAAAAAGCTCTCTGGTTTTAACCACTGCGATACAACTATACATCTATTTGAAGGGGTCTGTTGGGCAAAAGTACAAACTTTAAGGGTAAGTAAAAGATGAATTAGTTGCTTGGTTTTGTTTTGGTCTCTGAGCCAAAATGGTGCACTTGTCTTCAAGAGTCTTTGGCTCCACTTAAGACAGTTGGTGGATGGAGAGTGGCAGTTATCAAGAGGTCAGATGAATTATGAAGAAAAGATTCAACTCCTCTTTAAATAAGGCATTAAGGGGTGATAAAGAAAGGGGACCCAGAACGTGTCCTTGCGGGATCGATCAGATCAACTGAGATATCGATCAATATTGTATCCTTTTAGAGCTTGCATGCCAAAAAGGGTGTCACTGTGACTGTTCTGCTGCTGTCAGAGTCATCTTTTGCAAAGCAGAGCAGGTAGATTGAATAAAAGTTAAACTGTCGTACCTTTTAGGTTAGGGATTGGCAGGTAACTCATGCAACTCCTGAAGAGTGGTGATGAGGTGTTAATATACAAAGTGAAGGATGAAGCTTGACAGACTTGTGCGAGGTGGATAAACAGAGTGTCTAGTGTGGAAGCTGAAACCTTGGGGTTATGATGCACCAGGTGCTGAGTTTATAGACACAGAGTTAGGAGCTGTTTGGAGGATTGTAAAGGAAAGAAAACAGTAGAGGGAGTTGTTGTAATTGGTAGCAGAAACTGTTTAAATCATCTTAATATTTCTCTGATTACTTCACACTCTTCTTTCTCCGCTTGTGATGGTTAACATAAAGGCTCTGCCAGGTTACACCGAACTATACAGCGCTCTGTTGTGTAGTCATGCCACCGTTAATCAGACGTGCTCCTCTGCCCACCTACTACACACATATGCGCACACTCTGACACATACACACACTTTGTGCACACTTACTACTGCCACCATAGCCTTTGATTCCAGCCGCCACTCACTTTCAAATGGTAATGAGAGGCAATTAGAAGCCAATGTGTCCTAATCACAAGCCATTTAACAGAGCTTGGCTCATTTGTCAGAGCCATATGTGCACAGCAACCCACACACTCAAAACACACATGAATACACACATCTGCTAGATCATGCTAGAGTCTTTTTCTTTGTCTTTGGAATTTGCTGCCCGTGTAAGGAAAAAGAGGAAAACGAGGTCTAAGCGATCGTTCATGTGTGTGTGAGTGTGTTTAAGTGAGATTTCCAGGTAATGATTGGGCGGAGGATTCACAGCTGAATGAGTAAGTGACAGAAATGGCTTCATGGCTCCCACCTGCAAATACAGACGGAGTGAGTGATCAGTAGGGGTGCTGGAATAGTGTTTTATGTTCCCTGTGTGTATTTGTTGAGGCATTAGTTAGGACGGCAGTACTAACTTTCAATAATTGACACAGTGCGGACACAGGTTAATGAGGGCAGACCAGCAAAAGTGCGATTTATTCACCCTTCAAAATCAAAATGAGCTTTTAGTGCTGTGTGCCTGTTGATCTTAGCATGAAACATCTCCGGTGAAATTATAGTATCTTCGTCGGAGAGCAGTTAAATCTAGCTGAATGGAAATCTGCAAAATATTGGTGGTGGTAGGGTAAAGGATTAAGTAAAAATGAAGAGAATAGACAACTAAAAGCACGTGAAAGATGCCAAATTGGAAAATAATCTGTTCAAAACAACCCCTATCGTGTCTTATGTGCAGCCTTGACTTAGCCCTGACTGCAAACCCTTGTACACACACATAGTGCTTCAAGGAGCCACAACAAATACAAACACTTGTTATAATGACACAAACACACATCGAATTACATGTAGTTGTTGTCAGGAGACATAACAGGAGAGTAAAAAGCCCATACACAAACAAATATACAGCTACATAATATCATGGCAGACTGCTGTAACAGTAACTGCTGTAACCTACACAGAAACAGCAACGTAGGTTGTTCTGAATCAAAGCAGGTCACAACAGAGTGTGTGAAAAAACTGATTTTAAAAAACATAAAGAGAGGCGGGTGGGTGGGTGGGAGTGGGGGCAGATCAAGAGATTGAACTGTCTGGTTGAACCATGCAGCTCGCTCAGACCTTTTCAGCTTTTCCTTTCATCCTCCTCTATTCATGAACACACCGAGTGCACGTGCATGCACACAAGAGAAAGCGCACAGTCACACACACAGAATAGTGCTTTTAAAGAGGATCAATGAGAGGTTTTTTTTTTGTATTTTGTGTGAAAGAACATTCCACTGTGTGTGATCCTGGGTGCCTTTATTGCTTATCGTGTGCAGTCTTGTGTTCCTTAGACTGCTGTCTATATTGGACGGCAACAGCAATTCAATTAATTCAGCTGAGATTAAATGGCTTGCACTTCAATCTGCACTTCATCCGCGAAGAGTGAAAACATGCCATTGATAAAATATGGGTCAATGGGTTCATTTTTTTTATGGTCTTTTGAAAACATTGGACCTCGCTAATGCACTTGTTGAGGACTCATTAGTCATTTTTGAGATGTATGGTTCAATTAAAAAAAGTCACCGCTTCTCTGTTTACCACTTTACTGTAGCTGTGGATCCATAGCTTAGGTGTGTGTTTGTGTGTGAACCACAGACTGCATTAGAAAAGTGGATTAGTCTCCTGATTTGAAAGAAAATGTGTAACATTTTTCTTATAACCAGCAGGGGGTGACTCCACTGAAAAGAAATCAGTGGGAAAATGACCCATCTGCTTTGTGAAATCAACTCAGGAAGAATATTGCTGATATATTAATCTTCTCATCTTTTCTCATCTTTTAAAATAAGGAAGTAAATTTTCCTCGAGTAAATGAACACAGATATGAAGAAGTTAAGACGTAAATAAGGGCATGACTACCTGTGATTCATAATTGACCGGTTGCTGTCATGGCAACCGGTCAAAAATCCTCAAACAAATGAGTGAATCACATTCTTATTTCCCTTTTCTTAACTTTTGCTTTTAAAACAGAAATGCACGTATACATTTTCTGTCTCTAGCCTTGTGTGTATGCTGACCATCTTTGTTTTGAAGATGTGCGATCAATACCGGTCTTCTCGATGACTAAGAAAGGGCCACAGTCTGAATAAAACAGAGACAGAGAAAGGGACTGAGAGAGGACTTAAGCCATCTTGCAAACTTGTGTCTCACTGTCAGGTCGATAAGCCACTGCATGGCTCAATAACTATGTGAAAAAAGGGGAGTCTGGCTTTGGGACTTGGGTTGGACGTGTCCTGGCTTTGGTTCTGTAAAGGCTAAACGGCTGCATGTACCCAAGACAGGGTGCTTCAACAGTCTGGACTGGACTGACCTCTGGGTGTCTAAGTGATGACATAACTGCTCTTTTTGGCAAGGAACTAGCTCTCAGGCTACAAATTTCAGTTCCTGCATCGAGCGACTCATCAATTGGGGTTAAAATGATGAGAGATATTTCATCAACTCTCTCTAGAAAGAGAGTTCCTGCTGCCTCGTGTAAGAAATCATGCAATACTTAATACAGTATGCTGCTCCTTTGATCCATTTGCCTTGATTTATATTTGATCAAGTCCAAGGAAGCCTGGATGAGGGGAAATGGGTTTAAGCACTAGCCTTTGGAGGGCCAAGATAAATGAGAGTGAACCTAACCTAGCAAACCCACTCTGACATGCGATTATTTTCTCCATATCTTAAGGCCTGTTGTGGTATTACCAAACCTGGACTTACAGACACAAAGTTTTGGAGTTGCTTCAGTTCATAACCTCAGTTGGCATGTTTAGAAGTAATTTTGACGCTTACGTTAAGGGTTAATGTATCATGGGTCGTTCTGTGAATTGGAATCACAGTAGGGTGAGCAAGATCCTGACGCAAAGCAGAGGCGTTGCCACAGTAACCTCTAACATACGGCTATTTCAAGGTGATATATTGAAACCCCTGTGGTGCCTCGGCTGCAGTGTGGTGGCGTAATTGTAGGGCAAAGTCATTCCACCTCTGATTCCTTCTTGGAGATACAAACACAGGTGTTATGGGGTAGTGTGTAGGATCAGAGCCGCAATGCTATAATGCGGCGTAAAACCACACATAGACACCAATACGCTTTTTTCAGGAGTGCAATGCCTTTGTGCAAAGGTGTAGCAATGGTGGGACTCTGTTTCAGCGCTGTTGCGTAATTGCTTTGTGCAAGCATATAGGATGCTAATGGAAACCAGCATTGATGCCATAGTGTCAACAGACAGACGTGAAATGTGCTGGACTCTTGTCTGCACACCGATTTGATATGATGTGCAAATTGTTTACCTTTGCTTCTGAGAATCATTTACCAAGTCTTCTTGAGCTCCTCCTGTCTGGTTGGTTAAGAAGTGTATCACTCTTTGATAAATCGTAGGGACTTTTCGGAAATGTTACACATCAGCAGTTACATTTCAAGCTTTTCAGTTGAAAACACTAACCGTAGTCAGGTACAGTTTCCCACAGGGATTACGTTTCAGCTCTTGCAGACCTTTTGGTAAGTGTCCAGCTACTTAATAGTCACTTAGACCCCAAGTTATGTCAAGATAGGGCCAAGGTTGAAACACACCAGATTTCCCTTTCATGGTATTATAAGGTGCAGAGTGGCTCTATGCTCTCTAAGCTATTGCTCACTTAGTGAGCAGCATTTGAGAAAGAGAGAAATCTGGTTTAGCAGCTTAAAAATCTGTCATTTTTTTCTCTTATTTTCTTTTAATGGTATGTTTCAAAAACAGTTATACTTTTACATTCTCTCATCCCTCCTTTCCTGCTACCCCAGTCTCCGCTGCCTTATCCTTATCGGAGGCAGTAGAGGATTACAGTGGGGAGTTGACACTGACTGGCAGTCAGACAGCTCCTGCAGACTCCTCTCTTCCCCATAGAGCTCCAGGCCTGGGACAGGGATAAGCTGACAACCTGGGACACAGCCAGATAGATAGTGATGAGCAGGAGAGATGAAAGAAGAAAGCTGGGAATTGAGGCTATGTACATGCATTCAAGCAGAGAAATCATTATCATACCTATCCAGATATGAGCATGATGTTAACAGATGGTACAGACTTAACTTTTACCCTCCATTAGCTTCTGTTGGCATCGTTGTTGTTGTTTTTTGGCATAATCACATTGTAATTTACCTTAGTGGCATTATTGAATCAACAGTAACTGGATACTTCGGCGTAGTTGATACATAATTTTAGACTTTGTCCAGGGAATTTTTGACATGAGATTTGGTGTTGAAACAATTTAATTTTACAGCTAAATCTAATCTACAATTACGCGTCAAACATCTCAATTGCATTTGGTCGTCTACCTCTGTTTCTGAGTGTAAGACCTTCTAACTCTAAGCTGTAACGTGAGTGTGTGGTTATCGAGTGTGTTTTAAGTCTGAGCCAGAAGGATATGCATTGAAAGAGAGGAATTCAATAACAGGAAAATGGCCAGTGATAGAAACAATCCCTGGAATACCAAAACCCACCCTTCACTAGTGTTGTTGTTGGCACCAACTTGCAGTCCATTACTACTGTTTACTTCGTAGAAAGTCAATACGCAGCACATAAATGCCTCCTTAAATAGCCCATTTCATTGATGGTTCTTGACTTGGCATGTGCATTTAAGACCCCGCTTCGAGGCCGTCTGATGCAACATGCCATTAACATCTCCCAATTTCTGACCATGACTGGGAGTAGGAAATATTGGACTTGGATCTCCGTATGGGTAGCCACTAAAGAACAGGTTGAAACAAGCCTGTGAAACTCAACCACAGGCAGTATTTAAACCAGTGTACATAAGGCTAAAAGTATTTCCTCTCTGACAGAGCTGTGGTGTGGTTTGAATGGAGAGAGTTGCTGAATACGTGGATGGATTGGCTTTCTCCATCTGGCTGGCTGGTAGCTGGGTCTTGGCCAGTTCACCCTTCTCTACTGCCTTGCTGGATGGCTGCAGATCAGTCTCATCTGGCTGGACATCTGACTGGATGCTTGGCTGCGGGCTTGCTAGCTGACAAGCTTTCTGGACGCCCCTCTGGCTGACTGAGTTGCTGGCTGCCTGACTGACTGGCTATTATTTCTGGCCCGTCCATTAGCTGTGTAGTAAGCTCATGACATTGGAACAGGGACATTTGGCTTTGACAGTCAGGGAGGTGTGCTAAAACAGTGCTGTGTGAGATAAGACCTGGTGAGTCAGGATGTTCCCTGTTGGACTGTGAGCTCCATGAGTCCATCACCAATTACAGCATTGGGACCTTTTTAGAGAGTGTACTTCCTTATACCGATCATGACTAGAATCTATATTTTAACAAAGTTTTTTCATGATCTGATACCACCTAATTACACCTTGCAAGCAGCTGGATCATTATGCATTTTTTGGCTGAGAAGAGGTGACTTAATTAGAGCTATAAATTACACACACATATTCCTTGATAGTCCTATAATAACCGCCTTGGCTACAGATTGTACTGCAGACAAATATAGCAGAAATGTTATACTGTCCCTACAAAGAAACGCCATAATTTCTGTCCTAAATAAACCTCATAGGTGTTCCCTGTGCTCATAGGTTTTCTTTGGTTGATTTCGTCTCATGATAAGCCAGAATAAAGATCTATAAATGTGTAGATCTGTGGGGCTTTTTGGTGTGCTTCTTCTGCTTTGGCTTTGCTTTGCTTCCAGTGTGCTCATTACAGATATAAGTTTAGCAAGACCAAGTGATGAGCTATGACACAGATAAATGAGGTGAATGTGAGATTTCATTGTGGCCCTGCAGGTCTGTTTTCCTCACACTATCTTTTGCTTTCAGCTGCCACAATGGGGGAGGTAACTTGGCTTGAATAATGGTTTCAAATGTGCTCTCAATTAGTAGCAAACTCATGATGTAAAGCCCTCCATGCACACACTGCAGCAGACTTGAAAGAAAGAAATGCATCCATGCTCAATCTCACATTTCACATCCATCTCATTCACACTGACAGGCTCTTACACGACTCCCACAGTATGCATCCATTCATATCAGATATTTGCATGAACACACAGTACATAAACATACACTCGGTGCAGCTGTGTGTATATGCTGGTGTACACACCCACTGCGGGGGCTTGCCGAGGGAAATACCTGCGGTAGAGGAAGAAAGTTGACCTAATGGGAAATTACAAGACATCTGCGCTAGACCAAAACAATTTCTACATTCCACAACATCAATTGTCTTTACAGGAACTTTAAAATGTCCCAGAAGTCTGAGCTGCAAACAAAAGATCAGGTGCTTCTGTAATCATTATCATGAGATGGTGGGTATTGTTGTTGTTGTTTGATGGTCTGATAGTCGACTAGAGGAGTGGTTTTAAATGACTGTGCTTGTAAGTATATCTCGGGGTAGATCGGAGAGCTGCAGGGGGAACTTGTCTTGCATAATTACTTACATCATTGTTCCAAATTGAATAAGACAAAAAGATTTTTGATGTTTTTTTTACCTTATACATCAATTTAATTGTCACTTTAATTTGAGTATAAACAATTAACAACCCCAAAAAGCTGAATTTTTCACACACAATAAGAAATGTATTCTATGTCTAATACTTAACCTCTAAACAAGTATACATTCATATTGAAAAATAAACAGGTGTAGTGGTTCAAATCTTGACTAACTGATTCTTCCAGAGGTAAGAAAAAACCTTGAAAACAGTCAAAATTGAGCACAACTAATCCCACACTGTGATTTATTTTAATTTCCTTGAGGGAACCTTCCCAAAAGGATAAATAAAGTTGTATCTAATCTAATCTATCTACTCTGACTGTGGCTAATGTTTGCAAGGCCAGCGCCACCATCTTTCTATCAACCTTGAAGGTTAACGCGACTGAACACCATCGATTATCTGTGCTTATTTATTCCCATGGAGTATTAAAACATGATAGGACATTGACAGGGACTATTAGCCCCAGGCTGGAGGTGGGTGGTTGTGCTAAAACTAACACACAACATTTGCTCTCCCAAAACTTAAACAGTTACATTGCACATCAGTATTTTAAAAACATTTTTTAAATACAACTCACATTTTATTAGCATTTTTTAAACATAACCGAAACGGGACATACGATCATACAAAGAAAAATATTATTAAAACAAACAAACAAACACAAAGCATGGTGTTATTCACAGAGAAGAAAAGAAAAATTGTCCATGTAGCCTCCATCAAAGATGTCCATTTTTTAAAGTAATGTAAATAGATTTATATTTGTTCCATCTTTCCCATTTTTTCTTTCGGGTGTTTGTTTCTTGCTGGAGTTGTATGTTAGTTTCTCCATTTCATATAGCTATTCCACCGTGTCCAGACAGTTTTTCTAACTGGGTGGATTCTCCTTACACCAATTCCTTATGATGGCCTTCTTTGATGCTGCAAGAAGTATTTCAGTCAAGTATCTGTCTTTAGTTTGTATGTTTTCTTGCGTAAGATGGCCCAGGTACATTACCTCGAAGGTCATGGGGAGCTCATAAGCTAATATTTTTCGTATTCCTATGCATATTTCCTCCCATTAGTTATTTCCTTGTAGCACCAAAAGATATAGGTATGGTCAACATCCGCACACCAGTATTTTTCACATATAGTTCACGGCACGCCTAAATTAATACCTGTTGTAATGCAGTTATTGCCTGCCATTAGAGAATGGTAATTTTTTAAGTCTCCTCATATGTTTTCACTGACTCTTCTGTACAGCTCTGGGGCGTCTGACATGTAGTGTCGATAGCAGGACTTACTGTGGATCTAAAGGATGACAAAAACTCACAATCTTTGGCGATCCAAAGCGATGACTTCAACCCCCCTCTGTGGGATCTTTGTCATTTTTTTGCTCTGAAATCACCAATTTCCAATCAATAAGAAATATCAACATTTAGTTTTCAAAAAATCACTTTTTTCTTCTTTATATGCACATTTGAATGTTAAAGCGCTCTCTCAAGCTTTCGGATCTTTGCTCCTCTGAAGTGATTTAATTCCTTTATATGAAGTGAGAGGACTTGACGTCTTTTGTCAGATGTTGGTGTTGCTGTAGTGCTCTCCTCTGTTTCCCTCTGATGGCTTGACCCATAAACGTCACAAAAATGGAACCCAGTTTAAAGCAAAAGGTTGAGAGTTTCAGGCCTTTTGTACTATGCTGCGTGATGGTTAATGTGTTTTGAGAGTGTTGATATATTTCCCACAGCACTTGAGGACACCCTGCATCAACAGACTCTGAATGAACATCTACTACGCCGGCTTGTCAGATGTGTAGTGTTAACCACTAACCTTAAAAAACACGACACAACGCCTCACCTCCTATCAAATCTTTCATCACCAATTAGCTTCAAAACCAAAAACATTTGAGGACTTTTTTTGGCTGGAAAATTTCCCTTCTCCTTCTTCCACTTTCTGCCACACCCTGTCAGAATGCTTTAACGCCACACAATGTGCCATTAGATCTGCTACAATCTGCCCCCACACCACCTCTAGCGTGGCTGCGTGAGGTGGATCGCTGAGTGCATCTGCAGCCTGACAGGACACGCCACCTAAAACTGTACTCTACAGCTGAAAGGATGGTTGCGCGGTGGGGAGGGGGAGGGGTACAAAGGTAGTGTAACGCTTTTAGGAGGCCCTTCCTGGATACCATTTACACTTCGGTAAAGCTAGAGGACTGGCGTGTGGGTGAGGGTATGACGAATTCCTGTGTGTGCATTTGGGTCAAGGGTGGAGTCATTCTGAGTGAAGACGGCATGCAAAATTCATGTTGTTTCAGGCCATCAAACTTGACCCGGCAAAACACACCTGTCATAACTGCTGTCAGCAACGCAGAGCACATAGATGTCCTGCTGAGGCGCTGCAGCTGAAGGTACAACTTAAGTCATGAACTAATCGTACAGGCTGGTTTGATGAGTAGTTTCCAGAGGATTCATTTTATCGATGCAATATTTGCTTGTACAACAAATTGACTTTCATAGAAGTGTAGATGATGACGCCTGCCTCCTCCCATTGTTAAGAAGTGAGGCTAAAATACCTGCTTCAGTGCGTGCTGGTTGTGTACTGTATTTTGGAGCCAAGTCGTGCAAAGACGTGAGACACCAACCCTCCCTCTGCTAACCAAAACACTCATCTTACTTGTGAATAAAACATTGAAAATCCCTCAGGATGTTACAGTCCGCGGCAGAACAGATTCTCGCGTTGATCTGAAGCAGACACTCCTGGTTGTAAAAAAGAAAATGACTCAGTTAGTGTTTGTCATGTTCACCCTCACTGTCCCTCCTCTACTCCGCTGATGTGCACGCAAATCAGCATGTGAAGAAAATGAAAATGTATTTGACGTGTGTTTACATTTTCTAGTTTGACCTGTTTTGCATCTGTTATAATGGAGGAGGTGGGATCGATCGGTTCTGTTACCTCCCACTGTTCAGGAGATTCATGGAAAATGTATCATCAGGGTGTAAAATCAATATACTGCCACTACAGTTCCTGTGCAGAGTCTCAGTAACAAGCAAGTGTTGACACAAACCAAAAGTTCTTGACTGAAGTATTTAGTAGACTTAAACACGGGGCAGATTGTGAAGCATTGACATTTTTAAAAACTCTGCCTCATGTTTATTTCTGTGTTTTTATGCAGGCATCAGCTGGTTTTTAACAATCGGAACCTTTAATTGGTAATGTTACATCAGCTGTAGTCTGTAGCTGTAAACTTAGCCAAATGAACTCTGGTACGCAGCCCTGTATTCGGTCTAAGAAGTGGGGATTTAGACCCAAACCCACTCCAACGATTGTTTACTCTTACATGTACGGCTCATAGTGTCACTTCTGCAGATAAACGGTGCATTTTCAACGCTCATACAAGCTAACACAAGAAAAGATTTCTGTTGGTAAAACGTGTTCTTGCTGCTTGTTTGGTTGATGCTCCTAATGAGGGGGACAAATATTGAAATTATGTCGATGTTACATAACAACCTGTTGTGCTCAGATTATGGAAAGCACTTTCTAAATAAAAGGTTTATCCAACTGCTTATGTTGTTATTATTGGAATTGCATCATTGTAGTGTAGAAAATTAAGGTTAATTAATGGCAATTTGAAATCATCAGCATTGACCCATGTCTGCATGCGCTCATGAGGCCAGTGAAGATAATAAACAAATTATGTCTGCAGACACTGCAGGCAGCGAGCCAGCTGGTGTGAGCAATGCCATCATGCCTTTAAATGACACATTTTCTCATCCTAAAGAAACAAGACCTCTTAGAGACAAGATAAGCTTTGGCAGATTTACTCTACAACACTTACTAACATCTGTTTTATATAATGTATAAAATTATGCAGTTAAATATGTCCTCTGATGTAAATCTGTCATGTCTTTAAATCTGCCACACAGCCTAAATTATTTTTTATGTTTTTATTTAATTAGTTTTTAAAGTATTTATTATTTTTATTGATCAATAATTATTTATTATTATTTATTTATCAATTGAATTTTCCTTGGGGGAAATAAAATAAAGTTATTCTTATTCTTTATACAAAGTCCATCTGAAACATGTCTCTGGCTATATGACAACATTATAATGTAGACCACTGACTGACCTAGTCTCAGCAATGTTGAATATCAATAACAATCAGCTACATTTGATTTGCAATGTTGTCATAATATTTTTACTTAAGTTACTTTTTTATATTTTTTAAACTTTTTTTTGGCTGTCCTGAGAAACATGTGTGTGTCTGTGAAAAAATCAGAGCTGATCCAAACTGAGATTTGTTGAGTTGTTGCTCAGCTAGCAGTCACCAGGGGTGGCTCTTTATGGTTTGGCTTCACTTTTGGAGGAGAGTTGTGCTGTCCATCTTATACATTAGGGCTGGGACAATATGCTTTTCTCCCGATTTGATTCTTCTATGATTTTTTGGATGCCGATTGTACGATATTGTCGATTTTTTTCAAATTTTTAGTCCGCATATTTAACACCAGTGTGATTATGATTGTCTACTGACTATTCCAGGAATCATATTACCCCCTCAAAATTTACATTACATGTTAAGTCAGTTTTTCAGATTTATTCTAAAATTTGAAAAGAAAAAAAAACAAAGAAAAAAAAAATAGTGATCAATTTTTTTTCTCCCACCTCTATCATCCAGTCTACATCTTGATTATGATTGGCCTTCTATTTAACAAAAGTTTTTTATACTGGATGTTATGCAGCACAAATCTTATTCAAGTAAATGAAAATTTTATTTTAGATGGTGATTTATTCATTGATAAGCATTCCTTAAAATCTGATCCAAACTTTGAAGCAACATGTTGCAGTTCTTGGCAGTGCAACAGTGCAAGGTCTCTTTTTAGCGAACACTGATCCGTCGGACACTGATCTGAGGCTTGGTCAAACCAACCTGAACTCCATGACCTTCCCCCTACAGAAAAAGAGTTAACCTGGACCCTGTGACGCTGATCATTTCTGACATTTGCTGATACCTTGAAAATCCTGTTACAGATATCCATCAGTAAGGGCTGACGAATCCCCACTGTAGCTCAGCCAATATCTCCCTTCCATATTGTTTGGACCACACATTTTATTCCTCTTGTAAACGTAGTAAACCAAAGCTAATAGTCGGAGTTGTCACTTTGCAGGAACATAGTGCAGGTGTTGGTTTTAAATGTGTGTGAGTTCGGAGGAGTTGCTGCTCACTAAGGTTACAAAACCTGAGTCAGCTGATACGGCCTTGCAGCGTGGTTATTACTGCTGACTGCTTGTGGTTATATTTGGTTGTCTGGGTGAGTAGTGAGGGAAATACATATGTCAACTGTCAGGGAAACTTGAGATAAAACTGAAATACTTGAAAATTCTGCTCTGTGCCAGTTATAATATTCAGATGATTTGTTGCAGCTTTGTAGAATAATACAAGGCCTTACCAAGCAGGTTAACGTTTTTTATTGTAATGCAAACATGTTCCACTTCCAATCTATAACTCTTAAAGGCTGTGTACGCGTGGCCTCCAGGTTGTCTGTGCTTTACAAAAGCTTCTCTTAGAATTGATCATTTGTGCATCTTTTTCTGTTTACCCAGCAGTCGTGTTGCAACAGAAGAACCTGATTCATCGATCCAAAACCCTGGAAACATTCACAAGTTCAAAGACTCACGTTGCAAAATTGTTCTCTCAATCCTCAAATCACAACACCGAAATCCCGAGTCCACTCTCTCACAAACGACCTGTGCTCTAATTCTCTGAAACCTTGCACAAGGCTGCTAAGAAGCTGCTGGATTTGCAGGTTTTCTATTTGAACTTTTTGCAAAGGTCCTAAGTGTGTTTGTCAAGTGCAACACATGATTAGAGTCCACCAATAGTAATACTGCTTAGTCTCCACTTGTTCGGCTTTCGAGAGGAGATTTGGAGGGTTTATGTTGTGGTTGTTTACTTCTAATCTTTTAAAACTGAGGCACAGTTTCATAATGCCTCGTAAAAAGTAGTAAGCCCGCGTGTCCTGTACTCATTTATACGGTTTTCTGTTTTTAAGCTCCACGGGACATAAAAGAGAGGTTTTGACCAGATGTGGCTGAGCTCAGACTGTCTGGTTTTCTTTGAGAGTTACCTTCGACTGCACCAACATAATGAAAGATTAGTAACATGATCTGGTGTCACTTTTTCATCTCTAATACAAAGTACAGATAATAAGAGGTAGTATTAACTGAGCCGCACATGTTAGAAGCAGTTAAGTAACACTTTAAGTGACACGATGGTGCACTGAGCCCGTAATTAGACGTGTAAAAAACTACTGTTTTGATTTATGACATTTGTTTCATGCAGTTCATGGGAACTTTAGCCTTTGGGATAATCATGGAAATGCCTGAAGTCGTAGTCAAATGAATACTTTAAAGAATATGAGTTTCCTTGCCAAATCCACCTGTCAGTTACAGGAGCAATCTCAGGTGTTGTGAGTTATGATCCCGGCCTGATTATCAACATTCAGGGAACTGAGTTTTCAACATTTAAGAAATAGACTGTTATTTGTAAGAAGGTGTTTTCATGATATCCAAAAGCAAACGAGTCTATTGTCGACAAGGCTGATATTTAATATACTGTAATTTTTAATGCCTGAAACCGGTGTGTGGCGGTTGGGTGTCAGCCAAGTAATTTTACAATTTAAGATACATTTTACTGTCATGATTGAGCAGAGATTTTTTGTCACTACACATGACCCCTAGCATGATGTGGAAAAGTTAAGCAAAGACTGATTTGTCCACAGGGGGCGCCAAATTGACATCAACTGAAACGCACTCACAGGAGCTTGAAGTATGTCACATCGGATAAGTTTGCATTATTTGTTGTTGATCAGTTTTAAAATGTGTCTGTTGTATGATTTATATTGAATAAATGCTTTATTTTGAACATCCAATAAATAAACAAAACAGAATATAGGTAGTACCCTAACACATGCATACCATAAATAAAAAAAACAAACAAGGATTGCTGGCAACAACCTGCATGTGTTGCCGATCTACGTGTCGGAAAAGAAGTAGAAATAAGTTTACACTAATTTAATCCTACCCCTGTAATCAACACGTCCTACAGAGATTATTTTAATCTACACATATACATCATACACATCTAAATATACGTATATTTGCATGTACACACACATTTGAAATTAACATGTTTTTTTGTGCAAAAAAAAACCTTTTATAGTTCAAAATTCTCTCAATTATCCAAAAAAAAAAAAGACCATTGTTTTGACTTCGATGAGGCCATTTCAATAACAGGGATGTAAAAACAGATATTTTAATGTAATTTTTATTAGGTGCATTTTTTTTCCGCATTTGTTGACGTGTGAAAGTAAAAGAAGGGAGAAAGTAGTGTGGGTAGACATGCAGCAAAGTGTCGTGACCAGTATTGCTGCAACATGGACCACAGCCTGTGTGTATGGGCCATAAAACAAAAAGTAAACAAAAACAAAACACAACAAATGATGCTCCAAATTCCGGCAAAAGAACATTAACTGGGAGCTGATATTTTAAAAATGAATCTCTTGTCTGGCCAACACTCCTCTCCCCTGCTGCTTTATCGGGGGAATCACTCAATTATTGAACCAATACTGTGTGGGTTGTTAATGTGTGACTGCGAGCGTGAACACTTATTGGACATGGAGCTTGTTGGATGCAAAAGCTTGTGTGTGTGTGTGTAGTGCGTGTATTTGTGTGAGTGTGTGTGTGTTCAGGGTGGGCTAAAAGAAACTGCAGTAATTTCACCAGAGCTAAAATGTGTGTCTGCCCCACTTTCACTCTTTTAATCATGTATAGACACTCGGCCTGCTCCATGTGTGTGTAGTGTATTCGTGTTAATCTGCGAGTGTGAGAGGGTTTGGGTACAGTATGTGAAAGAGGAGATTGCACTTAGTACTCCCTGACTCCCAGGAGATGCTGTGAGTGTTGTACTTGTGTGTGTTTGTGTTTGCAATGCACTTTCCCATGTGTGTGACGTTTCTTCTACATGGAGGAGCAGAATAGGTAACAACACTGTCCTTGTTTAAACTTTGGTCGGTGATGGGCTCGGAGTGAACTCTATTAATTTTGGCTGACATTTATTTTCTGAGATTTAAAGAGAAAAAAGTGGAATAAAGGAGCTTAATGACATTTGTTCAATCAGGTAAATGCTAAAGATGGGTTAAAAACCGTAATGCTCCGTACTTAAACCAAAGCCTTAGCTTTTATATGCTAAATGGAAAAGCCCTAAAATTGAAAACACCTCTTCCATTTGTCATTTAGATCTTAAAGGGATATTCCAATGTAAAGTTAATTTAGGGTCAAACACACCATATCACTGAGTGAGACACCCCCTCAAGAGATGAATGTTGCTGACCGCTTGCTAATCTAATTATACCAACTTTAGTAACGACCACACGATAGCAATACATAGCAGTCTCAGGAGCAACGCGCAAACCTCAACCTATAGCATTAGCCACCAAACATCTTTTTAATTTAGCCTAATTCCTTTAGCAAAGAGATTAAACACAACCCACCTACTCTCTTCCAGCAGCCACTTGTTTGTAGCGAGACCTCAGGCGAGTCCATTATGTGCTGTGGGGTGACGCAGCTCAAGGAAGAACATTTATGATCATTTCTCATGGAAATGCAATAAGACCGAGACACTAAGGTAGAAGAACTACCACGTCTGTAGTGCAAAATGATTAATATGGTGATTATTACTTCAAAGAAATGATAAAGACCCCAAATTAATTTTACTGCGGGATATCCCTTTAAAATTTTACACTTACAACATATATATTTGAGCATCTAAGCAAAATCTAGTTGAAAAAAAATGTCAAATTACTTTGTTAGACCTTTCAACGAAGTGATCAGTACGAACATGTGTCAGATTTTATTACTGCCTCCCCTCCCTCTCTGACTGTCACACACCCCATTTAACAAGCTGCCTCCAGCCACTACAGTGTTGTACTTGTAAAGAACAGCGATGTACAGCGGTATGTACAGTAGCGTACAGCTGGGCAGCAAGTTTCAGCATGCCTCGTCTCTGTGTGAGGAGCAGTATGTTGGATTTACAGCTAAAGTACGCGCTGTTGCTCATGTAGGCTGAAGTGATTGAAGACAAAAACGCACCCCAGCTACACATGAAGCTAGTATGTGTTATTTTTCTCTGGCTAGAGTGGCTACGCTAAAATATCTAAGACCGAAATTTCACCATAAATTCCCAAGCTAATCATAGAGATAGTCACATTTAAGACTCTTGGCTGGTGCTGGCACCATCAGTGGGTGGTTTCTGACTCCCACTGGTGTAAAAGGTGGTCTGTTTTCTTCTGTTATGCCAGTATAAAATTAGCTAACTCTGCAGGGCTATTATTAAGCTTTGCATTAAAAAAAGGAAAACTTCGCTAAAATTGCATGTATATGCGACTTGCTAGTCATGGTATTGTTACCGTTTGTCACCATTCAGTGAATTTCCCTCGAGCTGTTGTTGTGTGCGAAGACAGGGAAATGTCAATCAAAGGAAGGAGACGTCAGTCAAAAGAAGGGGAAAGTCAGTCAAAGAAAAGAGACGGCAATCAACTTGTGAAAGCTCTGCCTACACAACATCGATGAATGCTCCAAAGAGCCAAATGACCTGATTATTTCACTTGGTTTCTGAGAGTTATGAATGTTTGATTTTTGTGCATTTTGACCAGTTCTTTCAATAGTTGAAATTTCCATAAGATTAAAGAGAGAGCCGAGAAAACACCTCTAAGGGGGTGTCTAACTCGGTGATACGGTGTGTTTGACCCTAAATTAATTTTACGCCGGAATATCCCTTTAAACACTTTAAATTTTACCAAAAGGGTTGACTTAATTAGTTTATCTTTATTCTTCATCTATGTTGCTTGCGCGCTCTCTCTGGGCTCTCCTGTGTGTAACTGCAGGCGGAGGGGAGGTCACAGTAGGAGTGTTTGAGTGGGGACAGCAGGGCTGTACATCTCCAGCCTGTCAGGTATTGACAGCAAAGCTCACTATGGAATGCCAACAGGCAGGCAGGGTGTGGCTACGCTGTGTTAGCAGCTTTGACCCTGTGGCCTTGGTTATATAACTGATTGTCAGTCTTTTGTAGGAGAGAGAAAGAGTGATAACAGCGTTTCATGTCGGAGCCGAAGTGACGTAAGACAAGAACGCGAATCATCTGCAGCTAGTGTGTTACTTGTACTTCCAGTGTTTTTTTTTGCATGTTTTGCAGCTTGAAATGAACTTCTATTGAATGTTGCTCTTTTTTAAGATCACCATCTGTGTAGCATGCAAACCCGCATACACACACACACACACACACACACACACACACACTCGTATGTGCAGACATTACTGGCAGTCAAGGTTAAACAAAGATAACTAGGCTGTATTTGGGTTAAGGGCAGTGCAGCAAGTTGGAAGAGAGCCATAAGTTCGCACACACACACACACACACACACACACACACACATACACACGCACGCACATACACACATAGTACACACACCTGTCAGTGTTGGCGTCTGCCCAGTCCTCTTTCTCTTACTCTCTGTGTTCCTTTGTCCTCTCTGTCGTGGTCATCGGACTTTGAAGCAGGATCTCCAGGGACAGCTGGTGGGCCAGTGTGAGCACCTGCACCTCGTTCATGTGTGTGTGTGTGTGTGTGTGGCTCAGTTTCTCTGCACCTTTTTGTGTATGGTTATGTGTGCAGTGTATCAGTGGGGTGGGGATGGGATACCTGCAGTGCCCTGGCTAGATGTGAGTGCGTGCGTGTGTGATGCGTTTCATGCGTGCATGTGAGCACCTGCGCTGCCAGCGGGAAGCTGCCACAGCCGCGGCGCTTCATGACGTATGCTGGTGGATTCCTGAGGTCGTGCTGTGAACCCCATAATAACTGTTATCTTCTTAAAGTCAGCTCACCCCGGTGTTCAGAGGAGGAAATGAAACCAGAGAGAAAGGACAGGGATGAATCTTTATCACCCACTGGATGGAGAGGTTGAAAATGTCTGATACTGTTGGATTTTTTAAGAGTTATTTGTAGGAGAGAGTGGGGTAAGTTGAGCCAAAGGGTTAAGTTGAGCCACCCCCTGTTGCTTGGAAATGGTAAAAAAAATTGATCATGTGACCAAATATTTAGGAGATGGACATCAATTCATGGAGTCTGTGACGGTTAGAGGCACATGGGTGAAGGAGTTAGACGTTTATATATAAAAAAAAAAACAAAACATTTTTCACTCTTGAAATATGAAAAAGCTCATCTTACCCCACTCTCCCCTACCTATGCCAGCATGTGAAATCCCCGTAGAGGAGAAACCAGCACTTTTTTTAAAACAACTAACTTGGAAGCCCCTGCCTTCAGGTCCTCTGATGAGAAATTAGCATTTTCTCCTTCAAAGTTAATCTTTCTACCATTAGCTTTGTGTTTGACCCACTTTTCACTAATCACCACTAATCACCTATCTCCCCATCGTGATCCAAATGCATGTTCATGGTTTTGCTTTGGTTTTACATCGCTCTCACTTTTCTGTGCGATACCGCTGTCAGTTTACCGCCTCAGCTGCAGGATCTTACCCAACGAACACTAACTTTGATTTACACAAGCAATTAAGCCATCAGAAGGAAACTGCTCTCTCGCCGCAGCTGAAAGCCTGACAGACAAGTAAAAGAGCACAGGTTGACTTGTCGTCAGCGCACTCTGACAGGAGCGAGACTGTGGGGGCGAATGAGACTAAAAGTTTGTGTCAAGGAGTAGAATAAGGTTTTACTGCAGCAGCTTGTGGGAGCTCGCTTTAATACTATGGAAGAACGTCTAATCCAGCCATCCTAAGTGTCGTCTGCTTCACTGTCAGATTACTGAGGAGAGTAGGGCATGCTGGATTACTGTTTACTATCACTTTACACTTGAGGAGCTTGTTTCTGATTGGTCGGTTGGCTAACTTTGTTTCTCGCCTTTGCCTGATTTGCTTTGGATTTCATTTTAAAAACCTTAAATATTAGTATTTTCTAGAGCTCTCTTTCTTTTATCTCCACTGAAAGATCAAAAGCAGTGGATGATTACTATGCATGAGAAGGCTGCATATGTCTTTTAATTGTTAAAAAAAGTTTAAGTTGAAAGTTTGGTGTGTGTATACCCATGTGTGCTCATTCCCTGCGGGCCCCCCTCTCAGCGTATTCTTCAGGGGCTGATCAAAGCTAGGCCCCCCCCCTGTGACTTTTGCATCTCGAGGCCCTCAGTGCTAACTCTGCTCTGACTGAGGAGTGCTGAGTAACCCCCTTGGGTGCTCTGATGCTCACTGTTGGTGTGCTCTTTAAAAACGTGTGTTTGCAGGTAAATCCTGCAAAAAAAACGAAGAAATGGCGGAGTGACATCTTTGTCTGTTTCACTTTTACCCGAGTGCAGCACACACACACACACACACACACGGAGCGGAGTCTGTTTTATGCTCTGTATTTTACTCTCTCTTGCTCATATGCCTGTCACGTGTCATTGGGATGTTATGTTGTGTTTTGATGTGTTGCCCTGGAGAATACCAGTTCCAAAGAGAAGGGTAATGACAAAGAACAGAGGAAAAAATAGGGGGAGAAGAAATGAGCAAAGACAGATGCTTTTTTTATTATTTAAAACATGCTTCACCTTCATGAAATTCCCTGTTTTAACAGCTCAATCTACTATATCTATATCTCAATGTGTTTTTTCATATCAGTCGATATCGATACATATCACGATACCAAAAATGACATTCAACAGTACTTATTGGTAGCATGTCTTTTGCAAAACAACAAGCTACTGCATCCCTGAGGTTTTTGTGTCTCTTTGACGTTTTGTCGTTGTCGTAAGGTGTTGCACCAGAAAAAGCGGACTGTGGTCGGCTGTTTCAGTTGCACAGGCGCCATGGGATCCTTGCACTCATTTTCTCCTTTTCTCACCGATAGTGCTGTTGGCTTTACGTGTTAAAGTGCTATGGTTGCGTGTAGCTGCAGCCTGCTACTATGCAGTTCTTTGATACTTGGTTCTAATTCAGCACATGATCGGTTCAGTGCGAAGCGGACCCGGGTCAAACCCCCCTTTTCATTCGCTATTCATATAGTCTACTAAAACATGTCAGAATGCAGACTATTGAAAAGGATATTGACCGTGTTTTATGTTGATATTAAAGGAAATTAATTTTCACTATATATCATTATCGTTTTATCGCCCAGCCCTAGTGGGACCGGATAGTGAACCCTGACAGTATTTCCCTCAGACAACAGGTTCCCTGTGGTGTCTCAGCGCAGAGTTTTATCTTCATTTATCGCTCCATGTTATCTCTTTTGTGTACACAGTGTCAGAGTGTCACTGTCTATTTTAGCTGCTCCACTATCTGTGCTATCTAGGTTGCCTGGCATGCGGCTGCATTGTGCATACAGTATGAATGGAAGCGGAGACGTGTGTATGTGTGTGTGTGTTCACCAGCAGGAAAAAGCGTGATCACCAAGTACACAGAGGCACATTTAGGCAGCTTTTAAGAGGACTGAACATTGACCTGCAGTGATAGTGCTGAGGGGTTAGTGAGTGAGTTATATAACCAGGAGGTATTCATGTTTCTCTTTGAGGCTCATTGTATGTGTCCGTCTCCTGTGGTTCCTTTCACTCTCTTTGCTTTTCTAATTTTTTTATTTACTGAGTTTGAAAATTGGCAAACTAAATCGCTTAAATGTAATTTGATTTCAGCAACAATACAGCCAAAGACAGTTTTTTCACAACAGAAGCAGCAACAACGATCAAAGCAGGATAAAGATGTACAGACATTGACAATTGTTCATAGTTCAAACATTTGATTTCAGGTAAAACTGAAGTAAGGCCACAAAAAAAAAAGAAAAAAAACTAATTTTGGAAAAAAAAATCATAAAGTAAGAAAAATAAAGTCATACATTTGCAAGAATAAGCAAAACAACCAGTTAGCTTACCAAAACACTGAAATTATATATTTACTACAACTTAATCTTGAGACTTAACAACTTTACTACCCTAAATTTCTGACTTTATTTATTCTAATGCTTCTAGGACTTTTTTTCCACAATTTTATTTTTGTAAAATCACCATTTTATTCTCCTAAAGTTATGACTGTATTCTCATAGTAGTAGGACCTTGTCAGTTTACATTGTGTCTCTCCCACGGTCTTATCCTTAAGGACCCTTATCCTTGTATGACACTTTAATGCCTGAAACCACAAATTATGGCCAGAAAATACACATTTTTTTTGGAGCTGAAATGTTTATTTCACTTACTACTGAAAACCAAAAAAAATAAAAATGTCCTTCAAATTTAACAAATATATTTATCTCGTTTGATACATTAGATGTTTTTGAAACCTGATAAACCACAAGAGGACATTTTTATCATTTAGCAGACTGTATTCAGGTGTTTTTTTTAGTAATTTGTTGCTCATATTGGTTTGATAGAAGTATATAAAAGTGTGTATCAAATATGATACAAAAGGCATTAAAGGGATAAATTAATGGAGTTCGTTTCTATTTTTAAACTTAGAGTACTTCTACACTTTGAACCATTTGAGACACAAAAATTTAATGATTCGTGCAAAAACATGCTGTTTTCTGCTACATTTCTTTGAATTATACATAAATGTTTATAAGTTTAGCAAATAATTTTATTCTTCTATTTTATTAGGTAACAAATCATCATAATCAGCCCACAAATAGACCCTAAAAATTCATGATGGCTAAGGGCTGAATAGCTAAACAGTCTGTTGTTGTCCAGGTAGTCGCTGGTCGTGATGTGTACAGACTGTGAACCGGCGCCTGCGGTACAATCCAAGAACTTTTCAGCAGTTTTTCTCAGTGCCTGGATGCCAACAGTGATGATGACGCATTTTAAACGAGGAAAAACAGCTTGTTTGTTGGAGTGTGTCATTTGCAGAATCGCCGGAGTTTCAGAGGAATTCCCTCAGAGGCCAGCCGCCTTCTGGTGCTTTTTCGTCCGATCCTTTTAATTTGACTGTTTATTAATTTTTTCTTCATCTGCGTTCAAAGATACAAATAAAGAACAAAGGCAGCATAAGGGAGGACAAGTTTGGAGAGCCAAGCAGGCCCACGAGGGAGCGTGGAGTGGCCTCATCGATTCCCAAGAAGAATTTTATCATTTAATTAGATAAAAAGAGGAAAACAAATATGTGTCTGTGGAAAAAGCTTACTTGACATGAATGTGACAGACAGAACATAGCTGTAGAGTAACACCAATACAATAACATGCTTAAAATAGAGTCAAGTTTCTTGTGTTCCTCCCTTGCTAGTAGCAGTGTGGATTCTGTGTCAATGGTAACAGGAGCATTAGCCAGACAAGCTAGGTCAGAGTGTAATCCTGCAAGAGACACTCTGCTTCTCATTACACACACTCGCATGTGCGTGCACACACAGCACCTATGGCTCTATCCTTTTTGTAGACAGCTGTGCTACCGTCAATGAGTGTGTGAGCGTGTGTAATGTGTGCGTGTGTGACAGAGGGACAGCAGGCGGGGGACCAATAGTAGAGCGCACTGAAAGGGGGCAGGGCCCTGCTTCATAGGTGCACACACACACGCACACACACATTTAAGCTGCCACTGCTATGGAGTGTGTTGTTATTTGACAGACGGAGAAGTGAATCCAAAGTTGCTGAACATGTGTGTGTATTTGTGTGCATTTACAAACCTGTGTGTAAAAAAGTTCACAGCATATCGACTCATTTTTTTCCTGTAAAATACTGAAGATTGACGAGGTGAACCCAGGTGAAGCTCTGTCCTACGATAGATGTATTGATTTACGGGAGGATTTCACCTTTAAAACGGCTCAAATACACTTAAAGGGAGGACGAGCACGCTTTATTTGGTATTGATTGACATTTTCTTTTACAGCTTACCGCATATCTTTCTCTAAATGTACTTTCCATGTTTAAGTTGAGCATCATCGGATAAATAATCCTGTTTTATAAACGTCTGCTCCATTTGTTTCTCTCACTTTCCACACATTAGCAGACTTTTAAATGTACTCTCTGTTCCTTTATGCATTAGTCCGGCGGCTCAATCGTAGAAGTCATGAGTATTCAAGGACTGATGAACAGATCATACTGTTCCATAAGCTCACCCTGTCTCTTATTAACACACACACAGTTCACCATATGCATTTTCATCCCCTCTGCTGCAAACATTTCCCAGCCCTTTTTTACATGCTCTTTGCTCCTGTGGGAAAAAAATACAGTTTGAAAATAATGGTGGTTTGGAGACAGGCGTGTTTGCTATGCTAATGAAGCTATAAATCTATGCTAATAGCACAGACAGAAAGTACAGATCAATATTTTAAGCTGAAGTGTAAACAGGAGAACCTTAATACCTTTTTTTGGCATTGACAGAAAGTTTTCAAAAGTATGAATAACGTCCAACTGTTAAAGCTCCTGTAAGGTGTTTTTGATTGAATGATAGACAAATTTCCCTGTAAAAAGAACAATGGTCGAAGATTTTTGTAGATTTTCACCCCTTTCATTTAGACAAGACAAAATTAGCAACACTAAAAGTGTTACCACTTTGTCCACAGGGGGGCACCAAAATCAACACAGAAAGAAAATTTCTTACAGGAGCTTTAAACTGAGAACAAATTGTGTGAATTTTTGCTTTAGATGTCTCATTGTGTACTTTCTGATTAAACTTTTTGTTAGTATCAATAAAAATGATTGAATCTGTGTATTTTTACCCCTTTTATTTGGACAAGACAAAATCAGCAACACTAGAGGTATTACCATTTTGTCCGCAGGGGGGCACCAAAATCAACACAGAAAGAAAGTTCCTTCCAGGAGCTTTAAACTTTGAATAAATTGTGTGAATTTTTGCTTTAGATGTCTGTTACTTTTTAAAATATTGTGTACACTATTGGTTTGCATCAATAAAATAATTGAGTCTGTGAATTTTAGTCAACTGTGTGTCTTACAAAAGTCTGTCTCGTCACCTGTTGCTTCACCTGACCTCTCTCCTCCTCTTGTCTCTCTATTTCTATGTGGGTGTCAGAGTTGCAGCTAAAGGGTTGGACACAGTGTGGTAAAAGTAGAAGGAGTATTTGATTTTAAGGGAGAAAATATATTCAAAGATCAAAATAATCTATGTTATAGATCATAAAAATACAATAATCCAGACTGAATTTGTGGGGCCACCTGCTGTGTGAAGCTTTGATATAAATGTTTGCATGTTTGACTTGGAATGTTCATGGCTGTGTTCGTTAGCGACTTTCTTTGGCTTTGGCTTTGTAACTGTTTGTGAACGGTACTAAATACTGTGTTTATGTATTTATATGCCTGTGTTTTACAGGTTTAACGTTCCTGTGTACTCCTGTTTGTGCGCGTCTCGGTGTGTTTGTGTGTTAGTCGAGTCTTTATGAGCTCAGTACAAACAAGAAAAAAGGATCTTTTGGTAACAGTTTCTCTCCCTGAGGCCTTGTTGTCACATGAACAACTGACCTGATTTTAATTTTTTTTTTTTGTTGTTGTTGTTGCCACAGCGATGCCTTGTTTCAGGGTTCAACTTAATGCTCTCTTCCGCCTCACGACCTTGGGACATGTCTTTATCACCATAGTAACAGCCTCTGGGGTTACTGTAAATGAGGAAAGCACCATCCTTTTTTTCTCTGTGCTTATGCATCAAATTAGGTGCTTAACTACAGTCTTTTCACCCACTGATACTCAACATCATGGCCGTGAAGTCAGATACACAGCTAGGTGGTATTTATATAGTAGATGTCTCCTCAAGGCAGCTGTGCAGTGTCACAGTAGAGGTTTGGGATTAAAGTGCGACTTGATGTAGGAGTTGTAGACAAGGTTTTATCAGTGCCAGTGTTTCCTTAAATGATGTGTGCAAAGTTTACACAGTGAATGTTATATCAGCGCATTAATAAACTAAATTACAGTATACTAAATCAAAGACTATGGGCCTGTACAGGACTGAATTAAAAAGCCACATTGCACTATTCATAGGAAAAATGCTTCACCTTTATGGCACATTCAGGCATGAATGAATAAGAAAACATACATTCAAGTAAAATACTGTATAGAGCATGGTAAATACTGCACATTGTACAGATTATTAATGACCAGTATATTACACAGCATGGTCATGTGGTAGATTAAAGAGTAAACAATATAGATTTCACAGTAAATAATGAGTAGATAATGCATGAAGCCCAGTGGATGATGCATATGGCACAGAAGATAATGTGTGTAAGCAAAATTGTATGTTGTAGATGGAATAATGTATGCTGCCTGATGGATAATGTAAATTGCGCAGTTAATAAATGATGTGCACTGCAGGGAGAATTTTGTATATTGAACAATAAAAACTGTTTATTGCATGGTAGATGATGTAAACTGCATCATAAACACTATATATGACACAGTGGACAATAAAACAGCATTGCTAAGTAAATTCTGCACATCATGGCAGACAATGTACTTGTATTGTACAGTAAATAATGTATGTTGTACAGTAGATAATGCATGTTTCATTGTAGACAAGGTATATTGCACGGTTGATAAATAATGCACAGTATATTGCATGGAGGATAATGTACTGCACAGTAAATAGTGGAAATTGCATGGTAGAGAATGCATTTAACACAGTTTATATACTATATATTACACAGCAAACTGTAAAAGTGAGTAAATAAATGATAAGTATGTTGCAGGATTGACAATGTGTATTATGTACAGTCATTAAAATTGTAGCTTGTAGGGTAAATGGTGCAGAAGCAGAACAGGAACAGGAGAAGGTGAAAGTGCAGTTGTCAGTTTATGAACCTGTGCAGGGAGGATAGGGGGGTTAGTGCAGTTATTGGTTTGTGGAAACAACATCTTTTAAGATGGGCTTTTTGCGCCCGCAAGAGGGCAAAGGGTCAAACAGATGACTCTAGATTGTATGTGTGTTCAAAGAAAAGTGCTTTTAACATAATTTGGTTGTCAAGTTTCAGCTTAATCTCTGTCAGGCCTTGTATGAACAATAACAGATTCCCACTTAATTTTCTGTCATTGCCCACTGATACTTCATGATATTATCTCTCAGCTTAGCAGAAGCATTCGGTCAAGGTCAAAAACTGTTTAAGCCAACACATGAAAGAGATCCAAATGCCTCAAATGACTACGTTTGAAAAAAAAAAAAAAAATGGAGGACACACGCCTTAAACCAGTGTCTCATGCGGGTAAACAAAGCGTGGTTGCCATGCTGATTGGGCGTTTGAGTATAAATAGCACGTCTGTTTGTTCTGAGTCCTCCTGGGAGAGACAGACACGGGGAAAGGCAGGGAGACAGTGTGTAAAATCAGCTGCACATTGTTTGGTGTATAACTGCCGTCAAGTTTGAACATGGGGTTGGACCATTTTGTCTGTGACTCTGTTTAATAAGATTACAGTAGCGATCAATATGAATTCAAAGTCAACAGGCCGTCTGTGTTAATATTGACATGTATTCATCTTGACTTTCTGAGAGGACGCTGTTGTTGTGAAGCCATAGCAGCAAATCAAGGCAGTGTAACAGCAAACTAATGTTGCTTTAGCGTCTTATTGTCGGATTTCTGATAAGATAGTTTCTGTTTTCTTCTTTTCTTCTTCATTTCCATCATTTTTTTTGAAAGTTGCACTTGGCATAAGGTTATACACAGTTTATATTTAAGTTATTATGCAGCGATAATTAAAAGAGGAAAAGCAGAAATCACACCAGAAAAGATAATAATACCTGAATTCCTAAGTAGAGTAATAATTATGCTAACACTCTCGGTCTTTTTCTCTGTGCGTCTCTTAAGGGAATGGTGACATCACCTGCAGACAGACAGACGAGGACAAACGGCGCAGACACCTGGAACGCTTCCCTCCCATTGGCGGAGAGATCCAGACTTCACACCAGAAACTGCAGCACCAGGCGGTTATCAGCTCTCAACTGAGCGGCAGGCTCCACCTACTCCATCTACAAGTAGCTCTGCCTCCTCTGCTCAGGTAGGACTTGACTGGACACCCGAAAAGCTATTGTTCCTCGTTGGGTGTGATGCTCCGTTTTGTGACGTGTGCTGCTGCTGAGTTTTTTCTTGTCTATGTAATAGTTTAAAAATAGCATCAGAAGGACTTGCGTCTACACGTGTGTTTGAGTTTGAGTTTCTGCAACCTCAAGGATCAACTTTTACAGCCGTGTCTTATCTTCCTTTCATTTCATTCCTGTGATTTTTTGCCTTATTATATTTCCAGTTTTCTAAATCTTTGACCCTCCCACTGATGCCTCTCGACTTAGTTGTGCTCTCCCCCTCCTTCTCTTCTCCTTTCTGTATCCTCACCCTCCGCTGTATCTACTGAGGATGGACCGTCAGTCCTTTATCTCTGTCTCCACAGCTGTGTGTCCAAGCTCCTCTCTGTCCTATGAGGGAGGGCAGAATGAAAAGAAAGGCTTACTGAGAGGAACAGGGAGGAGGCCAATCCCTCTTCCCCCTTCTCCTCCTCCTCCTCCTCCTCTCTGCTGAAATGGGGATGTCATTTTATGGTAGATATATCACAAAACATGGAGTTATAGAGAAAGAGATGAGACACAAACTCAACCAAAGCAAAGTCTGGGACGTTGCTTTCAATATCAGTAAAAGTACGGACATCCAGAAGATTTAATTGGTCCCAAAAATTCACGAAATCCAAAGAGAGGAGTCTTCTGAGTCTCATCGCCGTTGCATCGTACCTGCTTTTGATTTAATAGTTTACCAGCCTTTAGCGATATACAGTTTAACTCCCTCACAAACAGCATCATTAGGTTTTGCTGTGAGGTACTTTAGAGTGCTCGGGGACTTGTTTTGTAACTTTACAAATGTGTTTTGAAGTACAGACTAATTAGTTTATTAAATTAAGGTTGTAGCGATTCAGAGAGGAGTACAGAGGATGGGTGTAAACAAGAAAAGAGACAAAATTAAAGGAAATGTAAGGTTTAGATGAAAGAAAAGCAGCAAAGGTGCATAATTATATTAAAATACTGATTAAAAAAACAGCCTTTCAAGTCCTTTCTTTCTTCTCTCACTCTATCTCTCCTCCTTGTGTCCTCTTTTCTTCACCTGTCATTCTTTTTTAAAAGAATATTACACATCTCTCTCCCTCCTCCTTCCTGCTTCCTCTCTCTCTCTTTTGTAAAAATCCGCTGCTGACAGTCGCCTTTTTTCTGTTAGCCGAAAGTGCCAGGAACGAGCAGATGGAGGGCTGACAGTCTGGGAGCTCAAACAATGACGCTGGGCGGCAAGTCGTGGTGATCAACACATGTCAGAAAATGGCTGATAATGGGGGAAACACATACGGGCTGTCAGTCAGATTCGAAGGAGGGTGGGTCCATTTCTGTCTGGAGTCAGAACCGCCTCAACTGAGATAGATGTTCATGTTGGCACACGCCGTATGTTGTCTCCTGTATGTCACACGGTGAGCTCACAAGGAGAATAAGCTAATAGAACCCGACAGCCGAACCATGAATCATGAATAAAACACTTCTTATGTTTGTTAATTATTGAGGTGGAGTGAGCAGGGCTGCGGCTTTCTCGATGTGTGGGAAAAATCACTTTCTCCCGTATCAATCATGTAAAAATAAACTTCACTGACAAGGATAGCATGTGATGGTACCTGTCACTCACTGGTATCTGAACACAAGTTTTAGAGGCCAGTGACAGCAGTCGCCATATTAGAAAAGCTGACTCAACCATTCTTTTGTTCAACGACCGTCCACCTGTTTGTCTTTCCGTCCTTTCTGTCCAGTTTCTTCTTTGGTCATTTGGCTGCTGATGTTCATTTACATCGTAAGTGCTCACATGAGGAATCGTAAAGTATTTCAATTAAAATACCTATAATTGGCGTAGTATTATACGGAGCAATTTGAATTAAGCATTGATTGGTTTATGCTGCGAAAGCAAAATCGGAGACATAAACAAGATGGCTACATCTACGAACGTTATTTTAGCGCTTGTCTTGTCCTTATTATATTCGGACAAGGCAAGCGCTAAAATAAGTTTGGTAGATCCAGCCATCTTGTTTCCGCCTCTGATTTGGCTTTTTTTCTGACTTGGTGACTAAAAAGTTAGGAACTTGGGTGTGACGTCATTTTCAGCTTCGACTTCTGACTTCCGAGGTAACTTGAACGCAGCATTATTGTTGCTAGCGCATACTCCGGGCCTGGGCTGCCTTACATGAATGCACTTCTAGTTTAGACATTCCAGTCAGGCAGTCTTGTAGACTGCTCAGGGGTCCTGTTACGGGGCTGATCAGGTAGTGACACAGCATACTGTAATGCTCTGAATATCCACTGAGCGGAGCAGCTTTGTGGCTTACCAAAGTGGCACTTACACATTTCGACAGAATTTTGAGCGCATTGTACCACATAAAATCGGTCAGTCAGTACAAGTAATCATACAAAAGGCGCGCTGGATTTTAAGGCGGACTGTCAATTTTTGAGAAAATTTTGAATTTTAAGTGCGCCTTATCGTCAGAAAAATGCGGTATATTTTAGCCACACCCTCAGTTTTTGTGCTCTGCTGCAAAGAGGGGCTAGCAAAACTTGCCTCTAAAAGATGATCTGAGTGTTCACTTTAATTAAAAATAATCCACTAGCAGCCTTGCATCTCCAATGTCTGTAATTTCTAAGAGAGTTTCCTTGAAAAATAATGTTAGTTTTTTTGCTAATCACAGCAAGTACGGAGGACGTGCTAAGTTTCTTACCTTCCCATTAGATTTATGCTGATGAATTTCTTCTTAAAGAAGTATTTTATGGTTGATGAAGACTCATTCTCCGAAAAAACAAAAGATCCAGTGAACTGGCACTGTGCAGATTTCACGGAGCTCAGGAACAAATCAACTCTCTGTCTGCTGCTCCTTGACTCAAAGTGTCACATTGATCCGCTCATTAGCTTCCTTACATTGCTGCTGGGCAGTTACTTTAAACTCATACCCCACCTGAGGCAACATTTGCAAAAATAGGCTCAGCTTTGATTAAATTATTGCACAAGGCTGTGATATTTGATATGCTGAGAGAAAGGGTAAATGTATTGATGTCTTGAAGGCAAAATCTGACAGTTTCACATTAACCTCATACTTCCAGAGATTGATTTTTTCCTTTTTCATGTGAGAGTAAAATGACTCCCGCCCACTCTCCCATGGTAAGACTCAATGCAGCCTGCAGCAACAACTCTCACTAATCTCAAAGATGTCAAATTACCAATTAACCCAGCAATGCTCTTTATAATACACTTCACATCAGCCTTTAGATGTCCAGCAATGCCAGGGGGCATCAGCGCAGATGCTCATAATAAAGCAAATTCAATATATGTCAGTTGTTTATCATCAGCCAGCAGAGAGTACTTTAAAACTTTGCATCCTTTCAATGAGTACTAATACACAAAACTAGTAACTATACTATAAAATAAACAAACTTTTAGATTTCACAGCAGTTCCCTGTAGTAAGAGGCCTGTAACGAAGCTGAGAGGGTTAAAAATTCAGAGTAAATGAAGAGGTCTTCCTTGTGTGTGTGTGTGTGTGTGTGTGTGTGTGTCTGTGTGTGTGTGTGTGTGTGTGAGGATGGATTTCCCCTTCTCTGTTTTCTTGTAATAGCTGCGCTCTGCTTTATTTGATCCGGGCCCCCGCTCTTATAGTAGGATTGAATTGGGTTTGGAGAGCAAGTGAAACGCTCATACACACACACACACACACACACACACACACACACCTGAGACTGCCAACTGCTACAGCAGCTGCCCCAGAAAGAGTGAAGGCGAGAAAGGGGGTAGGGTGAATGATTGAAGAGAAAAAAAGACCAGAAATAGGAAAGAAGACTGTCAGAAAAAGAAGGATCTGTGTCTTTAAGGAGAAGTGTTTTTTCTTTAATGTGCTTATAAACACAGACAAGAAAGAAATCCATCAAATTGTAGAAATTGTTTGTCTCGAATTCATTTTTTCCTCCTTTTTTTCCTCCAGTCTTCTCTCAAACTTCGACACCCCCCTGTTGAGTCCCTCACTCAGCCCGACTTTTGTTTTGCTGTCTTTCCTCGTCATGCCCCCCTATGTCTCCACAGACTCTCCCTCCAACACACTCGCACTCACACACACACACAAACTGCGGCTGTCTCTGCGCACTCACAATCAGTTAATTACCACGCCGAGTGTCACTGAGTTCATCCAAACCTTTTTTTTTTTTTTTCTGAATTACCGAAAGGAGAAAAGAGAACTAGAGAGATGTAGAGTAGAGTAATGAATGAAGAGCTAACCTCCGACTGCTTATTGTGTGTGCACTAGTTACTCTTTACAAGAGGAGAGAAAAGAGCAGAATGAAGTTCTTTTAAATGAAGCGTATTTGGGTGTTGCAACCAAGGCCGTTCTGCTTGAAACGCCTCACAAAGCCCTATCGTGTCTCCTCTATGCAGACATTTGTAAGGACATTTAACTAATTTGTATGAATGTTAGAAAATAAGAAATTCATGTAGAAAGAGGCTATATTTAACTGGAAGTCTACATGTTCCTGAAAATAAGAACTTTCCTCCTACTTTAACTGCTTTAGAGTTCATATTTGTGTTACTAACATAGTAGTACTCATGCTGAGATGTAAGGAGAAAGCACCAAAGGGATTTAGAGTACAATCTTGAGATTTTCAGGTATTACTTTTGCCGTCTCCGACGCTGATTCTGCAACATAACATTCTGAGACTGAGCTTGTTTAGAATCAAAAACACAACATTGCACAATATGGTGTAATAACTCAACACAGTCACCTCTAGCTCTGTAAAGCAGCACTCAAAACTGAGGTCTTGCAAACCTAACTCATGGTTCTTACATATTGTTATTTCAAGGCAGGGTATCTGTGCTCCCGTTACACCTAGTCCTAGATTGGCGGGGTAGTCTTTCCCCCGGCCTCTGATCCTCCTTATATCAGGGAGGTCGAAAGTTACATCCAGGGGTAACACTAACAGGTCTATAGTCTAACTGGTAAGCAGGACTTTGGGTCAGCCTTAACTTTCAGCTCTAAGTCGGTCCAGTCGTTCTCTCAGCTGGTGCACTTGGCCCCTGGAGTCTTATCCTAGACCGATTAATCGATCAGCTATTTAATCGGTCTATTATTGGCATTTTGATGGCTTTATCATCCTCGACAGCTCTCTATCATTCCACTCCCACATCAGTAGCATCACCCGGTCTGCATATTTCCACCTACGAAACATCAACCGTCTCCGTCCATCACTCACTCCTCACACCACAGCTATTCTGGTCCACAGCCTTGTTACCTCACGCATAGACTACTGCAACTCACTCCTCTTCGGTGCCCCTCACAAATCCCTCCATAAACTTCAACTTGTCCAAAACTCTGCAGCCCGCATCATCACCAGAACCCCCTCTTTTCACCACATCACCCCTGTCCTTCAGCAGCTTCACTGGCTCCCCGTCAAGTCCAGAATCAACTACAAAATCCTCCTGTACACTTTCAAGGCCATCCATAACCTTGCCCCCCCCCTACCTCTCCGATCTCCTCCACATATCCACCCCCTCACGCTCCCTCAGATCCTCCTCCTCCCTCCACCTCTCTGTCCCCTCTGCCCGGCTCAGCACCATGGGGAGCAGGGCTTTCAGTCGCTCTGCTCCCGACCTCTGGAACTCTCTCCCCCCGGACCTCAGGAACATGGACTCATTACCCCACTTTAAATCCAATCTCAAAACACACCTATTCCGAATCGCATACTCACTTTAACTGTCTACTTTCACACTTGTATGTTGTTTTTATTTATTTTAATTATGTTTCTAGCTGTGTTTTTATGCCCTGTAAAGTGTCCTTGGGTGCTCAGAAAGGCGCTTTTAAATAAAATGTATTATTATTATTATTATTATTATTATATCGACAGTGACCACCAGATGAAACGCTAGCATAGATCAATGTTTTCATCAATTCATTAGAAATCCATTCAACACAAGTTGCTGCTTAAGAGATTCATGAAAACTAGACTTTTGATGTGAACAGAATAATGAAGTTTTAAATTTGACTTTATTTTTTCCTGTTTTGATTTCAACCCGAATTTTAACCCAGTATTTTTTTCACTTAATAATTTTGGACAGCTTGACAGAGATCCAAAAGTCTCTAGCGGCAACTTTCTACTGAGGCTATTTTTTTTTTGTGTTTTTTTGCAATTTCTTGTCTTATTCGTTAGTTTCAAAACAATGTGATACTGGCATAACATATTAAAAATCGGCTGAAACTGTTTTTACTGGCTACCGGTCAATTTTCATATTAATTTTAAAATTTTAGTCATTTTGTTTATTTTTTATTTTTTTATTTAACAACAAAACAGAGTGACAACAACAACAAAAACAAGAACAACAAAAAATTAAATAAAAAATTAACAAAAATACGTTTGTGAGGGAGGGGAGGGGGAAAGAATATATATAATAGAGAATTTAAAAAAAAAAGATAAAATGGAAAAAAAAATCTTAATTGGATTACATCGAAATATATATAGTAATAATAACACATTTTTTAAAAATTAAATTTAAAAAAAAATTTTAGTTCTAACTTTCCGGGCGCTGCATGGTCAGGCTTCCCAATATATCACTGATTTGTTGTGCCCCTATTCCCCAGGGCGCACCCTTCGGTCGTCAGGCCAGAACACCCTAATGGTGCCGAAGACCTTTTAATAAACAGGGTTTTGTTTGTCTCTTTTACTCATCTTTTATATCTGCACTTATTTCCATATTCACTGTACTGTAATCATATTTATGTATGTATATGTACTTATCTTTTTTTTGTACCGTTTTTTGTTTATCTAATCACACTTTTTTATGTACAGCACTTTGTGATTTTTATCTGTGAAAAGCACTCTATAAATAAGCTTTACTTACTTCCTTTACTTACTACCTGATATCACAGTATCGGTATCAGCAGATACTGTTGAAATACCGATATTGGTTGACTGCTAATAGCAACTGTGTGCTTTAAGGAAATAACAGACTGTTGCTATGGGATACAAACGAATCAGAATCAAGCACTTAACTCAGCTGTCTGATAAATTGTAACGATGGTAACAGGAGAAATAATTTTTGTTCCATTTTTTTTCCAAATAATTTACAACCAACAATCCTCGTATTCTGAGTAAAAACTTCAGAAACTTGACGTTTCCTGTCAGCACCTTTCTCCAGGTGTTGACAGGGTACGGCTTTCTTAGTTTGCGTTGCTGTAACAGTCATAGAGGAGAGTGTTTGAGAGTAAATCTGCATTTCCTGCATAGATAGTAAAAGTCCTCTAGAGTAACGTCTCCTGCTCAGCACAACAGTTTTGAACGTAGAGAGAAACGATACAGGGTTTGATGGCTTCCCCCATAGGAGCTAATCAGAGTGTATGAGTCTACTCGGCTCAACCGCTGTGTTCCATGACTACATCCTGATAAACATCACTGTGTGCACTGTGTGTCTTGCCTGTCAGCATGTTTGTTGTGTTAATACAGCAGCGTATACCCTCGGCTACATGTGTCTGCATCTATCTGTGTGTATACGTGTGTGCGTTTGCGCGCTTGTGTGATCTGTACGTTGCATGCGGTACTCTGTTTGTCTCGTGTGCCACAAAGTACTGGATGCATATGTACGTGAAATGTGAAATGTCATGTGGAGCTGTTGGGTATCGACTGGAATCCAGCCATCAGTATGGAAAAACATGTTACTGCAGGTCATTACTAATGAGCCGTACATGTGCTGGAACATTCTGCGTGTGTGAGTGTGTGGGAATGAGGGTGGATTATATCTTTGCATTTCGGTTCCATACACTATATCTGTTACAGTCACTTATAATATATAACCGCTAACTTTCCAGTTTGTGTTAATGTGTGTTTTCACAGACTTCCTCTGAGCATGTGCGTAACTCGTGTCCATGTGGGCTCCATTATTCACACAAGAGTGCTTGTCTGCCTTTGGCGTGATTAATCCACTGTCCTTCCTCACTCTGTCCCACTTTTGTTGCTCTTTTCTTTGTTTGCTCTTGATTCCCTCCTGCTTTATAGCATTAAGCGATGAGTAATGATGAGTGACATCATCTCTGGCTAGGCTAGTGCCGCCTAATTGGCCAGAGCGATCTGATTGCATTAGCTGTTGTACCTTCAGGGTATTCCCTGTTCTCCGCCTCTACTTTGAAAGATGCTCCTTATTGTTTGCATGGAGCTACATATTGCTTTTGTGTATCGGCTTTTGTTTTCATTGTATTGGTAGCTGAAACAGGTTGTGGAATTAGCACGTTTTTTGATCGATGGTTTGCTGCATTGTAACCTGAAAAGTGAATAAAGCTAAAAGCTGTGTTCGCTGTCAAGCTTTGACTGCTCATGTTAATTGCTATCATCGAGAATGCACATCTCAGGAAACCTCAAAGATATTACAAACGCGCTACAGGGACGCTAATATACCGCAGAAATGTCTTTGGTTATTGGGTGGGTGCTCTGGGTGCTCAGTGAGAAAGCAATAAAGGTTGAAAAATGAAGTTGCACTTTAGATTTACTAACAGCCGTGAGAGGCTTTTTCCTCCACTCTTCCCTCTTCCTCTCGCTCTCTCTGTCTCTGTCTTCTCTCTTTCACAATAAGAGCCACCTTTTCAAGTGAGGTAAAATGATTATAGTAATGGATGCTCCCCTCACACTCCAGCCTTTCTCTTGCCCTCCTTCAACTCGCTGCTTTGTACATTTTGTTCTGTGCATTAGCGCGGCCCCGGGGATGCCCTCGCTCTTTGCGGCTTAATGCAATCACACCTCCAGTGTAAGTGCACCGAGAAGGAGACAATCAGGAGGATGGATGAGAAAGTATGGAAGTTACAGGAGAGGACAGGTGGGTGGTGATCACATCAGAGGATGATAACTACCTGGAGACAGGAGCAGTAAGTCATGCAAATAAGATCATTGACAAGTTTCCCTCTCGGTTAAGGTACCTGCGTAGTTTCGTCATGCAAATGTCACCTGCACAAGCATGTAACTGCTAATTAGCTGCTTTTTCAGCGTCTTAATTATGATAGCTGTCAAAGCTGATATGCATGGCATGCCACTGAACCAGTTATAACACACCTTAATGAGTGCTGAAATGGTTATATGAAAAACAGTTAGTCTGATATTGTTCAGTCTTAATCAGGGGACTTTTTTTTTTTTTTTTGAACCAGCACTGATAACCGATAATAACCTGCTTTAGATAGGAAGTGGTGGAGCTATATCAGTTTTTCAATGGCCGGTGTAAATACTGATAATGAGAGAGTGTGAGAAACATGAGGCTTTTTTAATTATTCCCACGCTTAGTTCACAAATCTAGCAATGACATACAACAAAAGTTTAAAGTCTAAACACTTCACAGGCACAATCTGTAATCTCAAGTGCATTTTGTGGACTATATGCCTCAGTTACATGACGACAAACACTTTTTCCCCCAAGTAGAGTCTTTGCTCAGTTCAGCAACTTTAGCTTTTAGTGAGATGAATGAGGATGGCCTTTGCAGTGCCTGGGAAGTCCTTATGCTGAGACCTATACTGAGTTTATTGCTTTTTACAACTGGGCCATATGATGAAGTGCCGTCTTTCTGACCACCCACTCTATTCCACCTACCATTCCTTCTCCACCGCTCGCCGTCACTCTGTGTTACTCCATCTCTGTACTATAATTCCTCTATCAGCTCCTTCTCTCACCCCCCTCATCTTATGTATCCTGTTACCTCTCTGTTTGTTTCAGCGACTCTTTGACATTTGCATCCAGTGTCTCCTCTTTTTGCCAGTTTACTTTCTCTCAAGTAGTTAAAGAGGCTGAGCGCCCATTGATCATATGATATGATAACTGAGCCGATAGCTCCAATCACAGCCTCCCCCCTTCTCTGTAATAAGTGAGAAAATCAGTCATGTTGGCCTGGAGACAAATAAACTTCCTTTGAGCCAGCTGGTGATTATGTAGATGCCCTGTTTTACAGTAACACACATACACACAAACATATTAGCACTTCAAAAATGTGTTATGTGTTCGAGGTGTATTTTTTAATCTGTGATATTTGATAAAACCCCCTGGAGATCAAATCTACATAAACGACAGGATAAGTCTACCAGAAGTGTAAAAACTTATTTGTGAGGAGAGTTTTTGCACAAGGATTTGGTTGGCTGTGAAGAAAATTACACCATTTTTGCACCATGTTATTCTGTCTGTAACAACCCGACCTGCCATCACAGAACAGTCAGTACAGGCTGTGTACAGCAGTGCTGATGGATGTGCACTTACTTGTATTCCTGCAGTATACTGTTCTCTCCACTTATGCTCCTTTTCTCACTCCTGTTGTGAGTGGATAGGTGCAAGCTTACAGTTCTTTGTGCTACACTAGTTCCCCTTCACTATGGGGGACAAAGAGAACTTGGGGCTATACGGTGTTGTACTCTGTCTAGTCCGGAGTGATGTACAGCAGCAGAAAGAGGTTCAGATTATTCACTTTTTAAAATATTTTTGCACACACAGGAAACAAACAAAAAGAAAAACTTCTGCAAAAGTGCTTTTGAGGATTTAAGTGTTAAACTTAATTTTTTTTTAACCCTGTAACTTTGCAAAAGCACTTTACTGTTATTGTTGTGTTCAGATCATCCTTTTCCATTTCCAGAAAAATTGCTGTTTAATTAAGCTTGTTTTCCAAAAACTAAGGATGCATAATTAAAAGTAGAGATAGAGGATTTATGGCATTTTGACAAAATTTGCGTCATGCTTGCATTGGTCCTCACAAACCTGATATCACTGTCACTTTTTCAAAATGAAAACATGGCGGCATATCTAACCCTTTAATGCCTTTTGTATCATATTTGATACATAATTTTATATACTTCTATCAAACCAATATGATCAACAAATTACTAAAAAAACACCTGAATACAGTCTGATAAAAGATAAAAATGTCCTCTTTTAGTTCATTAGTTTCCAAAAACATCTAATGCATCAAATGAGATAAATAAATAGATTTGTTAAATTTTAAGGACGTTTTGACATTTGGGGTTTTCAGTAGTAAGTTAAATGAACATTTCAGCTCCAAAAAAATTAGTGTAGTGTTACATGTTTATATCGGCTTGATATCGGCTTTATATCGACTTACATCTTTATATCAGTTAGCACTTTAGAGATGCACCCAAATCTCGTTGTGATGTTTTTTACAACAGCAATAAAGGTGATTCTGATTCTGATTCTGAATATTGGCAATCATCAGACCTGCTCTTTCATAATCTGTATCGGCATCGACCATTGAAAAACTGTAATCAGTCGACTTTGAGTTAAAGGCATAGTCATATCAATAAAGAGCTGCATTTGTTGTGTTACAAAAGTTTGAAAAATCACACATAAGGTGGCTGTTTGACTGCTGAAATAGCTGGCCACTCTTGTTGTAGGGATTGCATAATCGATTAATGAGCGTTTGTTTTTTCCTTGAATGGGCCTCGTTTGTGTTTTGCCCAAATCAAAATACACAGTTGCTCACTCTTGGCTTATTTGCTCTAATAAATAACTTGGCCTCTGAAGAGATTCTACTCATACACTCCAGAAAATAAATCTCCCCAATCCTTTGCATGTTTTCATTATTCCTCCTCTAAATGAAAAGTCTTTGTTGGTCTGAAATCCCCAGACCGTTCATGAATGCAACGCCTCTCAGCAATAATTCAGAGCTCTGCTGCTGCACTCTGCTGGGACTTCATAGAGCATTGTGATCGCCTCAGATAGGGAATGTGCTGTACACATCACTGTACAGCACATTCAAGACTGTACATAACTGTAGGCTGTGTTGGCTGTTGTGTGGGAGGTTACATAAACATAAACAGAAGAACTGCCATAATGTCATATTTTTGATTTGTGCCAAAGTCTAGTCTGCAACAGAAAACGGGGACTAAGAATCTGAAACACTTACATTGTAAGCTGTGTCCATCAGAGTCTTATCATTAACTACAGGAGTAAGTTATTTACCCGCTGTAGGATGTAGGAGAAATGCTCTTGTCTTGATTGTGCTGAGATAGCACACAGAGTTTTCTCTCTGAGGTATTACAATAACCTCTGAGTAGTTTCAAAGCGCTAGCATGTGTGTGTATGTACAGTACATGTGTATGTGTGTATGTGTGTGTATGTGTGTGTGTGTGCTTGAGCCTGTGTGGAGGTGTGTGTGAATGCTTTCGACTGGGAGGATTACGTAACAGTGATGCCTGCTGCTACGGGTCACCATGAATGACAGGAGTACACACACACACACACAGAGGCACACATGTAAATCATTACAAATACAAACACATGTCGTAGCTGAATGTACTCACTGGCACACACACACACACAGACACACACACAGAAACACACATACTCCTTTTACTGTATGCCTCTGGTGTTCTTTCGCTCCCCTGCTCTCTTTCTCTCTCTTTCCCTCCCTTCCTCTTCTCTCTCTCTCTCTCTCTCTCTCTCTCTCTGTCCTGTTTGATCTGCTGTCTGATTAGTTGAAAGGCTTTGTATACAGTGTGTTCAATATGCATGATGAAATCTTGAGCCGTAAGGTGGAAAGATTTAACGTTTGCAATCCTATTTTGATACAGACACTACAATACCCATACGAGTATTATTCAACAGATGATGCAAATATAGTATCTGCATGATCTAATGTATCTTAAACTGGAATTGATTTCAGTACAAGTAGCTGATACAGGTACTTGTATTGATATCAGTACCACTACATATACTGTTACTGGTACGTAAAAAAGACCCGGTATCAATACAAATACATGACGCTACAGATATTGTTATTGACATCCTTACTTGTCACTGATAAAATTTTTGGTGTCATTACCAGTACTTGCTCCAAAACTGATACTAGGATGATATCCGATATCGGCATGGATACCAATACTGGAATAGATCTCCATACGGATACTGGCATTGATACATATGCACATATCAGTTAGGATTGATACTAATACCAGAATCAAAAGTTACCCTGGTGTAGATATTGAAATACAGAATTTTGCTATCAATACCGATATCAGAATACATGACTACACAAGTCTTGATGAGACACTGATTGTGGCATTGGTACTCTTCCAGTCATGGAGTAAATAACAATACTGGCAACAATACTGATACTGGAACCATCAATACCAATATTTGCATTGACACCAATATCAGAATGGATCCCGTTACCTTACTAGTAACGAAACCAATACCAACAATTACACAAACTCTAGAAGTGATCCATTTTTGATATTGGCATTGATATCAATCAATCAATCAATCAAATTTTATTTATATAGCGCCAATTCACAACAGTCGTCATCTCAAGACGCTTTTCAAGGAACAAGAGCAGGTCAGGACCGCGCTCATTGTTTGATGATCAAGAACCAACCTAAGATGGGTTTTGGCCCATCTCAACTAACATGAGTAGCAGTGGCAAGGAAAAACTTCCTTTTAACAGGCAGAAACCTTGGGCAGGACCAGACTCATGCTAGACAGCCACCATGCCGCTGCTGGGTTGGGGTGGAATGTAGAGAGAAGAGGGGAGAGGAGGAGAGGACAGGGGAAGGGAGAGAGACAGCAAGATAGGGGAAAGGCGAGAGAGAATTAGTACGGAGAGGGAGGGGGAGGGAGAGAGAGTAGGGAACGAGGGTGAGAGAGAGACAGGAGGCAGCAGGAACAACAGCAACAACGACAACAGCTCATGTAATGGTGAAACAAAAGACGTTCAGTTTACAGGTTTAGGATATGAGTGATAATGGACAATGTTGAATTAATTGAGTGTGATTACAGTTAGCAGGCTTAATCGTAGTCAGTTCTATTTTGTATGTCAATAATGACAGTGAGGCTGATGTTCATGTCTGCAGTAACAGTAACAGCAACAGTCCAGAGGAATCAGAGAGAAGAAGGAGCTCAGGGCCGGGGGGGGGGGGGTCTCTGCAGCAACGGTCCAGAGAAGCCAAAGAGCCAAAGAGATGGAGGAGCTCAGGGCCCAGGATGGATGCAGCTGGGGTCAGGCAGTTCCGCAGCAGACCGTTTGCAGCATTAGTCCAGTGGCAGCTAAAAGACTCAGAGACACTCAGAGAGACAGAAAACTGGTCAGTGACTTATATGGGACATAAAGATCTAAAGAGGAGATAGAGACAGACTCTAGCTCAGTGTGCCAGATAGCCCCGGCAGTCTAGGCCTATAGCAGCATAACTAAGAGCTGGTTCAAATCAGCCCTGACTATAGGCTTTATCAAAGAGGAACCTTTTAAGTCTTCTCTTGAAAGTTGAGAGTGTGTCTGCCCCCCGAACCTCGAGCGGTAAATGATTCCAGAGGAGAGGTGCCTGGTAGCTGAAAGCTCTTCCTCCAACACTACTTTTAGAGACATTTGGTACAACGAGCAGACCTGCAGACTGTGAGTGTAACGGTCTAGATGGAAAGTACGGTATAACTAGCTCGTCGAGATATGATGGCGCCTGGCCATTAAGCGCTTTATATGTCACAAGGAGGATTTTAAACTCAATTCTATATTTAATAGGGAGCCAGTGAAGAGAGGCTAAAACAGGGGAGATGTGCTCCCTTCTACTAGTTCTAGTCAATACCCGAGCTGCTGCATTTTGGACCAGCTGAAGAGTCCTTAATGACTTACTAGAGCAGCCTGATAGGAGAGAATTACAGTAATCCAGCCTAGAGGTAACAAAGGCATGGACTAGTTTTTCTGCATCGCTCTGAGACAATATGCGTCTAATTTTTGAGATATTGCGCAGGTGGAAAAAGGCTGTCCTAGAAATTTGTTGAATGTGGGAGCTAAAAGATAAATCCTGATCAAATACAACTCCTAGATTACGCACAGTGGGGTTGGATGCCAGGCTGATACCATCAAATGTAGCTAAATTACTAGAGAACGCCTCTCTAAGGTGTTTAGGACCGAGGACCAGAACTTCAGTTTTGTCTGAGTTGAGCATTAGAAAATTATTGGTCATCCAGGATTTTATATCTTTGAGGCAGGCTTCTAACCTGGCAACCTGGCCTGCTTCCTCTGGCTTTATGGATAGGTATAGCTGGGTGTCATCTGCATAACAGTGGAAATTAATCGAATACTTCCTCATAATTTTACCCAGCGGAATCATATACAGGGTGAAGAGGATTGGACCGAGCACTGACCCTTGCGGCACACCGTAGCAGACTTTGGTGTGTGCAGAGGATTTATTATTTACATTGACAAACTGGGATCGATCTGTTAGGTACGATTTAAACCAGGAGAGAGCTGATCCTGCTATGCCTATAGATTGTTCTAGTCTCTGAAGCAGGATGGAGTGGTCAATTGTGTCAAATGCTGCACTAAGATCTAACAGGACTAGAACAGAGAGAAAACCATTGTCTGAGGCCATGAGTAGGTCATTTGACACCTTTAGCAGAGCAGTCTCTGTGCTGTGATGGGTTCTAAACCCAGACTGGAAATCCTCTAATAAACCATTGTTATGGAGAAAATCACAGAGTTGATTCGCAACAACTTTCTCTAGGATTTTAGAAATAAAAGGAAGGTTGGATATTGGTCTATAGTTAGCTAGGGAGCTTGAGTCTAGAGTAGGTTTTTTAAGGAGAGGCTTAATCAATGCAGTCTTGAAAGACTGGGGAACATATCCTGTTAATAAAGACGTGTTAATCATTTTGAGCAGGGACGTACTAATCAAAGGAAGAGTTTCCTTCAGCAATTTAGATGGAATTGGGTCTAAGAGACACGTCGATGGTTTGGCTGCTAGCACCACTGACTTTAACTCAGGAAGGTCAATAGGTACAAAATTACTAAGGTGCACCAGAGGCCTTAGGGGCTCCTCAACATTTTTAGGGTTATCTGAGAGAGAGACACTTGATGGAGTCAATAGGTTACTAATTTTACCTCTTATTTTTAAGATTTTATCATTGAAGAAGCTCAGGAAGTCATTGCTGCTAAGGGCTAATGGGATACATGGTTCAGTGGTGCTCGGACAGTCTGTCAGCCTGGCTACAGTGCTGAAGAGATATCTGGGGTTATTCTTATTTTCCTCAATAAGAGACGAGTAGTAGGTTGTCCGAGCACGTCGTAGGGCTTTCTTATATTTATCGAGACATTCCTGCCAGAGAAAACGAGCTTCAGCTGTTTTGGAGGAGCGCCAAATCCTTTCACATTTTCTTAATAACTGTTTCAGCTCACGGGTTTCAGCATTATACCACGGGGCTAGCCTCTCGCGTGTAATAGTTTTCTGTCGAAGAGGGGCAACTGAGTCTAGAACTGATCGCAGTGTGCCTGAGGTATCATCAACAAACTGGTCGAGTTGCAAGGGACTGATGTTTAAATATGAGCTATCAGTAAAGTTTTTCTCAACTACAGAATTTAGAGCAGACGGAATTACCTCCTTGAACTTAGTAACAGCATTTTCAGACAACCTTCTAGTTAGCACGAATTTGTTGTGAGGAGAGTAACCTGAAAGCACAAATTCAAAAGTTACTAGACACTGATCAGATAATAGAGGATTTAATGAGCTGACTAACAGGGCATCAGTTTCGAGGCCATAAGCCAGGACGAGATCGAGAGTGTGGTTAAAGCAGTGCGTAGGTCTATGTACACACTGTGTAAACCCAATTGAATCTAGCAAGGACCGAAAAGAAATGCTTAGGCTATCATTTTCCACATCTATGTGAATATTAAAGTCACCAACGACGATGACTTTATCTGCGAGAAGGACTAATTCGGATAGGAACTCTGAGAACTCTGACAAAAACTCAGAGTATGGGCTCGGAGGGCGGTAAACTATAGCAAATACCAGTGGTCTCATGGACTTTGAGGCTGGGTGCGGGAGACTGAGAACGAGACTTTCAAAAGAGTTATAATCTAGTTTTGGTCTTGGGTTAATTCTAAGACTGGAATTGTAGATAGCTGCAACTCCACCACCTCGGCCAGAGTCTCGAGGAATGTGAAAGTTTAGGTGGCTAGGAGGAGTGGATTCATTTAAACTTACATATTCATCCTTACGCAGCCATGTTTCGGTTAGGGAGAGTAAATCAATGCGATGATCAGAGATTAGTTCATTTATTAACACAGATTTTGAATTTAGAGACCTTATATTCAGTAGGCCACATTTTATCTTACAAGTACTTGGTTCAGCTATGTTAACAGTCTTAATTCTAGTAAGGTTCTTGTTATTTACTCCTTTTTTAATTGATCGGTTAGAATTTGAGAGCAGAGTACGAGGGACAGACACAGTCTCTATATTAAAGTGACAGTAGCTAGGAGGCTGCTCTAACAAAAGTACAGAGGAACGTGTAGAGCTGTGGCTATGCTCCCTGATTTCTATGTCAAGCTGAGAGTAGCTATCAGTGCTTGTATCAACACTAATACCAGATTACTTACAGATACCCATATTCAGGACTTGCACCAACACCAATACTGATACTGGCATTGATACCAGCCCTGGAATAGATACCAATACTGGCTGTGAGACTGATAGTGGAATCAACACTTATACTGGCAACAATACCATAACTTGCAGAGATACCACTACTGGAATAGATCCCTAAACTGTTCCTTGCATTGATATCTATACTGGTATAAAAACCAATACCAGAATCTACCCAATTTTAAACCAGTATTTGCACTGATACCAAAACTGATACTGGGCTTGATTCCAATACTGGCACTGATACTACTCTGGCGTCAATACTTATACTGGGATTGATATCAATACCAGAATACATACCTTTACTGTGACTGGTATTGATACAGATTTTCCTATCAACACCAATATGGTATTGGCACTGATACCAAAGTCTGGATTTCATCTGACTCCTGAAGGGAAAAACTATTTGGTACACCTTGATGATGATTTGCTTAATACCATATATTTTTATCCATATCCTGTTGTTGTAGGATAAAGTAGCATGAGACAGTGAACCATCCAATCACAGAAGAGTGTATGAACAAACATGTCAAAATCGTTTTCAAGCCACACTCAACACACGAGACATATGCAGTGCACCTACACATACAGGGATCCATCTGTCTATTGACTTCTGTCACTGCACACACACACACAAGGAAGTCCCTGTTGATGCCAGCTTCATGGAAGCAAGTATTTTTAGACTGTGTTGGTAGTAAGAAAAAGGAAGGTAGGGATTTCAGTGTGTGTGTTTTAGGGCTGAAACGATTACTCGAGTAACTCGAGTAACTCGATTAATAAAATTCCTCGAGGCAAATTACATGCCTCGAGGAATCGTTTAAATCCGGAACCATGTGCAGCGCACGGTGTTTGACACGGACGGTTATTTCTGTTGCGCAGCAGCGTGCTCTTTCCGCTCCTTCCGCTGCCGCGCGTTTCATAGACATAATAAAAGGGTAGACCCCGCTGGGGGTGCTGCGCAGCGAGAAATGCGGCCGCCATCTTGGTCAGGTCAAGCTTCCCATACGCCAATCATATTCATTCATTCAGCGATGCCGGAGCACTGTGCGGCGTATTCCTGTGCCAACAGGCGGACAGCAGAGAACAGGGCTCAAGAAATAACTTTTCACAGTTATGATTAAACGTTTTTTAAACATTACACTTGACTGTAGAGTCATTTGTAGGCCAAAGAGGAAGACTATCGGTCAACTCCAAAAAGGAAACAGCATTTGCGAACAGCTAGCTTATTCACAATAATAGCAACTTTGGTCGATTATCAACAGATTTGCATTAGATTGAAAAACTTTTGTTTGAGAGAGGTTCTAAGAAACGTTAAGAAATAAAATAGAAAGAAAAAGGAAGAAAGTGAGCTCTGTTTTATTATCTGTTTTATTAAAGATTTCTTTGTGGTGATCTCCTGTTTCATTTTGAAGATTTCCTAAGGACAAAAACTTGAGGAAGACGTGGGAGATTGCTGTTAGAGGGAGAAGTTCGCAGCAAGTGATTCCTCTGTGCTGTGTAGCCAACAAGCAAATTGATATGTAGTTTAGATGCTGTCCTGTCATGCTGTTCTTGTGTTTAAATCTTTTTGATATGTAGGCTATATATTTGTGTGTATTTTCCAGTTATTAAAATAGTGCTTCTATATGACATTATTTGTGTGTGTCTACAAATGGATAAATAAAATTAAACTATATAAAAAATTATAATCAAATCAATATATATTGAATTGGCCTATTAATACCGCCAGTTATTAATAATTATTGAGACATAGCAGGAACCTAGCTCTAAACCTAAATATATCCTTGATTAATTGTTATACTATACTACAGCCACTGCTGCCATGTTCTAAAATATCATTTTATTCATTCTGAGCATTTGAAAACGCCCCCAAAAAATATGGCCTCTATCATGCCTCTTTGAATGGCGTTTGCAGAGAAGAAAATTACGTAGTATTGAGCGAACTATGATTCATTAATGCGCTCAGACTTCATTCCGCCGGTTAAACAGCGGTGCAGAGTGAGGCGGATGACCGGACCAAGATGGCGGCCGCATTTCTCGACAGCGCCCATTCGTGGTAGCGGCCGATGCGGGGTCTATCTTTTATTATGTCTATGGCGCGTTTGGTTCAATCATGGAGGGAAACGAGGACAGACAGAGAGAGGAAGAAAGAGATGACACGCAGAGGAAACGGCAGAAAGTGTCTAAAGTGTGGGACCATTACACACTGAAAAGGAAAGAAAACGCCGTGCAGTGCGTTCACTGTAAGGCGGAGTTGGCGTTTCACAACAGCACGTCGTCAATGCTGCAGCACCTTAAAAGAAAACACCCGGTCCATGCATTAAGTCCGCTCTGAGGCAAACGTGATTCAATGCAAAGTATTACAGTGAGAGCAAAACATTTCTTATCCGATTACTCGATTAATCGACAGATTAATCGATAGAGTACTCGATTACTAAAATAATCGATAGCTGCAGCCCTAGTGTGTTTGTATATTCTGTGTGTGTGATGCTCAGTCAGACTTGATGACATGCTCTCAGCTTCAACGGAGTTAAAGAGTTTAATAAAAAGTAGTGATGTAGTCCGATTCTCCAACCTTTCCCCTCTTTCTCTCTCGGCACCAGCCCTCCTAATGAATCTACATTGCTCCTCTAATAGAAATCTATATCTGCTGTAGTGGTCACAGATCCAGAAAGAACACACAAATGGTCTTTCCTTTTACGAGCCCTACACACACACACACACACACACACACACACACACACACACACACACACACACACACACACACACACACACATGCACATGCACACGTGCTAAAACAGTGAAAATGCACAGGGTTGGCTGTTGTAGAGTCATGTGTGGAGGACAGGCCGGTCCAGTTTTGGCACTGATTCTATTCTCAATGAAGCGGGAGTTTGTGAATTATTGAAGCGCCTGTCCTCTTTCTTTGCTCCCTCTCCATCTCTTTCCCTCCCACTTTAGATCTCATATTTTTCTCTCTCTCCACTCCTCTTTCTCACACTCATATCCTCTCTTCCTCTTTTTTTGTTTTACTCCTCTATTAGATAAGGGAGAGTCAGTGTGATTTGTGAGCCAGTAGTTCTGTCAGTGTGTGTGTATATTTGTGTGATTTGAGTGATGTTGGTTAATCCAGGGCTGTCCTTGGGGACAGATTTGGCCCATATTACAGCCTGCTATTACTGCTTCTGAAACCTCCTGTGCATTGAGACAGCCATTATTTACTGCCATGCGTCGTCTCAACTCCCTCACTAGTATTTCTTTTATAAAGCTCCACCCTGCTCTGAGTGAGCAAACACACAGAGAGACACAAATGTAGGAGTAGATTGTGAGACTACTTTCTGGTTTTGAAGACGAATTGCTTGCTTTGCCTACACGAAAGTGAAGACAGAAACAAAAACTGTTCACTTAAACAGTTTTATAAAGCTTAAATTTATCAAAGTAATCTACAAGAAGCCAAAATCTAAATTTTGACCCACAAAATGACGAGGACTCCCTCTTTTTTTTCATTTGTCACATTAAATGTAACTTAAATATCCACTTTCCATCTAAACCAATGAAGAAAAAGAATCTGCTTCTTCGACCCGTCTCCATCTTTTCCTCTTTTTGTTCTTCTTCTTCCTCTACCCTTCTCAATCTTTTACTACTTAGTATTTTATTTGTCTTTTCTTCTTTTTCTTTTTTTTCTGCTTTTTCCTTCTTCTCTACTCATCTTTTGCCTTTTCTTCTTGTTTTTTAGTTTTTCTTCTTTTTTTTCTACTTTTTCTCCTTTACTCCAACTTTCTTTATTTTCTTTTACTCTTTTTTTTTCTCCACTTCTTTTTCTTAATGAGTATTTTACATAAAAACATCTCACAGCACAGTGACATTCCAAAACTAGAGAAGCACTTGGAGAGCGCAGACCTCCGCCAAGCAGCTCATGTCCCCCCCATGAACAAGAAATGCTCTGACCAGGATTTGAACCCAGGACCTTTTGGTTGTGAGGCAACAGTGCTAACCACTACACCACTGTGCAGCCCGTTGATTTTCTCTCAGCATTGAAAATTCCAACGACACCCTTATTTTTGTGTGTTCTGGATCACAGTATCCAGAATTTTGTCCGGATCACCACTAAAATTTAATGGGATCCTCCTGGGGCTGAGACACACCTCTGGTGAAAATTTCAGGTCAATCCGTCTGTTAGTTTCTCCGTAAAGTTACTAACAGACAAACAAACCAACGCTACCGAAAACATAACCTCCTTGGCGGAGGTAATAAGTTATTATTTTAATGACATCTAAATCTGTAGGGTTTAATAAATCAACTGTTTGTCCATTAAGACCACTGAAATCAGGATTGACCCTAATTTAAAGGTGGGTTTTTCTTACACATGGCTATCTTTGTGCTTGCTTTCAAACTGGATACACACCACCTAACAGCACAGACATGAAGACAAATGGAGGTGTCACCTTTCGACTGAGGGCATGGTTTATACAGTATCTTATCCACTGGGATGTGTGACAGTAAAAAATCACACACATTAACACACATACTGTACATGCAGTCTACCTGAACAGACCAAAAACAGGTCACAGCATTGTACCTCAAACCACCCACTGATAATGACTGACTGATCAGTCATGGAGAAACCAGTGGGAAGATATTTTTACACATACCCCTCTCTCTCTCCTCACTGCTTTATCACTCTATGGGTGTGTGTGTGTGACAGCACCAGTGCTCTCTCACTGAACGTCGAACACACACAATCCCAGATAAGCGTGTTTGTGAGAAAGTGGGTTTGTGGTGTTGTATAGATTCCGTGTCATGAATCAATAGTTGGTGCCAATTCAGATGACTGTAAAAGTGTTGTAGATTTATACTGAGGTGCAGCGTTGGCAGTCAGACATGCGGGTCTCTGTCCGCTTCTTGTGACAGGAGTTGATGAATGATGGACTAATAACCAGTGCTCTCTACAGGGAGCATATACTCTGTCGGGCATGTCAAATAGAAGCAGTTGTTTTTCTCCGCTGATGTTTTACTGTTGAAGAAAAGAGAGATGACGACCAGGATGGAGTCGAATAAATGTTTGCAGTCAGATGATTTATGGTCTTTTGATTTTCTCTTTCTACATATTTGATCAAGGTCTCTCTACACTTAAATAGAGTTTCATTTGTTTACTGACTGTGCTCCATGCTCTTACTCATTCATCTCACTATAAGTTGTTTTTCATATGAAAATACTCACATCTAAGTACAATTTTCAAAAACGAAGCAGCTTTTAGTTGTACAACAGCTTGGCAGAGACGCAGTGAGAATGTGCCTGATTAAAAAGTTAATCATGTTTCCAGCTTACACACACATACGACTGTTTTAAAGCTCGTCTGTGCTCTTTCCTTCCCCCTTTTTTCCTCTCTTGCTCCCTCACCTCCTCCCTCCTAGAATTGCTGCCAAAGACTCTTTCCCATAACCCTCTCAGACCTGTGTCTGTGTGTGTGTCCCTGCACAGTAGCCTTAAATAAGAGACAGATCGAAAGGCATGCAGGCTTCACACACCCTCTTGCACACACACACTTGCACACACATGTACAGTATCGGCCTTGTTGCACAGGCCCCAGGGATTAGAGTTGGAACTATTTCCTGTTTGGGTCGAGGGAGAAAGGGGAAGTAGTGTGGATGAAATCTGACGTAACCACGGCGGTGGTCTTCCTGTGTGCTCCACTGGGGCTTGGGTGTTACCCAGAGTTCAGTTTCCATGGTCATTAATAGATCAAGTGCATCAATGCCAGGAGCCAAGAGAACTCAGGAATTCAAGGCATGCACCACAAAAAAGTATCTGTACTTATACGATGCAAAAGGGATAGCATGACAGGTAGATGTGTTGATTAGGAAAAACAGATTCACTTTGTAACACACGTATGCCATTTGGTCGTCATTAGCATAAAAAAACTCAACTTTCATAGCATTCAGGTATTAATCTACTATATGTATGCACTGTTCATTTCACTACCTCTGTATGAAAAACATCATAGCCCGGTACTTCAACATGAGTGCCCTGTAATAGAATTACAAGTCAATAAAGATAACAGAAAAATTGATAGGACATAAACTGTATTGTGAAGCTTCTTAAAAGCAGCAGAGATCTGATTCGGTCTGCTCTTGTGCATCAGTATGTCTCTTGTGTCAACAGCCAAATAGAAATGGTAGAAATGTGAAGGAGGGGTTTTGAGGTTGAGAGTGTAAAAACTCGTTCAAAGCAGAGGGTGTTGGGCCAAGGTGAGAAAATAACACCGTTAGTGAGGCACCAAAAGTAAATACAGTGCCGTATTAATACCACACACACTGAGAAGTAAAGCCATACAAGAGCCTTAGAAATTGAAGTGAAGCAGAGTTTTATGGATTAAATTAGTCAAAGTGGTTATGGTATTTAAAAAAAAATGTCTTTTTTAAAATCAGTTTCTCTAAATGTTCATGAAATGTTATGTTAGTTGGCATAAAAAGTCTTACAGTGCAACAATTCCAGGAATAAGGTCACAACTTTGCATGTTTAAAGCTCCAATGAGGAACTTTCAGTCAGTGGCGATGTTGGCGCCCCCTGTAGATAGAACACTCTTTGCTTACCTTGTCCTTTACATGCATGTGTAGTCATTTTTTGGGGATCGTAATCTCATCCTGCTGTCAAATTTTTCATAACCTGTGGAAATTGTAAAAGCAGAGCTGCTTTCACAATGCTAGACGCCTATCCTTCGCACCAATATCAAGCGTTGTGGCCGGTGTCCTTAGCTGCCGTTGGAAATAGTGGAAAGGAATTCATATTAATTTTAACGGATTTCATAAACATGAAAAAAGGTCCACATAGGAGCTTTAAAGCTACTCAGATACTTTAAAAAAAGAAACATGGTTTTTATGGCGTCTATCATAAAAGGATCATGCCTAAGGAAGAATATTAGCGATTAAACATTTAAAATACACTTTACCTTGTGTGACTTATGGTAGCAGGCCTTTGGTTTTAATCAGCATTGATTTATCAGGTTCGGGTCATTTGAGATCCCATAATTTCACACTGAGAGGATTTATGGTTATTCATTGTTCAGGTTCACATTTTTACTCCTGACAAGTAGGATGCTTTAAATTTGCATCATGAACTTTGAGTTAAATATCCAAAGATGTTTTGATTTTTGTTACAGCTTCCAGGCTAAATAAAAAAAAAAAACACATACTGTTACTTGTGTTATTAAATCAGTGTTTTCCAGTTGTTATTGTGTGTCATGGAGGTGTTACAATGCCTTTTCACACAGGATGATTAAATGGATGCTTGAATCCCTTTTTTTGAGTGTTAACACTGCGCAGAGGGAGAATTATTAACCACGCAGAATAAACACATGAAGAGTCTCACATCGGGGTGATAATGTTTTATATTCAGGAATTGATTATATAGCTAAAAGCTGGGACTCACTTACTCGGTTGAACAGGCAGGATGTGGGCTCCAGTGACTTCCTCTTAAGGTGTGAAGCTGTCTGCTAAAAACAGGGAATGTAATACCTCGCTCGCTGTGCGGATCTTACACGTTCACCTAGAAACAGACAACACAGGAACTCTCGCCCTCAGTGTCTCTCTCAAACACACACACACACCAACAATTGCAACAAAAAGGTGAAAAAAGTTACAGCAAAACAGTTCTGTGATGATTTTATGTTTTAGGTGGACAGGAATCCTTTCATGAGAGTTTTCATGTTGACACTTGGAGTTAGTAGAGACGTTTCAAAAAGGGCTGCAACATGGTGAGACACACTTCTACCTGTTGCCTATGTGTCTGTGTCTGTGTTTACGCCCAGAAAGCAAGTATAGGGAGAGAGAAGGATGCTTTTTTGTGGTGTAAAGAGAAGGCTGCTATTGATTAAAACTTGTATTCAAAACATGTTGAAGGTAAAAGTATCAATAAGCTATTAAAACTGCATTGATTTGCAGCGAGATATCTTCCTTCTTCTTCACTTTTCATTTATCGCATCAATATCAGCGTGAAAGGCAAAAGGAAGTTGATTTAAAACTATCTTATGCTTGCTACAAAGTCTACTGCTAAAGCAAAAGCATGCTAGTTTGTTTGCCTCTGATTTATGCATTGTAAAAAATAAGTAACCGTGGTTCTCCTAAAATAGACCGGAAAGCCATGATTTCCCTCTCCATGGCAACAATTCAGTCGAGCACCAAGTTGAAGTTGATGGAGTGTATTCTCTCAGCACCATATTTACTGTGTGTCTGTGTCTCTCTGTGTGTGTGTGTGTGTGTGTGCGTTGTACGTCTTCCTGTGTGTGAGTCTTTGTTTATTTGTGGACGACAAGATCCAAGTCGTTGTTTGTTTGGTTGAGTCCATCTCTGTGGAAACCCAGAACAAGTAGAGAGGCTGCTTCAACTCCTGCCAGGCCCCTGAAAATGAAGTCTTTACTTTCTTTTGTCGATGTAACATCCAACTAGGTATGATAAAGGCTTCCATTTTGTGTTTATGATTAAACATGTCCGTTTTTCGACAATGCATCCACAGCATTCACGAACACGAACAGAATAGGATGAGCCTCGCTGTGCAGAGTAAAATATGCATCCATTTACCTCCCCTTTATCAGTCAAGTACATGAACCCAGGAACCTAACTACTGTAGATGACGCTTTATCTATTTGTAGCTTCAGGGTAGACACAAACAGACGGGAAAGTGCATGCACAGACACACACAAACACACGCGCAAAAACAGTGTGTAGTGTCAGGCACGGCAGGGGTTGCATCTCAGCAGATGGCAGGAGCCGCCCACACACTGCCAGTTGTTATACAATATGTATTGTATAACCGCAGCGAGCAACAGGCCCCCTCCTGGTACATAGAAAAGCAACACACACACAAACACAAATCCAGTCATTCACAGGCAGGGAAAACATAGATGCTGTCTCTCTTTCTCTCCATACACACATACATACATAAAAACAACACGCCTCTTAGTCACCACACACTGAAACGGTTCGGGTATTTAGTCAGTAGGTTAGTCCTCTCTCATATTGAGTCATTCACATATCCAGTCAGACAGCTCAATCAGGCAGCAACACAGCTGTTCAGTAGGCAAGCAAGCAGCCACCCAGTGATGGATAATCAATTAGTCTTTTTGCCAGGGATACAGCTGTGCGGTGATTCTCACAGCTGTTCAGGTAACCAAGCCGTAAGCCGCACAAACAGCTGTGCAGTCACTCACACACAGATTCATCTGTATTTTTTGTATCATATAAAACACTCGTTTTTACCACCAAACTCGGTTTTATTTAAGTTTTGAGGGACAGAGAAAGTTTTACATGGATTACAGTCACTGAACAGAACATCCAAATAAAATCACAGCCACAGTAGAGCGCTGCTGTAGATGTATTAGTGTGTCTGCTTCTATACTGTTGTGTTTATGTCATTTGATAAGATGTTCAGTGAGGTGCTCTGTTGAAGCTGTTTACTTTTTACTCTGTCTGTTTTATTTCAGCTTCACTTCATCTGCTTCATGTCAGTTTATGTAGTCTCTGCTCCACTCTTGATGTATCTAAAGTATCTCCCGCCTTTTTTTATTTTATCACTTTTTCTTTTTCCTTTTTGCACATTGTTTATTGTTTTATTCATCCTTTTCATCTCTCATTCTTTTTCACTAGCTTGCTTTTTTCTTCCCTTTATCACCATTTATATTATTTTCTTTCTTTCTTTCTTTCTTTCTTACTTTCTTACTTACTTTTTTCTTTTCTTTCTTTCTGTCTTCATGATGCTTTCTTTTTTCCCTTTTTGCTCATTCTTTATTTTTTATTCACCCTTGTTTTCTCTTATTCTTTTACTAGCTTGCTTTCTTTTCTTTCCTTTATCACCTATTAATATTATTTTCTTTCTTTCTGTCTTTCTTTCTTTCTTTCTTTCTTACTTTTTTCTTTCTTTCTTTCTTTCTTTCTTTCTTACTTACTTTTTCTTTTCTTTCTGTCCTCATGCTTTCTGTCTTTTCTTTTCTTTTTCTTTTTCCTTTTGCTCATTTTTTATTTTTCATTCATCCTTTTCTTCTCTCATTCTTTCTCACTAGCTTCCTTTTTTCATTCCTCTATCACCTATTTATATTATTTTCTTTCTTTCTTTCTTTCTTTCTGCTTCATGCTCTCTATCTTTTCTTTAATTTTATTTTTTTCATTTTCCTTTTTGCTCTGTCTTTATTTTGTACTCATCCATTTCTTCTCCTATTCTTTCTCTGGCTTGCTGTCTGTTTTTTCTTTTCTTTTTCTTTTTCCTTTATCACCTATTATATTCTTTCTTTCTTTCTTTCTTTCTTTGCAGTAGTTGCTTCAGAGGTTCATCTTGCAGCACATTTCATCTTTGAAGAACCATTCATGTTTACCTGTATGTTACAGCAGATTTAACTCTGTATAATTTCACAGCACAAATGCATCCCTCTGTTTTATATCTGGTTCGACCCAGCTGGAGCGAGTTAATTTAACACCTCTCTCTTCCTTTTTCATTTTCCCTCCTTCCTTGAGCTTCCTTTAGTTGAAGCTCTCATACTGAAAATGCATCATGAGGATGTTTGAGAGTCCTACAGTGTCTGTGAAATCCTATTTCTTTTTTTTTTTTTTTACGGTAGATCCACACAGACACATAAACACAAACACACGGCTGAAGTTAAGACACATTTAATCTGCATGTCTGAATTCATGCCTGTGTGTATTTATACCAGAGTGTGCGCATGTTCTGTGTGTGTCTCTGTGTGTGTGAGTGAGTGAGTGAGTGAGCCCAGAGGACTGTGTGATGATGTAATGAGAAACTGAGCGGAGAAAACTGCGGATTCCCCTAACTGCCACACACACACACACACACACACACACACACACACACACACGCATCCTTGTCTTTGTGCTATGGTCAGGACACATGAGCAGACCATGCATTGTGGGAACCAACCTTTCTGAAGGTTGTACAGCACTGAGAAAAATCAGGCAGTATCCTGACATGTAGGTTAACAGAGAAATCACTTCAAATTACCAATTAGACAAAGTAGAGGTCCCTGACCAGACTAGGCACAGACATCTGGGAACCTGTCTGGTATTTGGCCACATCTGGGGTCAGTATCTACACACTGCCCGGTTTTTCTCTCCTCCTGGGTACCACTTACACAAACATCAGATCAAACAGACTTTGTGGGACCACTCCACACTTGTCAGTGCAGGACAGTGATGAGAACCAATCTCGACAATCTTCGACAAGTACATTTCTTATCAGTATCACCAGCTTATATTCAAGGTATTATAAGTGCATCAGTCTCTAGATCTACTCTCAAACCTGACCTGATATACCTTCAATGTTCACAGGATGTGTCTTTCTTAGAAGTGCACCATCTGATGTTTTCTTCAGCCAGAAAGTTCTCCCCTTTCTCTTGTCTGAACTCTAATTTTTAACACAGCACAGATGGGCTGATTTTATAGTTTTGATAAGGATGATGTTTTGTGTTTTAGGGTAAATTGTACAAATAATTAAATTGAATAGTGACAGAAGTCAACAGCTGTCTTGTGTCTTATGTGTTAATATGCATGTGGCTACATAAGAAAGATATATCTATGTAAAGGATTTTTTATACTGTTCACATGATTAGACCTGAAACAGTGGATGAATTTAAAAGCTGAAAGTTTTTATTCAAATTTTTTTGAAGATGCTGGATAAACAAAATTTGTTCAACTAAGGAACCACAAACTAACATTCTTTCAAAAACAAAAGAAAACACCCTCCTCTTTTAAAACTGGTACAGTGTGTCTGTGCAGTTATTGGCAGCTTATAACAAAAATAAATCGAGTCAAAACTCTTCATTAAACTCCCTTTACAGGTAGACAAATCTGTTACTGTATGACACAGCTCTGAAGCCCAACCTACAGTAACTCTAAGCATCCAAATATAAATTAAAATAAGGAGGTAGATTGCTGAATTGAGAAATGATGGATATGATACGACCACTAAGGAAACACTAACAAGTTAATGGTATAAACCAGAGAACATGCTTTATCTTAAGGACAGTAAAAGTGATGCAACCCTCCTACAGCTGTCAACAGACAACACCTGATCCCTCTAAACTTTCCTCTTCAGAGCTGTGATTCGGTTTTTGATATAGAATTTAATAGCCAACCAATTCCTGTTTTTGAGCGCTTCTTTCTCTTGTTCAATGCACTTATCGCAGTCGAGTTTCCCTGGAACACGGCATGTGGTGATGAAGGACATCATGTGTTTCTCAACGGCCAGGATCTCCTCTCTTTCCCAAGGCCTCTTTTTAACAGGCTGCCGAGCTGTAAATAAACAAAAACATAATCAATTCTGTTTTTTAACCATGGAGTGATTTAGAAGCAATTTAAGTAACATAGGTGAATGAGAACTCAGAAACTTCCCCCTCCCCAAAAAAAATCTTAATCACAAATGTGTGTCTGCAATCCACATTTCAGCACATGCCAAGAAAACACATTTACAACCACACCATAAACTAATCTGATTTCAGACCGGTCTCAGAGAACTTGCCTCTTTCCGTTTTTGGTGACCCCTGTTGTTTGGTGTTTTGAGGTGCGGTGGTGCTCTGCTGTGGTGATGCATCATCATGGTTCACATCAGATGGTGCATCCTCTTCCCTCTGACTAGATGTTAACTTACTCCCTACAACAGAGCAGAAGAATATAGACTGTATCCACCACAGCTCACTAGCTCGTTTGTGCAATAGGTGAAAAACCAGTTGGATATTGTGACTGTGGTCATGCTCTAACTGATTGTGAAGCACACGTGACACCAGCCATTCAACCCCTTTATGTTAAAGTTTTTTGATCTAATATTTGTAACCAAGAATCTCCTAAAGTTGATCAAGTTTCTCATGTTAAAAAGGATAAGTATATATGTTGATACATTAAAAATTTGTATACAGGATGATGAAAATTGTTTCCTTAAATATTTTTTCTAGTAAAATTTAGTTTAGTAAGTTCCTAATGACATGTTAAAATACATTATTTACATTATTTAGGGGGGTATTTGTCAACTTACCTGCTAAATTGAAAGATTTGGGATTATCTGGTTAACAGGAAATGCTTTTCTTTTGAAGGACCTCTAAACTGAATTCACAGGAAGTAAGGCACTTCTTGTCACTTGATGTTATGAAGTCAAGTGTAAAACTGAGTTATAATTACTTTCATCCATTAACTTTAAAATGTTAGCATAAAGGTTGACTTTATACATGTTGGTCATAATTTGAAGCTCTTCACTATGAGGTACAGGTTAACAAACCCCACAGACATATTGGAAGTCTAATGACTACAGACTGTAGCATAACAGTGCTCTCCCCAACTCACAAACATTTCAAGATCTCTGCTGACTGACTGCAGTATTGATCCTCCATGCTGATAAGAAGGGTTAAACTATAAATCTAAATACTTGTAAAATACATGTGCAAAATTATTCTCTGTAACTCTTATCTGAAATTAGATCATAAACTATTTCAATTCACATAAACTGAAAAAAATATTAACTCAATAACTCTTAACGAGCTCTTTGACACAGCGATATAGTGCTGAGTAGTGTTGTAGTTTCAAGCCTGTGACATAAATACAGTTGATGGAGTTGATAAATACTTAGTATTGTTTTTCTGTGCCATTAAGCACATTTTGAGGTGATATTGCAATTAAGTAAATCACCAAACCTAACTTGATCCCTTTTTTTTGAACGTGAACAAATGCTGTTGTAAGGTGAATCACAGGCCTCAAAAACTACAATTGACTGAAAACCATTAACAAGTACTGCTCCAAGATGGCGGTGGTCTTGGAGCATCCTGGGGTTGTGTGGCATCTTGTGATTATGATATCTGTGGATACACCACCCTGGTTATATCCTAACCTAAAAGAGGTAAATCAACCTACCCTATTGCCCCCCAACACCTCTAACACCATGCTTGTGCTTGACATGCAAGTGCTTATAACAGCAATCTAAAAGCTCAAACTAAACTTGGTGCAGGGATTAAAATGAAGCCGTTACAGACATTACATAGTCACCTCTCTGATGTTGCAAATGAACATCAAGACCGATGAGCTTTAAAGTTAACAAAAACATTTTATGACCAGTTGTTGACAGACAAAAGCAGGCTCCAAATGGATTCTGTAAACTGATATTGCACATGGATGTCTACAAATATGCAGCAGTGGTCACATATAAAATTGTATGTAAATACCAACCTTCAGAGCCCGACTCGCATGCCTCGTCAGGATCGCTGTCAGGGTGCACATTCTCTGTATAGGGGTGAGGGGGAATGAGTGTTATTCAAGATCATTTGTTTCTGACATGGTGAAAAATTCCCAGAAAACATAATTACAAAAAGTGCATTTCCTTCAAAAGGAGACAAGAGAGATAGATAAATAGTACCCTCCGGGTCAATGTTGATGTCATCCAAGGTCTTTCCCTTGAATTCTCCCAGGCGTCCTTTCTCCAGAGCCAATAGAACTTTGCTTATTTTAGCAAGCTGGAGGGTGCCCTCAGGAAGCCTATAGAACTGCCTATGTACTCGTATGTCATGGCCGAGAAAATCAGCCAACTGGTCCAACTCTGTGTTGCTGAGGTTGAGAACTTGTGAAAGAGTTCCTGTTTGTTTGCGAAGCTTTGTGGAGGTGAGACTTTCGGGACTTTTTGCACCACAGATCTTTGCAAAATGTCGAAGGCAGTCAGAACCACGGAGGCATGTAAAGGCAGATGGTCTAGCAAAAAGATACCTGTTCTCTTTAGGAACCCCACATTCCTGCCGTTTGCTGGTAAGTAAATCCAATGCATGCTGCATTGCCGGGGTCAGAAGAACGGGAACCTTTCTTCCTCTTTTTCCCCTGATCTCGATCCGTCTGAAGTGTTGGCAGAGTTTCTTCTCAACAGGTGACAGGGCATCAATCACATCATCTTGAGGATCTGATGTACTGTTAGACAAATATGCTGTCATGGGCATTTTTGACACCTCCCCAGCTCTTCGACGATTAAAAAGGATGACTTGAGTCAACGTGACCTTGGTCAGCTGTGACCATGTTTGCGGGGATGTCTCAGTGGATAGTTTTGAGCTGTAATGTTGCTGTTTCTCATCCAAATAGGAGTGGAGAGTTTGGACATCCTTTGTGAAAGGAAGCAGCAGAGGGGTGTTCCACCTGGCCTCCTGCAGTGTCCTCAGTGATGCAGCCGAAACCATTTCATTCCAGCGAGTTTCGTACACTCTGCGAAATGTACGTGCATCTTTAGCAGCACTGTAATTGTTTTGTACATTTGCACGACTTTCTACAAGCATTGATACCTTTGTCAGGCTATGTCCAATTTTGAGGGCCAGACTTGGACACTTGTAAGTGTTGGTTGCACTATCAAAACCTGCCACCTCTTTTACAGCCTGAATAACTTGCATGAAGTTGGATGGTCTGATGTGGTCTCGAATGGTCTTCATGGAAGTGGTTTTTCTGGAGCACAGCAGAAGTCTTCCAAGCTCTCTTAACTTCTGGCGGATATATTCATGTTTTCCAGGATCATGTCCCAGTCTGTTGTATAGATGGTCCCCGTACTCCAGAATACAGGCATCAGATTTAACTGCTGAAAAAACCTCATCTTGGAGCATGTTGTTTAAGAGTTTCCACAAGTCCTGTTTGACGCCAGGTGGAGGAGGTGTAGTAAATGCACAAAGGGCCTGGACACGGGTTTTACCTGGTTTGTGTGGTACAGAAGGCCTAAGCTTGCAAATTTGCATGTGCCGCCAAAGCAGCTTTCTGGCAAAAAAGCCTTGACAATATGCACAGTGTAGGAAATCCTGTGCACTGGAATCCTGCCTCGGCTGCTTGCGGGGAACAAGGTTACCGACCCCAGAGTGTAGTACCTCTACATTGTGTGAAAAGTTGCCCCTGTTTCTCAAAAGTTCCAGATGCATTCGTCTTTCTTTGGAGCCTTTTTTGAAGGCAAAAGCCTGTGCAACCTCTGACTTATCTATATGTGCTCGCTCTAAATGTCTTGCAATTTTTATAACACCCAATTTGCAGTACAAACAGTACTGCTTCTTGTTATAAAGTCTTGACCCATTCTCTTTTTTGCAGACAGCGGGTATGGAAAGTGGACCACCAGACTCATTATCATTTGTAAGAATGGAAGAGGAACTGTCAGGAAGACATTCGTCCTGGTCCTGGTCTAAATTCACCACTGAGTTTTGGGAGAGGGCATCAGCGTCTGCTACAAAACTCTGGTTAGATGAGTCAGCATGGCTGACTAGTGTTGAATGATGAACCACACTTCTGTAGCATTGCCTTTTATGCATCAGACCAGAGCTACTTCTCCTAACAGGTGAACGCCCTCTTGTAACAACCTGCTGTGAAGAGGCTTCAGATCTTTGGGTTAAGGGAGGAAAATCTTTGATGACATCTTTTATCTTGAAGAGAGGGTCCTCAACTTCCAGGACTTCACTTCTGCCGGAATCATCAGAGTCCTCACTTGTCTTAGGAATGTATTCCTCTTCACTGTCAGCTGAGGTGGTGTCATAAAGCTCTTCTGAATCAAAGTGAATCTGGTTTTTCATCTAAAGAAAGCAATAAAAATATGATAGACAGTAGGCACAAGACCAATGAAATGTCTGCAATTGACTTTTAATACATTCACTGCACTGTGTGTGTGTGTTGTTTACCAGTATACTTTTGGTCCTCCTGAGCCTGGGGACAGAAATATGGTCCTGCTCTGAGAGGCAATGTTCAGATTCAGGATTTGAGGATGGACTCTGGGGTTCATCAGAATCTGTGTAGTTTACTAGAGGAAGATTCAGCCCATATTTTTTCACTGAGGGAAGAGGACAAGCTGCATCTGAGTCCTAGAGAAAATAAAGACAAAATGAAATAATGAAGCATCTCATCAAGGTACGAAAAAAAGGCCTATACTCAAAGCTAATTAAGACCAGATGGTAGCCCTTTTTACTGAAATGTATGCATTGGTGAGGAAAACTGCCGCTTTAACACCTCAAGACCAGACAGGATGGTCAGCTGGAATAAATACCTTTATCTCTCTGAGTGTAGATCCCTCAGGAGGCTCCTCTGCGGTACTGGAGATCTCAGCCTCAGATGTTTCAGCCACAGTAGGTGGTTCCATGTCCTAAACAACAAGTTTGAGATGAATAGTAAATAAACTAACTTATTATTGATCAAATTTCTGTACATTAAAGGCTTCTAGCACATCAAATATACATAACAGTCTATTAACCTGATGAATCCACTCACTGCAGCTCATGCTAAATCACCTCATCTAAACAAATCCATTTGTACTTACTAGTGGTGCAACAGATCATCATTGATCCATGATCCGTTCGGATTGACGTCATTGGTTTGGCACAAATGTGACCCGCGGATTTATTTCTGAAAAAAAAAAAGTTGTGCTCCGTCCACACACAGCTTATTGTAAGCGAAGAAAGGAGGAGGGCAGACATGGCGAGTTGAGGAAAGGAGGAGCTTGAACGCCCCGCGACACTTACATCCCTTGTATGGGAGCATTTTGGCATCCCTGTCAACTATGATGAAGAAGGAAAGAGGTCAGTGGACAAAACTGCGACGGTGTGTAGGCACTGTGGCATAAGAAAGCGAAATGACAGTGGGAACACATCGAGCATGTTCACGCATTTGAAGCGACATCACCCGGGTGTTTTACTGACTGGCGATAAAACGAAAGCTGGCCAACAACTTCACCACAGCATTTAAGCAGCCTCTTCCTTGTGCAATCCGACAGGGCTAAAGCTATCACAAACGCTATCGGTGTGTTTATAGCTACAGACATGAGGCCATATTCAGTTGTGCAAAACATGTTAAAAACATGCTGAAAGTCCTTGAGCCACGTTAAGACATCCCGTCGCTCACATACTTCATTTTTGGTTCATTGTTACATTTTAAAGGAAGGAGATATGCCTATATATTGCACTTCAAGTTGTTTTTCATTAATAATTATGCTAGAAAGAAGATATTATGCCTTGTGCACTACTTTTATATATTTAATTTAATCATTTAAGTGTTTAATAAACAGACAAAACTTGTGTTTGTCTTGTTTTTTTTTTTTGTTGCTTTTTGCTGATCCAAAAAATGATCTGATCCACGACTCTTGATCCGAGGAACGATCCAATCCGTGAGTTTTGTGATCCGTTGCACCACTAGTACTTACTGCTATTTTTTGTCAACTGATGTCTTCTTTAAACCACAGAGTGAATGATGGAGAATAGAAAGGACTGGAAGAGACTTAAGTCTCCTTGTCAAACAGCTGGAGTGACCGGTGGGTTCTAAGATCATCACATAGTGAACAGATAACCTGCATATAATGTTTATTTCACACAATAAGAAAAAAAAACCTTTTTTATCTCTCATTAATGTCAACATTGTATCTGACTTTACGTGGACCCCACAAACACTGTAAACCTGACAAGTGTGTTTGTCAGACATCTTAAATACCAACCTGACTGGACTCCACAACTCAAAATCAACCCAAGGGAGCCTTAAAGCAGACACACAGCTTAACTGACCATCAAAATAAAAAAAATCAGATACATTATAAGGACCTGACCAATCAGCAGAGTTTTTAAAACTGCAGCTTTAAAACCTAAAAATCAGACAGAATGATCAGGTGGACTAACACCTCTATCTCTGTGAGTTTGGATCCCTCAGGAGGCTCCTCTGCGGTCCTGGGGATCTCAGCCTCAGATGTTTCAGCCACAGTAGGTTGTTCCACGTCCTAAACAAAAAGTTTGAGATGAATAGTAAATTAACCAACTCATAATTGATCTAAATTCTACACTTTTAAAGCCACTGGCACATAAATATACATTACCTTCATAAACCCGATGAATACACTCACTGTCGCTCGCATGCTAAATGAGTTCATCTGGACACATATTTTCTGTACTGACTGCTATTTTTGTACACCTGGTGTCTTCTTTTAAACATTTACTGGACCATGGTGAACAGAGAGGACTGGCAAAGACTCAAGTCTCCCAGTCAAACAGCTGGAGTGACCGGTAGGTTCTTAGATCATTACACAGTGAGGAACACATCAACTGCAAAGGATGTATTTTTTTCATGTGATATTTAATCTCCCATTAATGTCAACAGTGTATCTGACTTTACGTGGACCCCACAAACACTGTAAACCTGACAAGTGTGTTTGTTAGACATCTTAAATACCAACCTGACTGGACCCCTTAACACAAAATCAACCCGAGGGAGCCTTAAAGCAGACACACAGCTTAACTGACCATCAAAATAAAAAAATCAGATACATTTAAAGGACCTGACCAATCAGCAGAGTTTTTACAACTGCAGATTTAACACTAAAGAGCAGACAGGATGATCAGCTGGAATAATTACCTCTATCTCTCTGAGTGTAGATCCCTCAGGAGGCTCCTCTGCGGTACTGGAGATCTCAGCCTCAGATGTTTCAGCCACATTAGGTGGTTCCATGTCCTAAACAACAAGTTTGAGATGAATAGTAAATTAACCAACTATTTATTGATCTAATTTCTGCACATTTAAAGCCACTGGCACCTCAAATATACATAACAGTCTATTAACCTGATGAATCCACTCACTGCAGCTCATGCTAAATCACCTCATCTAAACAAATCCATTTGTACTTACTGCTATTTTTTGTCAACTGATGTCTTCTTAAAAACATAAAGTGATTATAGAGAATAGAAAGGACTTGAAGAGACTTAGGTCTCCTAGTCAAACAGCTGGAGTGGCAGCTAAGGTCTTAGATCATTACACAGTGAGGAACACATCAACTGCAAAGGATGTATTTTTTTTCATATGATATTTAATCTCTCATTAATGTCAACAGTGTATCTGACTTTACGTGGACCCCACAAACACTGTAAACCTGACAAGTGTGTTTGTCAGACATCTTAAATACCAACCTGACTGGACCCCACAACTCAAAATCAACCCAAGGGAGCCTTAAAGCAGACACACAGCTTAACTGACCATCAAAATAAAAAAATCAGATACATTTAAAGGACCTGACCAATCAGCAGAGTTTTTACAACTGCAGATTTAACACTAAAGAGCAGACAGAATGATCAGCTGGAATAAATACCTCTATCTCTGTGAGTGTAGATCCCTCAGGAGGCTCCTCTGCGGTACTGGAGATCTCAGCCTCAGATGTTTCAGCCACAGTAGGTGGTTCCATGTCCTAAACAACAAGTTTGAGATGAATAGTAAATAAACAAACTATTGTTCTGATTTCTTCACAATTAAAGATACAGGCAACTTTAAATACATTATGATTCTTAAACCTGATGAATCCACTCGCTGTAGCTCTCATGCTAAATCCCATAATCTAAACAAAATCATCTGTACCTACTACTATTACTGTCGCTTGGTGTCTTCTTTTAACCAAAATGTGGATCATGGAGCCCAGAAAGGACTGGCAGAGACTTCAGTCTCCTAGTCAAACAGCTGGAGTGACCGGTAGGGTCTTAGATCATTACACAGTGAGGAACACATCAACTGCAAAGGATGTATTTTTTTCATTTGATATTTAATCTCCCATTAATGTCAACAGTGTATCTGACTTTACGTGGACCCCACAAACACTGTAAACCTGACAAGTGTGTTTGTCAGACATCTTAAATACCAACCTGACTGGACCCCACAACTCAAAATCAACCCAAGGGAGCCTTAAAGCAGACACACAGCTTAACTGACCATCAAAATAAAAAAATCAGATACATTATAAGGACCTGACCAATCAGCAGAGTTTTTACAACTGCAGCTTTAACACCTCAAGACCAGACAAGATGATCAGCTAGAATAAATACCTCTATCTCTCTGAGTGTAGATCCCTCAGGAGGCTCCTCTGTGGTCCTGGAGATCTCAGCCTCAGATGTTTCAGCCACAGCTGATTGTCTGCCCTTCTAAGATTAGGATGAATGACAAGTGTGTTTGTTAGATTGCTAAAATCACAACCTAACTGGAGCCCATTACATCAGAACAACTTGAGTAAGCTCTGAAAATGTACTTCAATTTTTGTCAGTAACAAAGACTTTGACAAACCTTTTTCCTCCTAGGCCAGTCATCCTGTTTTTGGACTTTTCTGCTTCTCAGCGTATACATCCTATAAAGGAAAATTTATGGTTTCAAGTTTTGATTTTTTTTTATCTCTATGGACAAACATGCCAGGCCCAGTGCATGTCTGCAGTGTCATATAACTACTCAATAATGTCTAATGTTACTAAAATTACATTCATTGTAAACTTTAACAACCATGTGACAAACCAGTGAGTAGTGACCATGTTGTCTGACACAAAATGATGAACTTGCTCCTGCTGCTTCACTGTGAACGGTCTGTCATTTACTTCAATTAAAAGCGCACGTGCCTAAGATGGCGGCTTTGCTCTCACTCCCCCCCACCCTACCCCACCCACCCAACATAACGCACATTTCCCCAAATATGACCGTGTTGTAAAAGAATAAGATTCAGATAAAAATTAAACAAAATCAAGTCACATTTTCGGTGTTTTTTATAGTTAAAAACTTTGACAAAAAGTTACAAGAGAACACAATGCGACCGTGAGACCGCTAGTTCTGCCTAACGAACTTTGCTAGCAGCTAGCTTCCTGTGTGCATGCCACATAATACCATGTGTGAAAACATCGGGTAACTTTTTGACTATAAAGTAATCACTTACCTAATTATTTTATCAGAATCCCACTTACCTTTCAGTTAAATCCTCTCCTGCTGCAGCTCAAGTCTCCCCTGCAGTCAAGTGCTTCTCACTCATCTCTGTACCGTCAGCTGAGGAGCGCTTACTCTGTATAGTCAGCACGTCCTGAACGGGTGGTGCTGCTTTAACCATAGATTCCTATATCCGCCCGCCAGGCATGTCAATATAAAAATTTAAAGCAGCCCACTCCTCTTTGTTAGAGTAATAGTGTGTGTGTTTATCAGTTACCAGTTTCAATAAATGTATTTATTTACTAATTTAAATACACTTTTTGTAGTCAAGTGCTTATCTCTTCTCCAAACTATCAGCTAAGGAGCGCTTACTTTGCAAAACTGTTACATCCTGTGCGGGTGGTGCTGCTTTAATCACAGAATTTGTGTGTCCGCCCGCCAGACATTTGTTATTAAGGCAGCCCGCTTCTTTTGTTATTGTAGAAGTGTGTGTTTATCAGTTTCAATTTCAGTAAATAGGAACTTATTTATTTAAAAGGATGATTTCATGTTTCTGACAATTAATCACTTTGTCTTGCCCAGCCTGCCTGTACTATCTCAAACAACAATAATCACGGTAATAATAATAATAATAACATTCTTACTGCAAGAATCCCAATTCTTCTACTGTTACCACTACTACTTCTATTATCATTTTATTAGTATTATTATTGCAGTACATTTTACTTGTGTTACTTTAAAAAAATACCGAAAGATAAGTGTCACAAAAACTCATGTTATAAACGAAGAAAAAAAAACAAAGCTTGGATAAAATGGCATCATCAGTGATTCCAGAGATGTGTTTTAGAGGAGAATTGGATTTTGGCAGATCAGTTTTCTGTTGGAGGTTGAGGCTCTCACACTCTCTTTCACCACTGGTCCTGCAGACAGGTCAGAAAGGAGTGTGAGAGTTGAGCAGGTCAGTAAAACAGGATTAGGACCTTATCAGTAAGATAGGGTCCTGATCATGGAGAGCTTTGTGAGTGAAGAGAGGGACTGTACAGTGAGAAAGTCTTTGGATTGGAGACTAGTGGAGGTTCTGGAGTAACAGGGAGATTTGCTAACAGAAGTAAGAGTGTGTGAGAAGGTGAGCAGCAGAGTTCTGGATATACCAGGGTTTATTGAGGACTTTGGGTAATGAACTGTTCAAGATGCTTTAGTACGCAATTCTGGATGATATGACAGCATTATTAGGGGATAATGCAGATGAGAGAGAGGCTGAAAGAGCTGAGACAGGGATGAACTTGAGGTTCCTGAATGCTGATTTCTCTTTTTGACCATGAAAGCTGATGTGGATATTCAGTATTGTTGCTAGATGGTGGTCACGAATATGGAGATTGTGGCTCAAGACTTGCTTAATGGTGAGACCAGAGCAAACCAGCAGAATGTGCTCACAACTGCGGGTGTGGAAGTTGATATTTTGTGTTAAGTTAAATAACTGCATTAACCAGTAAGGTAGAGCTTTAAAGTTTGAAAGAAAATGGTATGAAGGTTTGTGTTGCAGGAGTTTGAGAGGAGATAAAGTTTGTTATCGGTGATGAATTTATTCAGGGAGGGAAAGATTCCATTGAAAAATGAGTGTTAACTTACACCAGTTGCTTTGGAATTTGCTCAGAAGACTGGAGAAGAGAGCAGAGATTTGACAGGTCTACATGCTGTTCTTTGTTGTTATGATGCAATGAGGCAGTGTGGCAAGACCATAGTGAAGGGTTAAAATTTGTGGATGAGAAGTGGTGTATGTATGAAAAATATGTGCAGAGCCTCTGCACAACATTATCTGTGGACTGTATCAGCCTTTCTCAGACTGTCAACACAGCCTTGGCAGAGGTGGTTAATGAACAGATGCAGTGCTAAGGAGTAATACAGTGAGGGGAAGCTAGTTTATAGCTAGTATTGGCAGTGGACCAGAGGCTAGGTGTCCTAAGAGGGAGAAGTAACAAGCAGCCCAGGAACATCTGCAGGTTACATCCAATCATGACGGCAGCAAAAACACTACAGTTGTGTACTGAGGAGAGGAGAGGATAGCCAGGAGCAGCAGTCTGTTGTTCCTGCTATCTTCTGTGGCAGCTAACATTAGCCGACACTTTGGCTACCTGGCTATGTACACTGCTAACTTTTTTACAGATTGTTCACCCAGCAGCAAAAACACTACAATGTGTGTTGAGGAGAGGATAGCCAGGAGCAGCAGACTGTTGTTTCTACTACCTTCTGTAGCAGCTTACATTAGCTGACAAGTCAGCTACCTGGCTATGTACACTGCTAACTATTTAAAAGATTGTTCACCCAGCAGCAAATCACTACAGTTGTTGTGTACTGAGGAGAGGAAATGATAGCCAGGAGCAGCAGCCTTTTGTTCCTGCTACCTTCTGTAGCAGCTAACATTAGCTGACACTTTGGCTACCTGCTTATTAACACTGCTAACTTTTTTACAGATTGTTCACCCAGCAGCAAAAACCCTACAATGTGTGTTGAGGAGAGGGAGGATAGCCAGAAGCAGCAGCCTTATGTTCCTGCTACCTTCTGTAGCAGCTAACATTAGCTGACAAGTCAGCTACCTGGCTATGTACACTGCTAACAGTTTTACAGATTGTTCACCCAACAGCAAAAGTACTACAGTTGTGTGTTGAGGAGAGGAGAGGATAGCCAGGAGCCGCAGACTGTTGTTTCTACTACCTTCTGTAGCAGCTTACATTAGCTGACAAGTCAGCTACCTGGCAATGTACACTGCTAACTGTTTTACAGATTGTTCACCCAGCAGCAAATCACTACAGTTGTTGTGTACTGAGGAGAGGAAATGATAGCCAGGAGCAGCAGCCTTTTGTTCCTGCTATCTTCTGTGGCAGCTAACATTAGCCGACACTTTGGCTACCTGCTTATGGACACTGCTAACTTTTTTACAGATTGTTCACCCAGCAGCAAAAACACTACAATGTGTGTTGAGGAGAGGAGAGGATAGCCAGGAGCAGCAGACTGTTGTTTCTGCTACCTTCTGTAGCAGCTAACATTAGCTGACAAGTCAGCTACCTGGCTATGTACACTGCTAACAGTTTTACAGATTGTTCACCCAACAGCAAAAGTACTACAGTTGTGTGTTGAGGAGAGGAGAGGATAGCCAGGAGCAGCAGACTGTTGTTCCTGCTTCATTGTGAAGTAGCTAACATTAGCTGACAAGTCAGCTACCTGGCTATGTACACTGCTAACAGTTTTACAGATTGTTCACTCAACATCAAAAACACTACAGTTGTGTGTTGAGGAGAGGAAAGGATAGCCAGGACCAGCAGCCTGTTGTTCCTGCTGCATTCTGAAGCAGCTTACATTAGCTGACAAGTCAGCTACCTGGCTATGTACACTGCTTACTGTTCTACAGATTGTTCACCCAGCAGCAAAAACACTACAATTATGTGTTTAGGAGAGGAGAGGATAGCAAGAAGCAACAGCCTGTTGTTCCTGCTACATTCTGAAGCAGCTAACATTAGCTGACAAGTCAGCTATCTGGCTATTTACACTGCTAGCTTTTTTACAGATTGTTTTGCATTACAAATATCTGATGAATATAAAAAAATCAGGTCTTTATTTACAATGTACCAATATAATTTATTCAGTATTAGTCTATTGTAATGCCATAAATTACATTTCTAAAAGTCATTCTCAGTACAAAATCATGTTATTGAGCAAATGTTTCTAAGAGTCAAAGAGCTGTAAGTTTTTAACTCATGATGTGCGAGAGCATTAACATCAGTTTACCAGACCAACCAAATCTCTTTATATGTGTAAATGTCCATCTCAGATATGGGTTTGTCTCACCTTTTTTTATTACTTGTTTTGGTAAGTCTGAATATATGGCTATCCCCCTAGACAAAGTGGCAGCTGCCAAACTCATGACACCAATAGGTGAGACAGAGGCTAAACAACATTAACTGTTTAAATCTAAAACCAGACTTTAAGTTAAGGCGAGGTAATACAAAATCTTTATTAAATTTGTCATACATTTGCAGTTCAATTTTGTCTGATCACAAAAATAGCATCATGAAAAATTGTGGTTTAACTTTACATTTCAAATAACTGGTCAATATAAAAAATCTAAATTAATTCATAATCAAAACTAATGCAGAATATTTTACATATGGTTGTCTTCTGATGTGATTGACTTTATTGTTACAGCCTCTTCTTTTAAATGCTCCAAAGTGTTTTTTACCATATTCACCATATTCTGGTGGATGACTTCAGAAAAGCAGTAGCCACAAGAAGGCTTGTGCTCACAAATCACTTAATATTAGGTGCCAGGGACTAATGTTTTGAGAAATCCCTTGGAGCATTTCTATAATCTAAAGGTTCACATTCACAAGCTATATATAACCATGATGCTTCAAACCTGGACAACTAACTTTTGACGCTAAATCAAATCAGTTTACCATTGATTCAAAAAGGCTACCTTGGGAAATAAATAAATAAATAAATAAGCAAGATCTAAAAGCATTTTTTCAGTTTTTATCATTATGTTGCTGACTTCTTTGTCATAAATCTGTTAGTCACGAGCAACAGATGAATATGGCTCTACCTTACCTTGTCCCATGATCTATAACTTAAAACTTCTACTATATCCTTTCATTCAAGTGGAATGAATAGTCATCTTAAGTTAAAGAAGCTAGCTTAATCTCAGAGGGCTGTTGCATAGCATATTTCAATCAAGTGTGTGTACAAGTGTGTATGGCTGCAGTATCACTTTTCACCACTAGGGGCCAGTACTGAGTTACCTCCCACATACACACTTTAGCACACAAATGTCGGTAAATGTGTATTCTGGGGTGAACCCTGAAAATTTGACAGGGCACTATTTTAACCATTTTATCACTGAATAATAGGTTACTTTTTGTGGGGTCCAGGATTTTGGTCCCCACTTTATTTTCAGTCCCCACGCTGTGAGTGGGCTATCACATCTCGGTACCAACAATGTATTAAAGACAAACACACACACACACACACACACACACACACACACACACACACACACACAGACTTACACACAGTACTGTGTTCATGCTCACACTGAGGTTGTTGCAGTAAGAGTGAATGAAGCGTATAGGAAAGTCCCTCCAGTCAAACACACAGTTTTCTCTACATTGGATTTACTGCAACAAATTATGGACTCTCCTGTGCGCTTTGGCCTTCAGCCACCACCCACCCACCTCACACACACATCCCCACTCACAAACCAGCACACACTTGTACCTCTCACATTCACCCCCTGCTTTATCTCAGGGTGTGTTTCTCCCCGGCACTGTAAGTCTGAATGACAGCAGTGTCAGCTTTATGGTTGCACTGTTTCTGCTCAAAGTGTGTGTGTGTGTGTGTGTGTGTGTGTGTGTGTGTGTGTGTGTGTGTTGTGTGTGTGTGTGTGTGTGTGTGTGTGTGTGTGTGTGTGTTCGACTGTTACTGGGATTACCTCACCTATCTGCTGAATGACAGACTGTGGAGAGAGTCCAGGTGGATGGGAGGTTTGCTGAGCAGATACAGGAAGGTGAAGGACAAAAGGAGGGAGAGAACAGAGAGTGGAGAGGAAGAGTGTTTCTTCTGAGAGAGATACAAGAGGAAGATTTAAACTGGAGCTTATAACGGGGGAGTTAAAGAGAAAGAGATGAGAATATGATGATAATCTTTCTCTGTCTGTCCTCTTGTGATTATCTCAGGAGCAAAAGATGTCACCAAATCGAGGAAGTGTGCTCTTTAGGTTACAAATAAACTGATGAAGGTAGAGAAAGAGGAGGATAGAAGATATATACTTTTGTGTCGTCTTCTTTCCAGCTGAGAGAGTGACATTTTATTTATGAAGTCAATAAAATGTCCCAATGGGAAACATAGACACACAAACACACACTGATACACCCACATGGTGGGTTTACGGCAGCGTGCCAGGAAGACTTTTCATCAGCCGTCGCCCAGTCATAGTAATGATGTCATCCTCTCGCTCTTTTTCTTCCCCTCACCAGCTTTTACACACACAAGGACACACACACACACATATTAAATGCATTACACATATTAGCGCAGAAGATTAACAACATCTTCAGTGAAAAGTTTCATAAGGCCATTTTTGAAATTGAAGTCACGCACGGTGAAAGTGAGATCAGACGAAGAATCAGTGGTTGTTGGCGTATATATCAGCATAAATTTATGTCTGTACATTTTTATGTAGCCTCCTACCTGACTGATTATCACAGCCGGTATATGAACCTATAGCAGTGGTTTATTATCACACTCAGCCCTTGTAAAGCGAGTGAGAGAGAGAGAGAGAGAGAGAGCGAGAGCATTCATGTCATCTGAAACTTTAAACTCAAACAGCTCAATGGGAACAATCGATTATTCAGATCAGACTGTAAATAGTTAATTCTCCATTGAACCCATTTTAAATCATGTTTGAAAATACAGTTTTTAAGTCCATATTAAAACTATTAAGCACAGTCTATTGATTTGGGAATCAAATTAATGCTGCGAAATGTAAATTTTGATCTTGACTGTTTGATTTATTACACAAATAAACACTGCATCGCTACACCGGTGTGGTGTAAAGTCACGTCAAGGAGGTAGGAGACAGCTTCATAGTGCTCATTAATGGCAATCAATCGACACCCATTTAGTGTACGTGATGTCTAGACATTTCTCGGCACTTCACTTTACCTTTGAAACAGCCATTTAGTTTCTAAGTGTTTTCAGCAGCAACACATATGTATTTCTGTGCAGGCGTACGCCCACATACAGCAGTGTAGGAGGTCATAGGCGCATGTTCATTTTTCTAACCAGACAGCAAAAAGCGCTGGTGCACATGGAATAATAACTGATGGCTGCCTTCCATTTATCTGCTTCAGTTTTCGAGTCTTGCTATTGTCTCTGCTGTCATCATGTCAGGGCTTACTGGGATGTTTGAGCAGAGCCCAAAAACCCGTAATGTCATTAGTTACACCTGTGTTTTTCCTCCTGATGATGAGTCCTATAGTGCAAAAAAGAAAGACTATTTTCCGCTCTTTCACTTGCACGGCCTAATGGTTCGTAATAAACGAATTGAGCTGAGATAACTTTCATTAATTAATTTTATGCTTTACTTGCTTTAACAGCTTAAAATGCCTGCCGGGATAAAAGGTCCAAGATATGCACAGTGTAAGGTATATTAACTGTAATTCTTTGTGCATTTGCTGTTGTGGGTCATTATGCAGAAAATACTTGAACATTGTGAGAATGTGCTGTTCTGTAAGTGTTGATGAGTACCATACCCAGCAGAAAAAGCCTGCACATTCTCAACCTTTGTGAGTTCTTGTATGGAAATGTGTGTATGTGAGGATGCATAGCAGTAGTCATGAATGTGTGTGTGTGTGTGTTTGTGCCGTTGCATAGTCCAAGTGAAGTGTTGCAGAGTGTTACAACTTAATGTGTCTCAGTGTGAGAGCTGGGAAGAGCCAACACTGTTAGAGAAATATGGCACCAATTAATATATGCCTCGTTTTGTTCAAATTCAACAATAACTGCACTGGGATGCATTTAAAGGTAGTTGGCTGATAGGGAAAAAAGAGACCTCCATGTTTTCCTTCCATCACCATGCAAGTTTTCATCCAAAAACCCACATCTGCTAACACCCTGTCAGTTAACAAATTGAGCCTGGAAACAAGCTGTGTGTAAAAACATCCTTGGAGTGCTCATTTGACAAGTGTATGCAGCGTGCAATGGGCCTCACATGAGTAAACTGAGTTGGAGGGCAGCGGTATCGTAGAAACCTCAGCAGTGGAGGGGAAAACAGAAGGTCAAATGAGGTAGAACGAGATATGCAAAGCCTGCAGGTGAAACACGAGAAAGAATTTGAAAAATAACAATGAAAAGGCAGAAAGAGCGAAAGAGAGAATTTGTGAAGAAATAGAGACCGAGAGAGAAAACGTGGGCGTGTGAAAGAACTAAACAGTAACAGAGTTAACAAGGCGTGTAAGAATATTATTTCCCCAGACCAAGCAGCCCCGGTAACAACCACAGCAAATAATGAGTTGGATTTTATCAGCCTTGCAGACGGGTGATAAAACCATGCATGGCACTCATTTTCATGCCGCGGTGAAAGACTTCTTTTCTTAGCTGTGAGAGGAAATACAGTAATATCACCTGAGAAAGAGATGTAAGGAAAAAATCAAACACTGTTTCTGATGTACACGGACACTTATTTTGATGATAAGGAAAATATCAGTAAAGATGTTATTGGTACGATTCCAAGCTCGCTATTGCGCGCTTGCCAAACGACAGTAATAAGTAGTGTGAGAGCGTGTACACCTATATTTTACTGGAGACTGACTGAACTGGTTCCAAATAAAAGAAGCGACATGCTGCTTTGTGTGTGAACATAAACACTGTATACACATGCTCACTCATACAGCACTGGATACGCCTCTTAGGAGTAAGTTGACGTTCAGTTTCTTACACTAGGAGACTTCAACATGAGACCAATACCTCCTCTTTAACTGAGACATGACTGCTGAACTATGGCTGCCTCAAAGTAAGCGACTAGAAAGAAGTTGATTTGAGTGTTAAACCAAAAAAGTGTGCTAAAAGATGCTTTGTAGTCCAGCAAGCCTTGAGGGGAATGTGAGATACTCTATGTTTACGTGACACTTGAGGAAACAGAATTATTGCCTTACTCCGATTAAGACCGGACAACTGAAGTGCATGTTAACACCTTAATCCGACTATAATCAGAGTTTGAGAACTCCGATTGGAGTCGGAGAACTCTGATTAAGACACCCAGGTAATGTGATTTGAATCCGATTTCCTCTGCTATGTAACTAGCGTAGTCGGAGTATGATAGGACACGGCATGTGCGCCCCGGTAACCCCGTAACAGAAACACCAGAGAATAGGAGTAGCATGCACCTCATTCGCAGAAAAAGTAGCGCGTACATCATGTACGACAAAAACAACGCTGTACGATGCTCCATCTCCGTGCTCGATAATAACTCCAAGCAGTAGTTGTAGCCGTGATGTCTGGCACGGACTTGCTGTTGTTGTTGGGTCAACCAGACACAGACCCATATCGCCCTCTAGTTTTGGGGAGGACACATACACGTCAATAATTCAATTTTCTCAGCTGCATGTATACGCAGACAAGGAGAGAAGTCAGATTCAGCCAAAAAAATGAATTATGAGTTTAGTCCGATGAAGCTGTGCATGTAAATGCACTGACTGTTGATATCATCTGGTTTCTGTGACTCTGGCAATGTTAAACATAACCCGTGATCAGTGATAATATCTTGTGATTTACTATCTAAATCATACAGTCCTTGAAAGATGTCACCCTTGTATTCGGAGTTTGTTGTCATTTGTTTTTCCAAAAGCACATATGAAAATGTTGTTTTCTAGGGTAACAAATACACCCAGCTCGTTCCAGGCCTGCAGCTTCTCTCCCTACAAATGTTTTTAATACAGTTTGTCTAATTTTCCCGTCTGTTTTCCTCCCTTTCACCCAGTCTCTTTCTCTCCCTTCATCTGCCTGCCTGAGCTTCTTGTGTATCATCACTTTGGTTCAGAGGAGGGTAGCACAGAGCTTGTGTCCCAGCAGGGTGTACGAGAGTGTGTGTGTGTCTGTGTGAGTATGTGTGTAGCGTTGTCTCAGGAGTGCTGCATTAGTCTTTGAACAGCTCCGAATGAAAGGCAAAGACATACGCACTCAGAGCTCCTCTCTCTTTTTTTTTTATTCCACTCCGCCTCAACTCCATTTCTTCTTTTGTGTTTCTTTTATTCATTCTCTCTGTTTTTCACCACACCCTCTTCTGACTTATTTTTTTTTACATCTTGAGTTTTTAAAGATTTTCTGTCTTCATTGTGCAGCACTTTTAGGTAATCTCACTCCCTGTGCAGACCTGTTATTAAACACTCAGTGATTTAATATGACCCAGCACCCAGACAGTAACCCTCATTTACATTAAAGCTGACACACTTGTGTAAAAGGCAACGAAACACCGAGTCTGTCTCCTTAAGAGGACATTACTCTCTTACCAAAAGACACACGACTCCTGCATTAACCTAAGACCTTCCATTATGAGATGTCCAGCCTTACGATGAGGCTGCACGGCTGCCCCATTTATAAATCAGGCCACAGCCAGCAGGAGATTTAAAACGGTTACCTCTTAGATTTTTCATCTTGTAGTATGTGATCTCAGCGGGGGGAAAGCCTTAACCTTGACATTCAGTGTTTAACTCACTGAGCTGCATCATGGCCACCTGAAACAGGACACCTCAGATGTTTCTATCATTTCCAAGATTAGTTTATATTGCCTCCTCATATATAACTAACCAACAAATCAGGGTTATCATCCATCCTCAGAGTTCTGGTTGTGTTTCCCTGTTGTACAAAGACACAGATAAGACAGAGAAAAAAGGGTTTCTGATGTAATCTGTTTGGAGAGCTGACAGAATGAGTGTGTGTTCGCGGGTTTGTTCACAGCCGTGTTTGAAAAGGCCTCCAGCTGTGGTGAGAGGTCCTGTTTTAACTGACCATTTACAAGAAGAAAGACCTTCGGACAGGTGTTTTCTGTTTAAATAATTTACAGATTTGTACTCTGATTTATTCTTTCCATGTCCTTATCAGTCGCGCTTCTTTTCAGGTGAAGTCCAGATTCATTCCCGCAGCTCAGGTGACATCAGTGTAGGCCGAGCTGCGATTGTTTTTACGGGAGGATAGTATTGTGTCTCCTCGGCTCGCCTCTCAATGAGTGGCCACTTGAGACGCCTGTCTGTGCGTATGTGTGGGATTGGTAAACCGATAGGGCCCATGTGAGAGGTCGAACAGACTGTCCTCTAAATCAGTCAAAGTTGCTGCTGCTCTCTCGAACAGTAAATTAAAACACGCTCTCAAACTTTTCTTTTTCAGTTCAGTTTCACCAGAGCAGTCTCATGCTCAGAATGTACCGGAGATAATCTGCAGACAAGAATTAGGGAGGCATCAGAAATAGAAATCAGAGCTGTGAAATGAAGTTACAGTTTGTTCCAAAGCGATATAGACTCCCACCACTGATAATACCTTTTTAATATGTAACAACAGAACCCAGAGCATGACCTCCTCCTACAGATGGATCACCAGGACCAACAACTCAAGAAACAAGAAAAAAACTGTTTTCATAATTACTGGGTAAATTGAAACTGGCTGCCACAAAATCACTGCTACCCAGACAACATTTAGCACAAAAGGATAGTTTATGTTTTGGCTGGATTTTTCCTATGTACATATGCATTTTCCAGCAAATGTAGTGTAAGTTTCAGCAGATCTAGTATGCACAGTTCTAGGGCAGGGCAATAAACCGAAAATGTACTGATACCGAAATTCACGACAAAAACCAACGTTGTTTTGCCCATGTCAATGTATTTGGTGTCAAAAAAAAATCAATAAAATTTGTTTTGGATGTGTGTAGATAGGCTATGGTCTCATGTCTCTTTAAGACGCTGTCTTATGTCGGAGACGTGACTCCACCCCATCCAGTCTGTTAAGAAGAGGGAAAGTCAGGTGAGAAGATGGAGGATGGACGAAGTTCATGTGGGAGGGGGCGAGCAGCTTGTAAAGTAAAGTAGTATCGTCCATTTATCGTTATTGAGGTGAACTGCTCAATATAATCATGATATTGACTTGAGGCCATATCGCCCAGCCCTACACAGTTTTGCAAGACATATTTAAAAATAGAAAAATCATGAAACCACCTCTTTAAGAAAACTCCATGTGAAATACTGTAACTACACCTGCATGGATTTGGATTAGTGCTTTATTATCATTATTAAATAAGTGTTTTTAGGAGGTGTCTCTTTTTCCTGCTCGGGTATTATATCATAACCTTGCTGTTGCAGCTCTCATGCAAATAAGGCAAGTTTTAATTGAAGACGGAGAGAACTGGAAAATCAGCAGACTCAAATGCCAAAAGAAATATGATGAATGAATCCTTTTAAAACATCACACACTATGCAGATAATGTGTGAAGTCTGGAGATAACCACTGCTCTGGTGCCAAAAATATAAGATAAGTAAACTTTGTATTTGAGTTAAGAGCAGCGATCAAACAGCAGCTTCATGTACTTATTATTAGTCAAGATGAGAGCAACACTTACTGGCATCAGGGGTGTGCTCAGACTTTTATGACTGGGATGGTTCGCCTGGGGTGGTGTGAACTTTGTATGAACACATACAGTCCGAATAAACAGGATTCATCTACACTTCATGTCTCTCTTTTAGTCATGTACAGAAAAGTGACATCAAACCTTTTAAGCTTAACATTTTAAAGCTCCTATCAGAAGTTTTTTGGCATCAGTGAAATGAACTGAAATTCATACTCCTGCTTCTACATGATACATAAAATCAAACAAGACCATCGGTGACAAGTTTGACGTTAGCTGCATGCTAATTTTAGTGCCTGAAACTGGCATAAAGAGGTAGGCGTTATATATTAAATATCCAAATATATAAATATATTGTGGATTTATATTCTGCTATAAGATATAGCAGTCTGCAAATGTGATTGATTGTTTGTAAAATTGCACATTAAGATGATATTTTCAGTTAAACATTCAAATTTATGTGCATGAGAGAAGCATCCCAGCTCTGTTTGTGTGCCTCTGTGTGCAACAGGCTGAACCATCCCTTTATGTGAGCACCAGGACTGACCCACACACACACACACACAAGAGCACAAAACATGCACGATGGCAAGGTCCAATTGTCTGGTTGCCGGGCAATGAGCTCACAGCAGTCGACCATAACAGCCCCACTCTCCATCAATCAGCTATAGAGTGCTCTGCTCTAGTAATGATGTCATCACACACACACACACACACACACACACACACACACACACACGCACACACATACACACACACACACACAGAGGCGTTCATACACACTCTTCCTCTTTGTTTTGACCTTGGGTTGCTCATAGATTCTGTGTCTGTGCAGTCATCTGTGTACGTGTGTGTCACTGTGTGTCACTGTGTGTTAAAGTGAGAGAGCAGTGAGTGGCGATTGTCATTGCCTTGCACAATATTACAAGAGTGGATGCAATCCACTTATCATTGGTTACATGAATCGCACGAACACACACACAATCGCACACCCCTTTTGGCACAGACGATCTTCAGTGAGTCCTTTTCAGGTCCTTTTGAACAACCTGAAAATGTTTACCTTTTATTCTTGACATTTTTTTTCCATCAAAAGAAACTTCAGCTCTGAAATGACTTTACTGAAAAGAAGGTGTGCTCACTATCAGCCACACCATGAGGCGATTTTACAAAATGCAAAGTGTCGAGTCCTCAAACTGTGACAAGAAAAGGAGAAATTTCTTCAAATAAGCACTCCAAGTGTTCGAAGCCCTCGAGAGTTTGATGACTCTGGCCATGAAACCGAACCTCCTTCAGTTGTGCACACAAAAATGTGAAGCGAGAATCAACACCTCCCTATATGTACGCGCAATTACAGACACAAACACTCATGTGAAACAAATTATTTCAGGATGACACACACACACACACACACACACACACACACACACACACACACACTTATGAACACATTCAGCTGGTGCAGCTGTGTATCTGCCAGGCTGCAGGGCAGGGGGCCAGCACAGTGAGGTGAAGAGAGTGGCAAGAACACTAACTGGCAAATCAGTGGCCAATTAAAAACGCTCAGCACTCTCCCTTTGGTGTGTGTGTGCGTGTGTGTGCATGTGTGTGTGTTTGTGTGAGAGAGAGTGTTTGTGAGTGTCCTTGTTTGACTGCCAAGGAGAGGGTTGGCACAGAAAGCATGCTTCCTATTCTCTCAGCATGGCCTCTTAACTCAGAAGCTAACACACACACACACACACACACACACACACACACACACACACACACACACACACACACACACACACACACACACACACACACACAGCCTTGGATTTGCTGTACCCCATTGTCTTCATTTGGGATAAATGAATGCATGTCCCGTCTCTCCATGTTTGTGTGTGTATGTTTTTATAGACCTGTGTGTGTGTGTGTCCTCCACCCACAAGTGAAGTTGTGTAACTTTACAAAATGAGGTTTGGATAGGACACTTAACCCTGCCTTCTTTATGATAGCATTGTAGACACTGGAGACACTGTGATGAATAGAGAGAAAGAGTTTACTCATGGGTGTTGACTGAGTCCATGAGTGTGTCTAAGCGGAATGAAAGATAACTCGGACCAACAGCTGCCTCGAGAGTGACTGCGCATTAACCAATCAGATGTAAGAGAAACAACAACTGGAACCGTAGATACTCTTTCACACATGCACTGCTGAGAATGTCTGAAGAGCTCTGCCCCTGAAAGTTTTCAAAGTTGCTTTATATGGTATGTAATGTCCATGATCCTCTCTGCGGAAGTCTTGAGAGAGGATGATGATGAGTATGGGTCTCAGGAGGAAGGGTATGACATCAAAAGCCTGCCTCAGAGACTCAGTGTCATGTTCATGTCAGACAAAGCAACAGAGACACACTTTGCATTTTAATGTGCGAATCGACAGATGTGCAGAAATCCTTGCGGTTCATGTCTTGAAAAGGATTCTCTTCCAATCGTAGATGCTTGTATGAGTTCTGTTACCCATGATTCCCTGTGGTTTGCATAGGTTGCATGACACTTGTTTAAACTGAAATTTAAAAACTGAAACTGGCGAGGAAAAAGTCCAGACAAGGTTTTGCTGTTTGTGTTCACACGTGCAGCTGTTCTGGGAAAATTTTGAGGAAGTTTTCAGGAGTTTTCTGCACATGTGAACACAACCTATTAATGTGCCCGTCATCTTCATCTTGATAATGAGCCAGAGGAGTGATCCCACCCTGAGTTAACTCTTCAGTTGACGTACTTCCTGGCTTGCAGTACAGCAGATCCTTTGTAAAAATGAAAATGATTAATGGCTGAAATATGTCTTTTGGTTACATTGGCCCAAAATGTAAGTTGTCTAGCCAACTATATTTCTGTTCATGCCATTGTATTAGTGTTTTTACAAACTTTTTTGTTATTTTATTCTACAGAAAAATGCCACGTTCACCGTCTGATGCGTGGAAGCATTTCACACAAACTAATGTTGAAGGAAATTTACATTTATGTTTGGATATGATACAGTTTGTTTAAATTAATTTCCAGTTAATTCCCACAAATTCCCATGGAAAGTTTCCAATTTGGTATATTTTCAAAAGTTCCAGGCTTAACTTCCCATTAAAAGTTTTTAGAAATTTACCGTAAATTTTCTCAATCCCCAAAGTTCGGTGGACAGCTGGGGCCTTGATACAATGACACTTAGGAAACACTGAAATTGAATGAGCTTGTTCGTGATGCATTCATTTCACCCCAATCAAAAAATACAATTATCGTGGGTTAGACAGTTCACATACTCTGCAGTATTTTGCTGAAAACACACTTCTTTCCTTTACTCATAAAAATACTTTGCCTTTTAGTCAACTAATAAGTTTGAGAAAAGCTCAGCAGTGCGTGGACAGGTCTGTCACCTCTTTTTTTATTGGCACGTTATTATTCATTGAGGTTTTGGGAGACCTTGATCAAAGACAAAATCCTAAAAAGAGGCCCATTTTGTCGCCCATATCTGAGGAAATGATGCAAATGCACAGGCCTGCGGGGGGATTTTCTGCCGCTTACAAAAATAACTTTAATCATACGTAAATGTATGTAAATGTATGAGGGATGACCCTGTTCCGTTTGGTCTTTTACCATAATTTTCAAAATGATGGTTTGTGTCTACAGAGGAAAATTGATAATGCACCAAGATGTGTTAAATATCCTGCCTAGCCCCACCCTCTCAATCAAAAGGAGTTAACCCCACCCACCAAAAAGAGACAATAAAAGTCCAAATGATCAGATCTTGAAAACACAAGTCAACTAAGTCCGTTTTCACATTGAACAGTATTCACACACCAACTGAGTCATTGCACTCTTTATTCATCCAAAATGAAAATTTCATAAATTAGATTAGTGGTCATTAAACAAAGTGGATTAAAGTACGACCTCTATTAATGCAACTACATCAAATAAAGAGAGCTGCAGCCAGTCTGTGGCTACATTCTCCTTGTCCTGGAGTTTGATTGCAATTACCTCTGGTTGTCACCGGTAAGAGCAGTAGCCTGAGGGTTGTGGAGCAGGGGATGGTTGTAAATGGTGTTTGATTGTACAGATGAGGGAGAAAAAAAAAGAGAGAGAGAGAACGAGAGAGAGAGGATGAGTGCTTTCAACCTGGAAATGTTGACCTTTTCTTTTATGTTTGTCTTTGCTGAATGTTTTCTGCTTCCTGGCTTTATGAACTTTTGTTTCTTGAAGAGAAATAAGAGAAAAACATGGATACCAAAAATAGTTGAGGTCAAGTCCGAGGAATTTCTGTGATGCTCCTTTCCTTTTGCATCTGCCACGTCCGCACTTCCAGTGAGACGATGTGAAATGGCAGATAAATGATGGTGATCAGTTCAGGGCACTGGTCTTTGGAGACATGTGTGCACCCGAGATAACATTCCTCTCTGCTTTGAGCACCTTGAGCCTTCACAGGGCTGATTACTCACTTGTGGTATGGCAAATATGTTGGAGCCAAGGAAAAAATGGGGTTGTGGTTGAAGAAGGCATTTCCCCCCCTTGCATTACAGTAATGGTCAGTGACTCCTTCGTCTTCAGACACACATATGTGCACACACAGAAAGACTCAAAGCATTCTTCTGCTCCGACCAGTAAACAGCTGTGAGACACTACGTCAGCCCCCAAAGTATTCTGCTTGTATGAGTTCTTATCCTGCCATATCAGTGATCAATGATGAGAAATGTCCCTCAGGATGAGCCACTGGTCTGAGTGAGTAACTGGAAACTTAGTGAAAGCTCTTAGATGAGATGAATCTTTGTGTTTAAATTGATTTTTAAAAAGCAAAAATATTCTTGAGATGCTTTTATTTTGAAAGGATTCCATCTGCATTTTCATACCTTGTTTCTCAGTTTTGCTTTAACCTTTAACCTCTCATTCATCCAGCAGGGTTGGCATTTATATCTGTATTTAAAGCAGCCTTTAGAGGCATCTCTTTTGCTGATGTTAGCCTTTGAACCCTGCACTTGTGGTCGCGCAGTCGCTACTTTAAAAAAAAAAAAGACTGCAGCACTTTTGCAGTAGACACAAGATGAAAGGATGAAAGGATAGTGAGTTTTTTTTTATGCTTAGCAAAGAGAGGCTGGAAAAAATGCAAACAATTCGAAACAGAGTGATAGAGTGAGTGGACAAAAGAGTTTATAATGTAAACACACCAGCATGAAGTCAAGTAGAGAGAAACACTCACAGCGAGGACGCTCTTCAGGCAGTTAATTGTCATTAATTAGTTGCACACACACACACACACACACACACACACACACACACACACACACACACACACACACAGACACACAAACGCAAATTTATGAACTCATTTAGCTAAACAGTGGATCCAACATGTGGCCGTGAATCTCCTGCAGTCAAGGCTCCATTTTTCTGCTTGACTCCACAGCTGTGGCCTCCCTCTTTTTTCTTCCTTATTTTAGGACAGAACTTAATATCTTCAGTCCCAGTGCGTTCACCAGTTTATTAAAGCCATCATCACTCACAGGTCACTTATTGTTAGCAAATGAAATGCTACAGTGTTGGTCATTTTGGTCCGTCTGTAGGAAACAAACAGATAGGGTTTTGTGTCGTTCTGCGATGGTGTGATTGTGGTCTGTCGTAATGTTGGACACAAAAGTGGGGTCATGACGTTATTCCTCTCCATACTGCACTTTGTGGTTAGGTGGTTAAACTGTTACTTGTGTTACCATGCCTTGTACACGTAAGGCAGAAGCCCTTTGTCTCCAAAACCACCACTTAACCAGACATCATAAAAAAGTGTTTTTCAAATAACTTAATACTGATCAGGACCTGATCTCATATAAAGCAGATATTAGATCAGTGGTTAATATCACTGTAGATTAGGGCTGGGCGATACATCCTTAAATCAATATCATGATATATTGAGTAGTTCACCTCAATAATGATAAATAAACGATAACTACTCCACAAGCTGCTCACCCCCTCCCACATTAACTTTGTCTACTTCAGCTGCCATTCCAGCTGCTACAACTTTTAAACCGTCCTCCATCTCCTCACCTGTCTTTCCCTCTTTTTTACGGGCTGGATGGGGTGGAGTCACGTTTCCGAAGTAGGACAGCATCTTAAAGAGATCATAGCCTACCTACACACATCCAAAACCAACTTTTATTTATTTATTTATTTTGACACCAAATATATTGACATGGGCAAAATGACACTGGTTAACGTCGTAAATTTCGGTATCTGTAAATTTTTGGTTTATCGCCCAGCCCTACTAGATCATGTCTATTAAAATGTGAGAAATGCAAATTTGTCACAAGGGTTGACTCATCTGTGCAATAATCCCAGTTATAAGCAGATATATCTACAAAGGTTAAACATCCTCATCCTCTGCTTTAGTGAAGCAGATCAAACACATATGATGCTGTTTTTCTCCTATATAACCTCATTATAAGTCACATTAGACAAAACAAATGTATTATAATAAAAAATAGATCAAATTTAGTGGAAAAAATCCAAGAGGACATTGAACATGCACTGTGATGTATGATGACACACACGCAGAGTTTATCAAAGGTGCTGGCTGCTCCACTGTGCGGTGCAATTCAATCAGCTGCTCACTTAATGTGGTTTAGACTAAATTATTCCAGACTAATTTAGGCTGCCTGATGCCTGGATTGGACATGATGGATTAAGACAAAGAGTCTCCAGTGTGTATGATTGTGAGGCAGGAAGTCTCCACTGAGGAGTTGTGTGTGTTTGCTGTAAAGAAAAGCTTCTAAACAGCATTTACTCCTCATTTACTATATATCAGCTCTTAATTTTAAAGTGAACATCATGATCTCAGCGCTGGCTGTGTATTTTAAACCAGAGGATCTCTATCTTCATGATAGTTTTCTGTCTTTTCACTGAATCCTAAAAGAGCTGGGACATCAAGATAAAAAGGAGGGCAGCTGGAAGACCGTCTCTAGGTTATATAACACCTCACCCATCCTGGTCCCTCTCCCCTGGCACCACCTTGTGTTCCCTTCCTCCACTTAATCTCTCATATGTGCCTTTCTCATTTGCTGTGGGCTGTAACAGGTGGTAGATTTCAACCTGACATCTTTCGATACGAGCTGGTGTCACATTTACGCTAAAAGTCGGTATCACTCTGCAGTGAAACCTTCACTCTATATCCTCCTTTGCACTCCCTCATCCTGTCTCTCTCTCTCTCTCCCTCTCCCTCTCTCTCTTCCTCCCTCTTCCACTGACATTTTTCAGCTTTCCAAACTCCCTGCTGTGTCTGGCTGGCTGCGCCAGTGTTATCCTCCCAGTGAGTTTCTATCTGCCTCTTCCCCGCCACCATCTGCTTCTCCCTTTGTCTCTCTTTCCTCTCTGCCTCACTCTCTCTTTCTCTGTCTCTCTGTCTGCTTTACCTCAGTGTCCCTTTTTATTCTCTCCATCTGTCTTCCTTCCTGTCTTTTCTGGATCTCTATAACTTTATTTTTATTTCATGTCTAACTTTTTGTTTCTCAGTCTTTGCTGTCTGTCTTCTTCTTACTTCTTTACTTCTCAGAACCACATGATGGATTTGTTTGCAGCTGGTGTCAGATGTGAATTTTCTTGCTTCTTTTCTAACTTGCATACAATACGAATATCTGTAGTGCACACAAAAACCTGCAGCTAATTGTGTGCACCCCCTTTAATGCTAACATGCTAATTTCAAAGCCTTACATATGCTAAAGCTCACCATTGAAGCCGGCTGACATCCAATGTCAAATACCAGACATTCTTCTGTTCCTTTTCTTGTAATGCCTCCGCCTCATTCTCCATTATATCTTATTTTCACTGGAGCTTTCAATCCTGGAAATCTGTGCATGTGGATGTATTTTACCCTTACTAATGAAACACACAAATCCATCCACACACTCCAATTCCTGTCTGAGTCTTCTTTAAGCTGTAATGAAACTTGACTGCGACACATTCACGCACACACACCAAACACGCGCCACCTACACACCTCTTTCGTAGTCTTCTTACACATAAGAAGTGGGTCAGTGGGATGTTTGACATCCCACACATGCTCCATAAACACTTACAGGTGCACACGCACACACACACACACTGCAGCTGGCTAACAGCAGGCAACATGTCTCTCATATCCCTGTATCATCCCCGTCATTCCTCCACAACCTGCCTAATTAGTCCCGCAGAGTGTGTGTGCGCGCGCTGCCGACAATCAGCAAGTCTCTCTCATGCGCGGCGTGTGTGGGTGTCTGCTGAAGTCAGCCGGTTGTACATTTAATGTTTTTAAAGATGCACTAGAGTTTGTTTTTTCCCCCCCTGATGAATATGACAGGTCCTGTTTATAGGTATGACCTGTACTTGCATTGCAGTTTTTAAAAGCAATAAAACATTCTGCAGACGGTGGCAAAATAAAAAGGCGCTCGCGGAGAAAATGTCAAATAAGAAGAAGCTTTAATGTGTTTTAACCGAGAAATGACACCGATAAAAGCAGTATGTTAAAGCCTTCTCGAACACATCTTTATTTAAAGTAGCTGTTTCACTTATGTTTTAGATGTGTCCTCTTGTTTTAGAGCTGATACATGTTTCATCTCACTTGGTAAATGTCTGACATTGATATGTATGTGAGTGGCGTGTAATATCCTGCATTCTTTCATTAAATTATCAGCTCGCTCTGCTACAGATTATAATAAAGCTTTGTTTCACTCTTTACTTTTGATGTGGTTAATTAACTGTTGTGTGCCGTCATCAACCGTCCCCGTGTTTTTATAATGATAAAAAAACAATAAGATGAAAGTTGTGCATGTTGCTTGTTTGCAGCAGCAGATACGTTTGAACCCACATCAAGAATCTCATAGTGTAGTTCATGCAGGAGGATCAAAGCTACATATGTTTCTGTGCTAAATTTACCCTTTGATGCATGCATACTACACACATCTACTCACATCACTATAAGTTTGTAATATATTTGCTAATTAAGATAACACTTTTTGTTGTTTTTCTTCCACAAGGGAGTGCTGAGTCCCCGAGTCACCACACTGCATTCTGGGAAAGTCTGGAACCCTCTCCATGGGCTGTACCACCTGCTGACAAACCAGGGGGGTCTGGAGGAGCTGTGTTGAATGAGGTGAGATTCCCTGAGAGCCTGCTAATCCACAGTGGATAGTGAGTTAGATTGTTTTGTAAGCTGGCTTTGGGTTAGTGTTTTTTATTTTCTGGTAATTTTTTTTTTTTTTTTTCGCCATAAACTGGAACAGTGCTAGACAAGTGTAAGTACTGTCGCTCACTTCCTCCAACTTAAAGCTTCTGCTCCACTGCCGTGTTAAATTTGATGTTACTACTTCTGACATCAAGGACTTTCCAGTGCTGTGTTTTCTCCGTAGCCAAAGGCCTTGTTGTGCTGATGAACCTGTCACCCTGGTTACAGTACAGATGCATGTTTAATAAAGTGCATTTGATTTTAATGAGAAGGCAATGGTGGCTTAGCACATGTACAAATCAGGTTTTCTTCTCTGCTGCTTTGAGACGCTGTGTGGATGTAAACCTAACCCTCAATAGCTGTGAATGAGGGAGGAAACCATGATAGCTATCATGATAGAATATTAAGAGTTTGCTAAACCATAGAATAAATAACTCACTCACTTATTATTGTAATACTGTAATAATAGCAAGACATTAAAACGAGCATCAACCAGTTGTCTTATGTGTCATTAAAGGGATATTCCGGTGTAAAATTAATTTAGGGTCAAGCACACCGAGTTAGACACCCCCTCAAGAGATGAATGTTGCTGACCGCTTGCTTCTCTAGTTGTACCAACTTTAGTAACGACCGCACGGTAGCAATACACAGTGTTCTCAGGAGCAAGGCGCACACCTCAATCAAAACGCCACTCTATAGCCACAAATAATGCTCAGAACAACACCTAACTTCATCAACAGTACATAAAGGGTCCCAGCCACAGCACTAGCCACCAAACATCTTTTTAACTTTGCCTAATTTCTTAAGCAAAGAGGCTAAACACAACTCACCTACTCTCTTCCAGCAGCCGCTTGTTTGTAGCGAGACCTCGACCAGTCCATGACGGACTGCAGCGGGGTGACGCAGCTCAAGGACGAACATTTATGATTATTTCTTTATGGAAATGCGATCAGACTGAGACGCTAAGGCAGAAGAACTACTGCGTCTGAAGTGCAAAATGATTGATATGGTGATTATTACTTCAAGGAAATGAGAAAGAAATGATCAGCTGATCCGAGTAGGTGATCTGTGTATTGCTATTGTGCGGTAGTTACTAAAGTTGGTACAACTAGAGAAGCAAGTGGTCGGCAACATTCATCTCTCGAGGGGGTGTCTAACTTGGTGTTACAATGTGTTTGACCCTAAATTAATTCTACTGCGGAATATCCCTTTAAGTGCGGTGTCCTTTCAGTGACGGTACCTTTGCTAACAAAGTTTTCTTCCATTTTTGTTGTGATTGGAGGAGAGGGGCTTTCATAGGGCGAGGCTTCTGTGACAGTGTGTGTGTTTTTATAAGAATGAGCTGCTAGTTGGAGCTGTAATACATTTTAATACATAACACCTTGGGTAACAGTTTGTGAGGGGTCTTTTGCGAGAATGGAGGCTTCATTGGCAACATTCAGAGTGCGAAAACACCTTATAATTAGGCCTGTGGATGAGAGGAAGCAATTGTGGTTGACTGCTTTGTTTGTATTTATTCTTCATTTAAAGGTCTGATTTATATGTATGTTCATTGATGAATCTCAGCTTTGTTTAGATAATTACCAAACTAACAGTAACTTTGCCCCATTTTGCGGGTTTTTCAAGCTCTCTTTACTTTCTCTCTTTTAGATAGAAGGAGCCGGATCACAGGGTCAGCTCTGAAATAGCACCTTAAGAGCTGCTGGTGATTATCTTGCTCACAGACGTTTCAGCAGTGTAAATGCTCGAGGTCAAAGATTTGAACTTTGGCTTTTTAGTTGATGGATAGTCTCTCTGCTCACTATTCAACATTATTCCAGTCACTTTAAAAAAAAATCAATGTGAAAAACATTTGAGTAAAGTTTTTCAGGTTCTCTCCCCCGGATTGCCTCGTGTGTGGAGATGAGCATTATTTTCCACTTGCTTCTCCCCCTGAGGAATACTCTGTGTGTCTGTTTACTGCCTTTGTGAGCAATAAACAACCAACACGAGTGACTTTAATAACAAACACTAACAGACCTCCACCAGGAGTGGGCACGCAGGGAGGGAGATTAAAGTCTGAATTTACTATGGTGTCAGGATGCTAATTGGCAGGTTTGGTCCCAAGACGGCAGTAATCTGTCCAACTATGAGCCAATAATATGCATCACAAACTAATTAAAAACATTTCATTATTGCCCAGTTCAGATATCAACAGAGCAGACATTAAAAAGTTATACAGGGCAGCTCTGATTGGTCAGAGAAACTGAAATGTAGAAGCTCACATTGCTAAAAATGTGACTACTTTGTATTAATGTGAGTCGAAACAGAAGTAGAAGCGTTGTTTTTAGATTTTTGTCAACATATTCTACCTTTTTATATGAGTTGAGTTAAAGATTGAGCATTTTGGTTGTAATGTTCTCGTACTAAAGTAATTCAAGTCCTTTTTAAAATGAAATTGGTTATTGGCTTACATTAAAAAGTCTGTTTTTAACTGAAAAATGTGAGTCCATCTAAAATCAAAGGTTTTGTTGGAACAGTGCTCTCAGAAACTGCATGTTTTGATTCATCACATTTTATAATTAGAGTTTTGGTGAAAAGACAACAAATTTTAATCATTTTAAAGCTTCTAAAAGTAAATCTAGCGACTTATAAAACAGACTAAAGACTTATAACCTATAAAGCCAACATGACCACCTCGATATCAACACGGATCAGGTGTTACAGAAAGTAATTAACAGCGAATTTGATTGTTGAGGAAAGCGTTATTTTTGTCGTGAATCACATACGGGGCGCTAAGATGAACACTGAAAGTTCCTTTGTGTTTGTTTGATTCCGACCAGGTCACATAGTTTTAACTTCTACATACCCAGCCAATCACAGAGCCTCTGCACCTAGCAACGACCATCATCTGGCTTCTTCGTGACTTGCAGCTCTCTCTCTCTGTCTCTCACTTGCTCTCTCTCTTCACCTCAGCGGTGCTGGGAGCTCATGTTGTTTGCTACTTTTATTTATTTTTTTACTTTTTTAGATGTACATTGATCGCCAACAAGAGCCCCTGTCCTCTGAGCCCAACATAACCAACTGAGTGGAACAGACATTTTATGGGGACTCCTGTCTATGTGCATGTTTGTGCTGTTATTTGATAGGAGGGGGTTAGAGAGTGAGAGATTGTTCTTTGCATCGGACATACTTTTGAGATTGAAACCCTGTTGCACCTTTTTGTTCTGTTGCTGTGTGTGGGGAATGGGAGGACACTTGGGTGCTTGTCTTAAACATAAATGTTGTTCAGAGAGACACACACATACACATACACAGACAGAGAGAGAAAGAGAGAGAGAGAGAGAGAGAGAGAGAGAGAGAGAGAGAGAGAGAGAGAGAGAGAGAGAGAGAGAGAGAGAGAGAGAGAGAGAGAGAGAGAGAGAGAGAGAGAGAGAGAGAGAGAGAGAGAGAGAGAGAGAGAGAGAGAGAGAGAGAGAGAGAGAGAGCGAGAGCACTCTCATTTGCCCCACAGAGAGCAGACAGTTTGGAGAAGGCTGCAGTTTCTCTGCTGGAATCCTTGTCAGTATGTTGTAGGCTGCTCTTTCTCTGTCTGCCTTTTTCTTCTTTTCTCTCTGTGTCTCTTCCTTGTATTATTTTTCGGCTTCTTTCTGTCTCAGAGGTTATTTTAGTTCAATCCAGTGAAGCTTTATTAGCTTCAAAAAACACACTTCCAAAACATATATTTGACCGTAAAATGAGATCCTAATTTTCTCTCCGTCGTCTTTAATCTTAACTACTCAAATGTGTTTTATTGGCAGGACTACTAATGTTGCTAAAGCATGTTGTAGAAGGTCCATATTGCAAATATAACCTAGAAAATGTGCCTCATTTCCCTTCATGTCTCCTCCTGTCTGAGCTGATTGAAGTGTGAGGATGTACTTGCCTTCTTCACACCATCACCCTCTTTCTCATTGAATTCAAAGAGTTAAGAGTGTGAATGTGTGTGTGTCTGTCTGTCTATGTGTGGGTGAGAGTGAAAAAGAGAGAGTCCGTGCTATTCTTGGCTGGCTGGGGAAGTCTTGGCTCCCCGGCGTATGGGAAAAGTGCTTTTGGCAAGTCTTGAACCGAGGCATTCCTTTATGCTGTCCTCTTGAAACACTCGCACAGAGGCAGACACACAAAACTGGATTTTTGTCACTCAGGGGGGCTTTGCGTCAATCTCTGAGGAGTAAGCTATAAACACCACATGCTAACAGAAGCCATAAAGAGCGCTAACATTATTCTGTGCTGCTTTAGTCAGAGATGTCTTTGCTTTGGTCTTTTTTTTTCCCTATTCTGTCTCTCACACACACACAGAAACACACTCACATTCTTGCTCAAACACACATCAAGAGGAGAGAGACTGGGTGCAGCCTCAAAAGAGAGATTTCTAGTAGTATTACATTATGCCCCAAGGCCCCAAGCCAGAGTTTCCCTGTCACTCACTCTCACACTCACACACACTCCTTTTCCCTCTCGCACTCACACACACATAAACACAGACAAAGCTCTGCACACTATCCTCAAATCAATTGCCTCAGGAGAGGGAGGTTGTATGCATGACTTACGTCAGCTAATAGATCTCTTAAGTCTCATTTCACTGTCCGTTCAGCGCTCGACTCTCCTCTGTCTTTCTTTCCTTCAGTCTTCCTCTCTTTTGTCTTTGTCCTCCTTCACTTCAGCTCCACTACAAGGTGACATAACTGTCTCCCTGCTACCTCTAAATGTTCTTGTCATTTTATTTTTTCTCCCCCTTTACACCTTCCTTTCTCTCTCTTCACCTTTTTTCACCCCTTCTCTTCTCACATTTTCTCCCTTTCTT